GGGAGCGAGACAGTTGTTTCTCAGGACATGTGCTACCATGAAATAGATCAATACAATCAATAAATGGACCAGCCGTAATCCGGGATGAGTACTGAAAGTGCCATCTAGTCGTCTTACCAACACATCAAATCAGAGACTGAGTGATCAGGTGACACTAAGTGATAATTTGACTTTGATGGTACACAGTTCGTTCATGCCCTTCGCCTGTCACATGATTTACCGCGGCAGCAAAGCTTTCATCCACTGAGTTCAGAGAGCAGAGTGAATGTAGGTTAATGCACAAGAAGTGACACAGATTTTCATCCCACATGGTTTTATAATCAATCAGATAAACTCTGATCGACTCACCCAAACATGTCCACTTACAGCTGATTCAATTTCTGTTGACCTGATATGTAACCTGTGAGGAGATTAGTTTGCACACCTACTTATACATAATCCCCAACATACACCACTTTAATATGCTAAATACACTTGTTTCAAATGTTGTCAGTTTGTGGGGTCAGTGTTTATAAAGTATAGTAAAAAGTAAAATGTAGGCTGACTTTATAATTTCATACAGAATCTGTATCTAATCTGAGTCTTGAGAACTTATGGTTGTAATGGAAGCTTGTTTGACTGTATCAGTATATTCCAACCCACAAAAAGCAAACAGCAGCTCAGTGTGCAGCCCCTCCTTCACCATCAGACTCAGTTTTTTGTCATGCAGAATCTATAACTCGAATTTAGTATACTGTAGATAACTTCAAATTATGATAGTTGCTTTGTGACCATGCTCAGTATATTCTTACCTTAAACCACAGATAGCAGCTCAGTGTGCAGCCCCGCGTGATATTCTTTGACTTCTAAAATACAACATACAACCTCCTTAAAGCCTGTGTCTGCTGTCTGTTATAAGGGTTCCCAGTAACACTTATTTTTGCCATGGAACTTTCCAAGTTTGTATTTTAGCACTTTAAAAAAAACTTCACTTGATTAAAAAAATTTGACTTTCAAATATGTGGGTAGAAAACTTTCCCAGTTTACATTCCAGTAGTTTGGACCAAGGTTTCACTTTTCATCAGCATTGCACTCTCCTTAATTGATACAAGTTGCAGCTACTGATGTTATTTTTTGGAGAAGAAGAGAAAAAAAAAAGAGTTCTCTAGGAGGAAATCAATAATGGAGTTCCAGTGTAATGCATTGGATGATATTCTTGCCAATACCTGATCCTGCATTTCAGGCTGCACCAGTACTGCTGTCGGTAACAGAGTAGCTATATTAATTTGTTCAAACGCCTCCTTTTCAGCAGGTCATCCCTGATCTTTCTTTGTTTAAAATGAATGTAACTTAAATTTAATCTGAGCCTTATTCAGTCTGTGAATCATGACTAAAAATTGCAATAAGAACCCCCTGTTCATTAATCTAATTCATCTCACATATTCTAATGACAGCACTCTTGACTGTGAACCCAACTCACACTCAGGCTCAGTTAGCCAATAATTTTCAGCCACATCTGGAATGATTTCAAATGATTTCCCCTGATTGGTCAATACTGTAACGCAGCAGCTGTAACACACTCTCATTGGCTGTGGTTCAGAGGTGTGTGTTTAACAAGGATGCTGATTGGTTGATTATGCGTCCTCTGGTGCAGTGCTGCAGTACTTCGCAATCTTAGCAAGTGTGTCAGTGTGTCAATGTGTGTGTGTGAGATGCAGAAGACTGCCCAGCCTTCATAAATCACATCTGAGGCTGGTCTCCATAGCAACTGTCCTCACAGCCTGGGCTTGAGAACAATGATAGTGTCCCTCCCTCCCTGCCTTCCTTTTTTTCCACCAGCTCCTCATGATGGACCTCTCAGGGGGGTGTGAGTGTGTGTTTGGATGAATGTGTGTAATAAGGTGTGATCAACAATCACTGCTAAACCCATATCAGGGTCAAAAAGTGTGTATGTGTGATGAGAGGGCATCTTCATTTAAATGGACAAAGATACAGGCGTCCATCTGGAGGCAGAGGGAGATGAAAATTGAGAGCGTTTGTGCTGCAGCTGGCACAAAAGAACAGGAAGGTTTGCAGAGACAGCTTATTGATGCTGCTGTGCCAGACTCGATCAATCAAACCCAAATACGTGACTCCTTCTAATCTGTAAGCAGCATACAGCTACTCTGCAGAGGTCTGTCTTTTTTGATGCCCTTTAGTCTTAAAGCATCCTTGAGCATTTTGGGAAGAGTGCAACATCGCTGAGCTCAATACCACTCTCTTATAACAGAGTATAATAATAATGATAATTTTTTGCTTATTCTATCTATCTATCTATCTATCTATCTATATTTAATCAAAAACAGGGAGAACTGAATGCTCTGGTGTCTGAATGCAGCCTCACAGAAGGACACAGCTCTGAAGTCTCTCCTCATGTTACACCTCTGTTAGAAATAACGTACATGTTACACAACAGCGATGATCAGTCTCACATCAGAGCAGGTCTGCTGATTTTATTACCTGAGAGTCTTGAGCTGGAATTAGATTAACATTTGAGGAGGTTTGTCTGGAGATTTACCCAGACTACAGAGAGAGAGAGAGAGAAAGAGAGAGAGAGAGAGAGAGAGAGAGAGAGAGAGAGAGAGAGAGAGAGAGAAAGAGAGAGAGAGAGGTTAACACTAATTCAATTGGAGTCAAAATACTTTTCAGCAAGAACTGCAGCATGCGGGGCAGGTCTGGTGTTTTGATGCACACAGGTTGTGACAGTTATAAACCAGAAATCTTATTTACAGATATAAAAAAAACCTCTCAGTCCAATGGTCTGTTGTAATAAAGTTAGAATATCTTTAATTTCATTCAAACAATGTACAACGGTGATATCCTGCTGTTAATCAACCTCTTATGAAGAGACATTGTGCTTTTTATTGATTGGTTCAGGCACAGACTATATAAATGAATGACGTAAGCACTCATCAGTTTTTAATGGCTGCATTTCTGAAGCACCAGGTTTGTTATACCACTATGTAGTCAGGTTGTCCTTTGCTACTGAGAATTCATCAATGTTGAAATGAGATTTGGACCAATCAGAATTAGTTATTAAACACAGCTGAGTAATAAAGCTAGAAGTGATATGATTTTTAAATAGTGATGCCCCTTTACAGTTGTTATGGGTAGAAAATAAACTTTCTGCTCTAAAGTTGGAAATTAAACACGGGGCTCTATGGGGATTGACTCACTTTTGAAGCCAGCCTATGGTGGTCACTAGAGGAACTGCAGTTGTCTTCTCTCTCCGTCTTATAGGTTGCAGCTGGTTAAAGTTCAAGATGATCCAGACATGTAATAATGTATCAGTGTTTGTCTGTCCAGCAGATGACATCTAAGTAAGTTCACCAACATGTCTGCAAAATACATTTTCATACTCAAATCTTGAATTTTAAAGAAATAAAACTAAGGTCCGAATTATGTCTGTGTGACAGTGGAGGCTGGGAAAGAAACTTCTACTAATTCTCCTTCTACTTTCACACATATGTGTATGTGTGTATGTGTTCGTGTTTGAGTGTTCTTGATCAGAAGAAATAACTGAGTGTGCAGCTGCTGCTGATATGACCCCAGAATTTGCTGTATGTGTGTTTGTCTGAGTGCACGCCCATGCACTTGTACTGAGAGAAGATGCCAGTGTGATCTGTTTGGCCTCTTTGTTTGCCCAGCCGGGCCTTTCCTGCCCTCTGATGTGCGTGCTCAAGCCATGAATAGAGCTCTGTGTGTGGACAGGCTCACACACACACAAAGTCCCTGTCCTCATGATTTGACTGCTGAGTCCATCTGATCTGTGTGTCCTAGAGAGAGTGATAGAGAGAGGAGAGGTTGATATGATGATTATCTGAGGCTGAGAGCAGATTCACACATGGATAAACTGTTTGTGAACCATGGTTAGCTGAGCCTCCCCTTCCCTGAGACATCATGTTGGTTTGATTTATCTACCCCTGTATCACTTGATGGTGGCCAAGAGCTGCCACTGCTGCAAATAAAAGAAGAAAGCAAAAAAAAAAAAGAAGTCACAATGGTAGTTAGCGATGCAAATAAAATAAGAAACAGTGCAGATAAATAAGAAAAAAGCCACAAGAGGAGTTAACGACGCAAAAAAAGTGGCGATACAAAAAAAAAACAAACAAATAAATTACTTAAAGCAAAAATAAAAGGATGTGAAACCAACCAACCAACCAAACAAACAAACAAGAAAAGCCACAATGGAAAGGTTATTGTTTAAATTTCGATTTGTGTGCTATTCAATGTGGTTTGGTCATGTAGCGCCTGAGTCGATATGAAGTTGAACTAAAGCAAACACTACACCGGCATCCTCCAGTTCAACTTCATATCGACTCAGGCACTACATGGCCTAACCAAATGACACATTGAAAGGCACAAGAAGCGAAATTAAACAATAACCTTTCCACTTACTTCTTTGCTCATCTTCTCACCGTCGTCTTCTGTGCTGAGATCGTGTCTGCATCATTTCTTTTTTTATTTGCAGCAGGCTTCCGTTTCTTTTTTTGCATCAGTGACTTCTGTAGTGACCTCTTTTTTTTCATTCTTTTTTTATTTGCAGCTGTGGCAGTTCTCGGCCACCATACTTACCTGCCTCAAGGAACCCTCTGGTAGAGTTAGGGATGAAAGAAATACTGTAAGGGGTAGACATTTTATGAAAAGGGATTCGGTCAATTAGATGAAATATTTTTTACACTGATCTGCTTCTCAGTATTCTGTGAAAGAGTCAGAATTCAGATTATTTTTCAATCCAAGATATTCCCAATTTAAAGAATGGATTTGACTTTAGACCCACATTTTTGAGGAAAGGTCAGTATTCTTGTTTTTATCTTTAATTTCTGGGATTAGTTAAAAAGTCAAACTTCTGTAAAAAAAAGTCAATTCTTACTTTAAACTCAGACTTATAGAAAATTCAAAATTCTGTCCATTTTGGGGGGCGTGGTCTGCAGAGCGACGTCACTGATGGTTATATAGGCTTCAGCTGTGGCGGCGGGCTCGCGCTGCTGAGACAGGCAGAGCACAGTGTACCGGCGGCGCGCGCTCACAGACTCCCTCTCAGCCACACACACATACGCACACACACACACTCCCCAAACAAAGAGAAGCACGCGAGGCAGCACAGCATCCCACCCTTTCAGCCGCGAGCTCACTTGCAGAACCGCCCCCCCTTTAACCACCCCTCTTTATCGGAACCGGTCCGGACCGAGAGCTCGAGCTCACAGAGACACAATGACAACCAACGGCGCCACTAACGGAACCAGCGACATGCTGCAGATCCAGTTCGGTCTGATCAACTGCGGGAACAAGTACCTCACGGCGGAGACCTTCGGCTTCAAGATCAACGCCTCCGCCACCAGCATGAAGAAGAAGCAGATCTGGACCCTGGAGCAGAGCGGGGACGAGTCCAACGGGAACGTCTTCTGCCTCAAGTCACATCTGGGCCGGTACATCGCCGCCGACAAGGACGGGAACGTCACCGGGGACAGTGAGACCCCAGGCCCGGAGTGCCGGTTCATCATCACCGCCCACGATGACGGCCGCTGGTCCCTGCAGTCCGAGCAGCACGGACGCTACCTGGGCGGCACCGAGGACCGGATCATCTGCTTCGCCCAGACTGCCTCTGTGGCGGAGAAATGGAGCGTGCACATCGCCATGCACCCGCAGGTCAACATCTTCAGCATGACCCGCAAGAGGTACGCGCACCTGAGCTCCAAGGTGGACGAGATCGCCATCGACCGGGACGTCCCGTGGGGGGTGGACTCCATGATCACGCTGGTGTTCCGCGAGCAGCGCTACCACCTGCAGACCTCCGACAACCGCTTCCTGAGGAACGATGGCGCGCTGGTCGCCACCACGGACAAGAGCACGGGCTACACGCTGGAGTTCCGCTCCGGTAAGGTGGCCTTCAGGGACTGTAGCGGCAAGTACCTGGCGCCATCCGGGCCCTCTGGTACCATGAAGTCTGGTAAGAGCGCCCGCGTGGGAAAGGACGAACTGTTCGTGCTGGAGCAGAGCCACCCGCAGGTCGTGCTAACCGCTGCCAACGACAGGAACGTCTCCACCCGGCAAGGTGGGTGTGGTGGTCCACAGTGTGTTCATGTGCGTGTGTGTCTGAGTGCATGTGTGTGTGTTGGTATCTCATCCTCTGGCAGAGCAAGGGTTAAAGTGATGGAATGTCAGGCTGCATCCCCCCCCTGCAGCACACACACACACACACACACACACACACACACACACACACACACACACACACACACACACTTTTTGCATCCTTATTTGCAACAAACACTTAATGCTTCTCTGAGTTTTCATATTTGCATCCACGTCTGATATGAAAATGACTCAATATACTAAAGTGCAGGACAGTCACATTAGAGCGTGCACACACACATTCACACACACTAAAGGCTTAATCCCTGACATTTTAAATCCTCCATGCACCATCCCGCCTGTGAAGAGTAGAAAGTGAAGCTCATAAAGCTTTTTCTGAGGTTGCTCCATGTTCATTAGCTGTCAGTGTTTTACAGACTGTTGGCAAAGACAGAGTGTAACCGAGAAGAGCACAGAGTCCTGGGCCTTGTTGAACACACCATGTGCACGTGTGCCATCATTGAAATGTAAAACAGCTTCGAACTGGCGAGAGGCTGAAGAGGCACAAAGCAGAACAGCTCCACAGTTAGAGGGGAGGGAACCAGATCAACAGCTAACCTTACAAAGAAAACTGGCTGAATGGAGTTTTTAACAGGACAAATTAGGCAGCCACCTTTAGAGCACAGAAATTAACATGATGCACAAGAGGCATAAACCGCACTTCCCAGAACACCCACTAGGGCCTTCTTCCTAAAATGACTCTACCCCCTTAACGCTCCATGTCGAAATACAGAAACCCCTTTCCCCCCCTATGAGGGTTGCCAACTCCTCAGTAAGGAAATCCGCTAGTGGCTGTTGTAAAAGTTGTGAGAAGTCGCTATATGATGTCACCGCCTAATTTGCATAAATTCTCCGTCAAACTCACTGTCGCCACCAGACCCCCCACCCCTGGGAGGAGGAGGAGGAGAAGTTTTCTGCAAGGTGTCTGTGTTTTTGATGTACACTGGCTATCCGTTGAGAAGAGTAACATCTATTTCTGCGTTTATGTCGGAGTCTTTAAACTCTAGAAAAAGTTGCTAGATTTGTTGCTAGGCGCTTTTTTGAAAATAAGTCGCTAGGGGGGATCTGAAAAGTCGCTAAATCTAGCGACAAAGTTGCTAGGTTGGCAACACTGTACCTATGAGGGCTGTCAATTTCGAAAAGAAGTTCAAACTATAATCCAACATGACATGCAAATGTTCAGAGCCCATGTGTCTGCTTTGTGTCTGTTTTCTTCAATTCGCTGGATGCCGCTTTCACTGAGCTCATTGAATGTTTACAATCCCACACTAGATTCAGCTCTTTTATTCTTCTTTCTTTCTATTTTCTCTGCTGGTGACTGACAATGACATGGCAACGGCCTCTATGTTCAACTCAAGGCATCATGATAGCTATGCTAATTGTGTCTGACCTGAGTCTTCTTTATCATTTAACTAACTGTCTGAAACTTTTGTTGTCAACCACAGAAAAATATTTGTGAGTCTTTTTAATCAGTGATAAATCTCATGAGCTCTGGCGCTGACTCTTTTGGTTTGGCTGTATGATTTTCCTTTGATCTTCTCAAATATTTTTAAGATTATGATTTCTTCGATGGCTCCTCCAATTACTTGTAGTCCTATTACTTGATTTTTGTTCATCCGTCACCTTATCTCCTTTCTTATTTCATGGCACAGTGAAAAAAACACTTTCATGACAGATTCAAAAGCCGGTGGAGCATCCAAAATGTCAAAAGTTGTTGCTTATGCTTTGGCAAAGACCAGAATGCAAAAGTGGTTGATGGTTCCTGTCGTTCTCACTTCCCTCCTCTCTGATCCACTCTGGCTAAAACATTAATTGAGTAAAGTGTTAGTTCAGGCAGAACACAAAAGTCAATATCTAGTTGATGCTAATTCCAGCCCTTATCCGTCGTATACATTATCATTGTTCTGTTCTGATTTGCTGATGCTCTCCCTGCCTTGGCTTTTCATATATGCGCATTAAATCGAGAAGGTGTGTTCAGGTTTGTCATTGCTTGTATGATCATGGAAGGGCAGGGAGCTATTATGCTGTGTTCGAGTTACCTCGGAAGTCAGAAGTCCGAGCTGAAAATGACGACACACCTGAGTTACCAGTGTTTTTAGTTACCAAGTCAGAAAAAAGCAAAATCGGAGGTGAAACCAAGTTGGCTACATCTACAAAAGTTATTTTAGAACTTGTCTAGTCTTTGCTTATATTCGGACAAGGCAAGCGCTAAAATAACATTTGTAAGTGTAACCATCTTGTTTCCGCCTCCGATTTTGCTATTTTCCGACTTGGTAGCAAAAAACGCTGGTAACTTGGATGAGACGTCATTTTCAGCTCCAACATCATCCTTCCCATGTAACTTGAACACAGCATCAGAACAGAGCCATACCACCAAATAGAGCTACTGCATTTCAAGTTATCAATCTTTTTGATGAAACTACACCTTTTACAAAGAGGACCTGTCATTCCATACCTTTCATAGGCTGTCACTGTTCTTTGCTTTTAGTTATAAAGTTTTTGTAAAATGCAAAACACCGGTAAGCAGCATAAACACTAAGACACTATCGCCTGCATTCAAATCAAATAACGCTGAAGTCATGGTACTTCACCCTGGGTCTAGTTCCTGCTACAGATGGATGAACAACCTGGGCAGAAAGAACCCTTTATGTTTCTTTTTATGGACAGGATATTAGTGTCGTATACCGGCCTTTATTAGGCACATGTTTTTTGTGTGGTATTTTAGGTAATGTTGTGCATGTGTGTCTGGTCTTCAGCTGTACAAATGGGCAGAGAAACAAGCACTTCCCTTCCCTCGTCTTTCCACCCTCTCTATGCTATCACCTCCTTTCACCTCCTCACTCAGTTCTCCGCCACTTCTCTCCAATTTTTCCTTTTTTGCATCTTTCATGCTTTCATTTCCTTCTGCCTTATCCTTTTTCCATCCTCCCTCCGCTGCCTCCTCTCCTCACCCCCTCCCCCACTCCTCCCAAAGCTTGGCTTCATATGTGTTTGTCTGAGGTCATGATCAGCGCCGTCTCTCCTGTCGATGGCGTCTCGATGGATCATGAGTCACTCTGTTTCACCAAGAGTTAAATCCTCTAAACGTTCATGAATAAAAGCGCTGTAGGAACCTCTTTGACTCAGCATGAAAAAAAAAACGCCTGAGAAAGCAGTGAGACTGTGGCGATGACTGTCTGCTGTAATGAACGATAGAAATATTTTAATTAATGCTTTTTAAATCTATATTTAGCCTCTGGTTAGTGGTGCATCTGTTGAAAGTACCGTGCGGTTTGGTGGTTTTTCCTCCCCATTTCAGAAAGTATGGTCTGTCCATTCTTTCATTTTGCACTCCTGTCTCTAAGTCACACAAAGACCTGGTTTGTTTGGTCTCTCTGTTTGGTTTACTTGTCTCGGGGATATTTATCCACTTTTCTTCGGACTTCAAATACAGGACAATTTGAGGTCGAGGTTGGACATAAACAGTCATGACATGAAGCGTTACATAAACTCCTCCATTTTTAAACTGACCTGATACATTTGGTGTCCTCAGTCAGGAGAGCACAGATTAAAAATTTAATCCCACATTGTATAAGAGTCATTTCTGCCTGTGAAACTGAATCAGATTATATGTTTTGGTTCTGAAGGGTTAAGCTGCTTTAATGCTGCAGAGACAGTCTGCTAATGTTGTAATTATGTTGTTCCAAAACAATTAAATCACAGAATTTAATCAGGATTTATTTCTGTGTACCAAAGAGAAACAACTTTTATGACAAGTTTTAGCATCTTAAAACATCACAGCTTCAGTAGTTCAGTTTTATCAACTATCAGTACAAGGGATTGGCTGCAGCTCTGATACCAATAACAATTGTTGATTCTGCTTATCGATCCAGTTATTTATCGATTCCCTTATTGATTCCTGCAGATTTCCTATGATTTAAAAAAATCAGCCTATTCAGGTTCTTGTTTAGTTTATAACATCTCCTGCTCTGCTCTTCTTAGATGGGAAAATAAATCTTCAGTAGGAAGCTGTCGGTCTCACAAAGCCAGTGGATTTTACAGTGAGTCAGCACATCATTCTGCTCTATTTCTGGAGCTAATATTGTAAAAATAACAATATCACGAGTTACGTATATAATAGGTCTTGACTGTGATTCTTTCTTTGACAACTTGGTTGTGTTCACCCTGACTGCAAAAAAGTTTTAGCATCAATGATCTGAGAGGCTTTACTTAAAGAGATATCACATGCCCTGTAATGTGCCCATGCCACATGCACAAAAAATAATGCGGCCCTGGTGTCATCTGCTCTGGGGTATTTCAGGCCTGGGCCAAAGCTCTTGTGTGGGCTTTGAACTAACAAAATGAAATCATTACATCCCTTTATTTGTCAATGGATCATTTATTTTACATGGAAAAACTATTAATAAGAAATCCTCCTCACAGTATTGTCAGAATGAGGAGCAGGAGGTCTAAATCTTGACATGAAACCCTCATTCAGACCCTCAAACAGTGTCATTGTGATGTATACTAAATGTGGAAAGGAAATAAACTGTCTCCAGATGGTTTTCAGAGCGTACAGCTGCTCATAGTTCCTCTCTGCAGCGACTCTCTCTGCCTGACAGACCTGAGCCATGATGGCAGCTGCAGTCAGCTGGCTTTCATTAGCAGCAAGAGGTTTTAGACGTTAGGGTAAAAACCACAAGTGGGTCAGTCCAAAAGCCGCTTTGTCCAATCCAAACTGTAGACTTTATGACTCACTGTTCGTTCCCAAAAATGTTTGAGAACAAATCCAGTTTAGAGGCTCTCTGGTTATCAATGAGCCAAGATAGAAATCTGTACAACATTTTGAGACAAGCCAAAAAGGATTTTCGGTCATTTTGACATATTTGTTCATTTTTATAGGTCACACCAGCCCCACGCTTTAGGTTAAGTTGTTGCTCTTATTTGATTGGAGAGAAATGAGCTGCATGTGAAGTCTGTCACTAGTGAATCAGTTGCATCTTTAAACTCCAACAATTGTTGAATAATATAGAGTCCTCAGAGGTGATCCTAAAAATGTGAATGGAGCATTGTGCTAGTTCAGGCAGGCCATGGAGTCCAGCCTAGCCCACAGTTTATGAGCTGTTCTCAACACAAGACATATCAGCTGACTTCTCAGCTGATTACCTGCAACACATCCAATTGGCAAATGTCAAAGTAGATGTTCAGTTTTAACTGCCTTAGCCTGCCTGCTCTTCTCAAACCACTTTCCAATCCACCACAGCCAAGTACCTTCTTTTTATGCTGTGTTTAATTCCACCAGAGTCAAAGGCATCATCGCTGATACCTGCTCTGTGAGGCCCTTGCTGCTGCTCTCTCTGCTTTGGCTTTTCACATTTAGGCACAAAATGCAGGAGGTGTGCTATCCTCAACGCAGACTTTGGCATTCCTCATATGCTCATGGAAGGGCAGAAAGCTCTCAAAACAGAGCCATGGTTAAAATAACATTTCTGTTTTGTAGAGTTTTATTCTTGCTTGGAGGGCCATACGTAGTCTTGGTTAAAAAAAATTAGTGCATAAGTCACTTTACATCTAAGCTCCCGTGCTTTCTGAACTCTTAGTTTGTGTCAATTTTGGCGCCCCCTGTGGACAAAACAGTCTTTGCTTACGCTTTCCTTTGCATACTTGGGTTGTGTCATTTATTCTGAATATTTCATGCTGAATCTGTAAAAACATGGCTGTTTCTTCAGCTGCTTGGCTGACACCTACCTTCTCAGATCTATTTCAGACATCAGACACTGGGACATAAAGATCTTCTATCTTGTCACTCTTGGTCGTGTTTGCTCTTGGATGTCATGAAAAGACAAATATTGGCATTTTAGTTTGTTTCACAAATATCAAAATCTTTCTCAGAGTAGCTTTAAACAAGCACCTGATATACAAGGACAAATAAAGTTACAACACCAACTTAATATTATCTATAATCACATCATAATGTCTTTTGTTGTCATAAAGAAATAGCATCTTGGCAAAGTATTCAAAGGACGTCAGCTCTCTGTGAGCTAATATACTTAAGCGATTACGACCACAATCACTTTAAATTATCTGAATGCCAAAATAAGAAAAAACAAATTTCAACCCCATTCCTTCATCATGCATTCCTTTTTTCCCCTTTAATAACAAACAGAAAATAGTTTTGAATTAGCTGTGTGCGTCAGGCCAGATGTGGAGTATGCTGTTTTTAATTTTGAGTAAACCCTCAATAGATAATTCATTCAGGCTTTTTAAGCCTCGCTGTCTGATTGGCTCTCTCCGCTCTGCTGCTCTTAAATGTGAGTGCTCATACTTGTAATCATCATCATGCTTGTTTCCGGACCGTAACGTCCTCTCTGGTCATCACCTCAGGGAGGGACATGGTCACAAATTCCCTTTGTGACTTTTTAACGACCCTCGAGTGGACTGAGAGGCAGTTAGAAGACAGTAAGCTTGGAGCTAAGTGGTCTCTCAGTGGTCTGTTCTGCCTTTAAACTGTATTTGAGAGAGATTGAAGGCTCAGAGCTGGTTTGCGGGTTAAATGGATCAGAGTTCATCATATCCTGAGTCCTGCTGGTCACTGGTGAGATCACTGAAAGAGGACTTCTCTTTGTTTCTGATGCTCTTCTCTTGAAGACTGAAAAGTCAAATTCTTTGTAGGGCAGTGAACCTTGAGTGTAATGTGACTGCATCCTGTGACCTCCCTCTTTTTTATCAACTGGAAATTGGATTATTGGATTAATTGAGATTGATTTGAATGGATGAAGCTACATCTAAATCCCCAAACATGACTCAAGCCTTGTAAAATGTCCCTTTACCCCTCAAATAAAGGGTCACATGTCACTTGTAGGAAGGGTTACTAAGGGTCAGTGGATTTGAATTAATCATCTGTTAGTGAGGAAAAGTTCTTGAACTATCTTATCTGTCAATCTAGTACAAAAGTACTGCAAGCAGCCGGCCAGTTTAGCTTCGCAAAGAGGCTGCAACAGGGGAAAAAAATAGCTATCCTGTTTCTTTCCTCTTTACAAATCCTTGTACAGGGGTCAAACCTTGTAAAACGACATTGTGTGTGTAACCATTTCCTGGTGGGATGCAGTGACTTCCTGAAGCTGTGCCATTTTAAAGTGTGTTCAGACAGAAAGCAAAGAAAGCATATCCTCTCTGGATAATCCCTGCTAACTTTAACTTTTACCCAGTTTCAGTGAGTTGTTGATCATTGAAATGTGTTCAGTTTCAGGTCAAAATTAGGGGAAAAAAATCTACTGATCTTTAAAGCAAGGATGCATCATATCAGATTTTTGCCATCTGATAAGCGGATATTTTCTAACTAATAAGTGACAGTTCAAAATGTATAACAGTATGATTCAGATTTCAACTCTAAAGTGTTTTGTCCAGAAGAGGAGAAGAATATACATTTACGATGGTTGTATCATGTTGATTGTTGTTCGTGTCATAACTTCGAGCAGATTTGGAAATTTTTGAGCTGACAGGATGGGAATTTTGTATCTTCATGTTGGGTCATTTGCTCTCTTTTTGACATCCATCATAAATTGAAATCAACTTTAGCTGATTCACATCCTGCCTTGACCTCTGTAATCTTTAGAGCATGAAAATTTGTTTCACCCTTGGTCATTACACAACAAAAAACTTCACTGCAGCCTGCCGAGAAATAGTTAAGAACAAACTTTTATTGTCTTGCGTAGGAATATTTCTTGGCTGAGGGACAACATGTCCCAGGAGGTCCGTGCAACGTTGCCAAAATACAGTCCAAATCTTTTTTTTTTTCAATGATCTTGGTTGTGTGTTTTTTGAAATGGCAGCGAGTTAAATTGAGTTTCTATTAGATAGAAGGTCGGATAAAGTTTTAAAGCTAAGCCAAAGTTAAGGTGTGTCATCTGAAGTTTTACAAAAACCCTGAAGTCATACGATAACTGCTTCTAGTGGGTTACCGTTGTTTAAACATCCCTCCATGTCAGATTAATCTGTAAAGTTTCACAGTGTGCAGTCACATTCAGGCTACAGACAGAAATGAAGTGATTCTGCAGACCGCAGCTCGATCTGTCAGAGCTGTTGAAATCCGGTCAAAGCAGGATAGTAATCAGGCTTTAAATTATGTGTTAGTGTGTTTGCGCAGTGAGAGAAGGAGACAGAAACTGTGGCTCTGTGTTGTGTCTGGCTGTGAGTCAGCCCTGACACCCTTTCTGTATCCTTCAACTCCCTCCATCCCTTCCTCCCCCTCCTCTCCCAGCACCAGCATCGCACTGGCAGGAAATGAGACATGAGGCGCGCAACCCCGACCTTGGCTGGTGTGTGTAAATCTCTGCAGGGTGAAGGGTGGTGATTTGCCATGGCTACTTCACATTAACACACTTTTCAGACACACACACACACACGATTAGAAAAATAACCAAAAAGAGAGGATTAATGCATCCTTGGAACGGCTAACTGGCCTGTTGTGGCTTTAACGTGTTTATAGACCTTCAGTCATGATGTGTTTGTGGGTGTTGGGAGTGTGCCAGGCTGGGAGCACCAGGGATCCTCCTAAATGTCGTCTCTTGTTCAGTCCGTGTCTGAGTCTCCTTTCCTTGGATGCCTACAGACTCACTCTGACTGAACTTCAGCTCATTTTTGCTCTCTGAACACAGGAGGGGGGCTTCCAGTCAATGAACCAGAAAGATTTGGGACATCCCCGGGCACAGTACTGTACACTATCTCTACTGTCTGACCTCTTTTTTTACAGTCAGTGGAAACAGGATTATATATTCACATGGTGACTGTGGATGTCAAACTCTAAGGGGGAATTCAAATGTGGTAATAATGTGACACTGCTATGTTCCAGTTTCTAACTTAGATGAATGTGGAGTATTCATGTTATGGTTTATAATTCACAAGCAGGTCAAAAGCCAGCTAAAAATGGACATCTAGAGGCTGTAAGGGGCCGTATTTCAAATTATTATAGCATCATTGATACCTGGATGCTATATTTTTTTCATAGCGTTTTTCCTTCATCTCTGATCGGCTTGAAGTGCTGGGCTCCAGTTGGTTATTCCTTATGGTTGGGAACGCCACTGTGATAATGTTCTGTAATGTTCTGTTCGATGTAGATAGCCGACAGCCCGCGCTCGGCTTGAGTGCGTGATGATGTTTCCAGCTTTTCTAGCCAATCAGAGACAAAGGAGGCGGGACCTTTCCCTACCATCATATGAAAAAAAAATATCACCACCTGGACGGGGCGTGTCAAGAAGTTCTTGACTGAGGTGGCCTCATATGGGGCTCTAACTTATCCACGCGGGGATAACTTTTCTTTCTGTTTTTAAACTTCATCTCTCACTCAGGTCAGAGTATCATACAGATGCCATATTTCTGTGTTAAACTCTCTTAGTGTTCACCAATTAGACTCAAAGGAAGTCCATGCTGCCCCTGGCCACTGCACTAGATGAACTTCAACCACCTGGTAGGGGTACATGTGATATTGTGTGCCCAGTTTAAGTGGAAAAAGCCTTGTGTAACTGTCAACCAGTGATAGTCAGCTCTGTTTCAGAGTCTGCTCAGTGTTAAAGTCATCACAGTGTTATAACCCTTCTTACAGTTAGCTTGGTGTGACAGTCAACTCAGTGTTACAGTCTGCTTATTGTCCAGTGTGTAGGTTGGCTGACTGTTCTTGAGTTTGGATCAGAACAAAGGCCGATGATCTGGCTCCCCATTTGTGCCCCAGCTGGCTGCCTCCTCATCCAGGCCTGCTGAACAATAGGAGAATAGGACACACACTCTCACACACACACACACACACACACACACCCTTGTCACAATTGTGTGCCTTCACAGCAGACCTCCGTTGCTTGCTTGCAGTTACAGGGGCCAAGAATCTGTGCCTGCCACCATCAGGCTGGTGGGTGGGGTGGGCAGAAAGATAGAGGGGTTGTTTTCACATGTGTGTGTGAATGTTTGGTGTGGTTTGGGTGGATTCTGTTTGTGTGGTCTCTACTTCTTTTGGTGTGGTGCATGTGGTGGGTGCTGAGCCTGTGTGCAAGTGCAGACCCTGTTTCTTCGTCTTACATAGATATTATGGGCCTCACAATGTCATCTGGACAAACAGACACACACACCCTCTCTCAGGGTCATGGCTGAGGCCCTTCACGCCTCACTATTTAATCTCTATCAGTTAATTTTCCTGGTGTGTTTGTACCCACCAGTGTTTGTCTTTCCTTTAGATAACTTTTGACCAGTCTAAGGTTTGTGTTACAAGTCAGCGTGTGTGTTCATGTGTGTGTGTGTTTGCCTAAAAAGACGAGATAAGCTCCCTCCTATACACTGTCTGCCCAGTACAAGGGACCGATACAAAAATGGTACATCCTTTGAAATGTTCAGATTTCAAAGACTTGCATACATTCAAATGGCCTTAGTTGTTTAGAGAATATATACATTTAAATGTTGAATTTTAGTTTTTCCAACTTGCAGTGCAGCACTGAGATTTTTTTTTGTCAAACTCTCACTCATACATTACATTTCTTGATTTGATTTAAAATCATCTCCATCAAAAGGTAAAGATTTACAGTATTGAGTATGAGTCATTTTAGATGAAGCTTAATCTAGTTACTACACATACAGGGAACAGTTTAAAACAGTTACTGGGTAATTTATATATTTTAGGTGGAAGTCTATCAAATTCATTGGATTTGTAATTAATCAAATACAGAAATGACACATTTTCTTCCGATTCTCTGACTGGTCAGGTTGGTACCAGCTGTTCTCGTGGTCTGTTGTAGTTTGTTGTGAATTTTAAATGATCCAATAAATGTTTTGTTGTCAGTCAAGCTTTTCTGTTTGGTTAAATTCATTTTCTGTTCATAATCTACAGTTTTTCTTTTTCAAAATTATCTTTATTTGTTGATTAATGTCAAAGAGAAGTCAGCTAGCTGAGGTGACTAACTTCATAGTCATCTGAATGCAAATTTAAATTCTAACTAATTGGCAACTGTAAAGGAAAGAGGACTTTTTGAAAACAGTTTGAATTAGTACAGATCAACAGGTAGAAGCCATTAGCCTACTCTGTCAACTAGTGGTGGGTGGTTGTGATTAGGGCTGGGCGATATGGGAAAAAAATTATCACAATACTTTTTTTTCATATCAGTCGATATCGATATATATCACGATATAAAAAATTCAATTTTAACAGTGCTTACTGGTAGCATGTCTTGTGCAATACAATAATCTACTGCATCTGTGAGGTCTTTGTGTCTTTTTGACGTTTTGTTGTAAGGCATTGTGCTACAGAAAGCGGACTGAATGGTCGGCTGTTTCAGCTGCACAGGTGTCTTGGGCTCCTTGCTGCGCTTGGGGTTTGTAACCCTTAGCGTTGCGCGTGCTCAGCGGCGTAGTGCTGCCTCAGGTGGTGAAAAAGATTTGAAGTATTCCCCGACTTTACGAGAACATGTACTTGACATAATTTGCAGTACACATTACTCTGCTTCATGTCCGACCTCAAAAAAACTAAATACCTCCACACCACCAACGTTTTCGTGCCAGTGTTGTCGACAATGTAGTAATCTGTTGAGCCTTCATCGTCATTTCTGCTGGGAGTTGCACTCACAACTCCCCTTTTCATTGGCTATTTGTATAGTCTACCAAAACATAATAGAATGCCGACTATCGAAAAGCATATTGACCATGTTTTATATTGATATCGAGGGAAATTAATTTTCGATTTATATCTTATCGTTTTATCGCCCTAGTTGTGATACAACATATGATCAGAATTTCAAAGCTACACTAATAAAAGTGATTAGAATTGGTTTGAGAAATTCTGGTGAAAACATCCTTCAGGCAGCATTAAAACTACAATTACCTTTTTGTTTTCTGAACTTCTCTTATAACATCGATTAATGAGCTTGATTTCCTCAGACTGAGTAAGCTAACACATGCAGTAAGTGGGACAGGGATCTCTCTGTCAGCTCATGTTGTGAAGAAACATGCAGCAGCTGTTAAACACAGTTATAGATGGACTTTCCCAGCTACTGTGCTGAGTGTCTGTGTCGGCCAAACAGGAAAGAGAGGAGATTAGAGAGGGTCAGTGATGTGACTGATGATCATGGAGGCGAGCAGAGTCTCACCCTCTTTACTCCTCGTATTTCTTTCCTTACTGCTCTCTTCTAACGTGATCATTTAGACCCTCCCTGTCTGTTTCAGATAAATATACAGTTCATCTTCTCTGCCCCCCCTCCGCACCATGTGTTACCCATTACAGCTTTATATTTTCCTCCTCAGTCATCTGTGTGTGTGTGTGTGTGTGTGTGTGTGTGTGTGTGTGTGTGTGTCGCAGATATAACCACATGTTTCTGTGGAGACCTGATCTGTCTAGAGACCAAAGTTCTCAGCTCGACTTTGGGAGTCAAGTTATTAGTTCCTTCATCACCAAATTATGACGACACCACAGTTTTCAGCTGCTAGATATATTTCAGGGATGATGGTGTCGATCCTGTGGTTAGAAAGTATGTGTTAAGAGAAAAAGACAAGAAAATGTAAAGTAGTAATGTAGTGTATGTGGGTGGTTGTGTAAATTTGAATCCTGACAAGGTGAGACAAGAGCCTGACTTGAAACTTTTACCATGACTGCTACATGTTGCTGAGTAGAGATCAGTAACTCTCTCATCAGCTCTGCAGCTGTTGCATGGTTTGCAGGACAGGATGTGGCTCAGCTTTTTCTTTGTCAGACATAATGTCGAGTAGCTCTTGACCATCTGAGCCTGCTAATTGGCATTTTTTCCCCCAAATTCAATGCAAGCCTGAGCCTTAAAGTACCATTTTTGCCACAGTGTCAACAAGCAGAGTTAATATTCACACAACCCATTTCTTTGGATGAATTTGATGAGACCTGTGACAACTCATGACCTTTGTTATGGAGTTTCATCTCTGACTACTCTGATAATCCAGTACAAACTACTGCAGGAGCCTAACGCTAATATTGAAAAGAGTGAACCACTTTACGCAAAAAGTAAATAAAAGGGAAAATGATCAGCTTTCAATTTTTTTATCAAGGCAAAAAGGAAATATTCCACTCACATGCTTAAAAAAAAGCATCTGAACTGTTACTTTAACCATCTGAGCCCACCCTCTAATGATATGAAGTGGACCTGATTCGGTAGACGTGCAGCTTGGCATGGTTTGCAACTCATTCATATTACACTTACAACCCAAATTTCAATGCTATCTAGCCTTGTACTAAAACATAAATTTTACTCCTTTTCCAGTGATGGGTGTTACTTTTTACACAGCTTTGTTGCCTTGAAACATTTAAAAGATTATGCCTTCGCTGAAAAACTGTCTAAGGTGCCTACTTAGCTCCTCATTTAGCCACGTATTGCAGTGTCACTTTGGGTTTGTGGTTATGAGCTTTTATGTAAGGTCTTCAAAGATGAATCAGCCCCAGGTCCCAGGAACAGTCATGACACAAATCCGGCTCGTACTGGCCTTTGTTTACAGAGTAGTCATCAGTGAAGTTAGGAGGACAAACAGCTATGTTGTGGCTGTTGTCCCAAATACATGAACACCTCCTGCTGTTTTCTGCTGTCTTCATCTTTGGGAGAAGAAAATAGCTGTGAATCTCTTTCAGTAACCTTCTGGGACAGACTGAATCAACAAAGTAGAGAAAACAGGAAAATGCTTAGTGGTGAATCTAGCTTTAACCTGACATCAGCCTGTGGCCATGTCTTGAAACAAGCTGGACAGAGATCCTGTAAAACATGTCCAGGTTTAGTCTGTTAAGGTTTATTATGTAAAAGAATACCGATCAGCACGAGAGGTCCCCCTCTGTGACACTTTTTTTCTTAATCCTGGAGGTGGATGTAGTCACCGATGAAGAAAATATGACGACATGACTGTTTTCAGTGTGTTGTGTGTGTTTTTACCAAAATCAACATTAGGGCACCACAAGTTATAGTTTGTCTGAAGCAACCAGACTGGATTGTGGCCCTCCTGACCCATTTACCCCAATAAATCAGAAAATGAAAAACCACATGAGATAAATTAAACCAGGGAGAGAAAACAAAGAAGACCCTCTCTTGCGTTCCTCGTCGCCTTTGGCAAAACAGAATAATAACTTTTATATAGTCTCCGCAACGTCCAAATATGAAGCACATGATATTGTTTTTCTTACTGAGAGCATTGAGGGCAGCATGCGTGCTGCAGCCAGCTTTAAGACATAAAAACATGTTTGAAACAAAAGGGCAGAAAGTGGGGGAGGGGTCACAAATGAAGAGAGACGAATGGAGAACACATGAGGGTGTTGGTGTGGTGGCCTCTCTCATTCTGCACACATTTACACAGCAGACCAGCAGACAGTCCATCTCTCTGTCTATCAGCCCCACGGCTATAGGTCGGCTGCACGCCATGACATCATCATATACAATAGCACTTATTGTGCTTTATGAAGAGTGTGAGGGCAGCGGTCCACTGCAGGTCTCCCTGTGTCTTCATCCCACAGTTGACTCATGTTTGTTTACCTCTTTGTTGCTCTGAAGTGCCTCAGTGATGGCTGATGGGATTTTAATGAGGTCTGTACACACATGGCGGGTGTGTAGTGTGTGCGTATGGTGAAACACAAACACACACCGGCGCCAGATTTAGTATAAGTAGCAAACACTGCAACTAAAGTATACTCTCTATAGCGATCAATACTTCTGATACACATTTTGATCTATCAGGTAAACTTTAATTTAAGACCAGCTTCCTGCCAAACATTCCCATCAGCCTCAGCTGTCCCTCTGTGGTATTGATTTATGTTGCTTGCTATCATTCAAAGTTAAAATGGTTTAGATAATGGCAAATGGTAGACGCAGTCACCATGAGATCATCCGCTTATTTGCCAAATACCGGGAAGACATGTTTAGTCGGCCAAATGTCGTCACCCATATTGGTCAGCACCAGAATTAACACTCAGTTAAACAAACTTGTTTATATACAGCATATTTATTATTGCAGAATTAAGTCGCTACCACAAGTCAAAACTGTCACTCTGGCTAATGTCTACGACCATAATGCTACAATGCTCTACTACCAGGATGTACACAGGCACAGATGACAGAGGGCTTCATGTGGATGCAAACCTGCTGTGGCTTTGGTTCTCAAAACTGCAGGTTGCTGCTCGGGTATGTAGTAAAGTTGTCAATCTACAGACAAGCTAAGCATCATATTGACTTTTCTGTCTTGTGATTGGCTGCTGAACTCTGACACAGGAGAGTTTTGCTTGCGTGTTATCTGAGCCCGAATATAGTCTGTGGCTCTTTGGTTAAAGAGCGTCGCAGCTGAAAGACCCTGAAAGCAAAATTACAGGCAACAAGAACCATCCAATCACAGCTAAGTTACAACAGCCAATCGCAGAGCAGGAAGGAAAGATCAGACATTGCACATTTATGGGAACATTTCTAGCAAGGGCAAGATTAGCTAGACTAATACTGAATAAATGTCCTCAAACACTGATCGTCAAAACAGATAAATGCTCTTCAGACTAAGTGTGACGGCATCAGCGTGGATAACAGACGTCAGTGAGGAGTCCTTGTGGTCTTCTCTCTGTGTTTAGTGACCATCACCCCTGATGACTAATCCTCCCAACTATAGAGGGGTCTGTCTGGGTTGCAGCAGATGTGTTTGTGGTCACTGGTTTGTGTGTGTGTGTTTGTGCAGCTGTATGAAATCCTTCACTAATCCAGCCCGACTGATGTTGCTCATTTAGCTCATCTGATCCTGACCAGAGGATGTGTGTGTGTGTGTGTGTGTGTGTGTGTGTGTGTGTGTGTGTGTGTGTGTGTGTGTGTGGGGGGTTTATGCGTGATTATTGGCTATTATTAGTCATCATGTGCAGCTGCTGTTCACAGACATAATGACCCACTAACTGACTGACCCACCAGCCTGTGTCTAAACCAAACTCCTCCTCTCTGTCTGACCTCATCCCCAGGTATGGACCTGTCAGCCAATCAGGACGAAGAGGGAGACCAGGAAGTGTTCCAGGTGGAAATTTGTCGTGAAAATAGAAAGTGTGCTTTCCGGACTGCGGCTGGAAAATACTGGACCCTGACTGCCAATGGCGGCCTGCAGTGCACCGCCTCCACCAAGTGAGAATGACACACAAGTCTACGACTTCTCTGCTACATTACTGTCAACACTCCAAGATACATCAGGTTCTCTTTAAGACCAGGACTGAGATTTATGTCAGCACATCAAAGCAGGACCAGACAGTCATCTGGCTACCTTGTACATACCTGCTTTAGTCAGTCCACTCAGAGGTAGCGAGTGTGCGGTGTGTGGTCGTATGTGTGTGTTTAGGCGTTGCACAGTGTGTAGTCTGTAGTCATGTTGTCTCTTGACTGAGCTCCATTGTGTTTCATCTCATGCTGTAGGAAGGGACTTTCTTTTATGTGCAGTGTGTGGCCCAGTCACTGTGCAGGCTGTAAACCCCTGACTCTTGACCTTTGACCTTTGACTCTTTGCTCCTGGATGATTTCCTCTTGATGCTCCTGAACTGTTTTAAAGAGGCTCAGATTTTCCCTGCCAGTCTTGAGAGGAAAGAGCAGCAGTGTACAACTGTGTGCTGAATATTAACACAAGCGTACTCTCTAGTCAGATGTTGAATCGGTTTTGTTGGTTTAGTTTGATTCTGTTTCTCATTTCTAGTTTCTCTGAGTGATATTGGCCAATCAGGTCCATGCAGGAAGAATACTTGCAGACCATTTATAAATGAGAGCTCGAACGTCTATTCAATGCACAAATATTTCTAAGGTTGTTGTCTTTATTCCATGAGGACAGACCTAACAAAGCCTGATTTTTTTATTGAACCACTTTGCGACATCTAAGCGAGCACTAACCAGAGTTTCAACTATAAGGTTTAAATTTTGATAACTTGTTCTGTTAAGTGCCTAAAGAGAAGACAGAGGTGATTATTTTGACAGCGTTGCCCAAAAGCAATTCTCCAGGATTCGTAACCCCTCTATGTGAAGTTCTTTCACACACATGCAAGTATAATATAGTAATATATTTTATTAATATTGCACTTTACATCAGAGAAAACAAATCTCAAAGTGCATACAGCGAAAGGCAATAGTAAAAACAACAAATAAAAATAACAATAGTGAAAGGCAATAATAAAAACAAACAATAAAAAAAACAACAGTCAGAATATAAAATCAGCCCGGAAAGCCTTTTCTAAAAAGGAAGGTCTTAAGTCCTTTTTTAAAAGCATCCACCGTCTGTGGCGCTCTGAGGTGGTCAGGAAGGGCGTTCCACAGACGGCGAGCTGTAGCCTCAAAGGCCCTGTCACCCATGGTCTTGAGCCGAGTCTTGAGTGGGTGCAGACGGTGCATTTGGCCTGACCAGGTTCTGGCTGAGGTGTGTGGGGTGAGGAGTTCAGCGAGGTAAGTGGGGGCAGCACCGTGAAGAGAGTGATGGGTGTGGAGGAGGATTTTGAATTCGATGTGAAGTTGGACGGGGAGCTAGAGCAGAGTGCAAAGGATGGGGATGATGTGCTGGCAGTGCTGTTTTGAGCATATTGCCAGGGATCCCGGTGAGGAGTGTGTTGCAGTAGTCAAGCCTGGAGGAAACAAAGGAGTGGACAAGCCTCTATGTAGCAGAGCAGGAGGAGAGAGATGGACGGAGTTTGGCAGTGTTACGGAGGTTAAAGAAGGAGGTTTTGCAGACATGATTGCTGTGGGTGTCAAAGCTAAGATAGGGGTCAAACCTGACTCCAAAATTAGTCACAGAAGGGGAGCTTTATTGTTCTTTACTGTACAATTATACAAAGCTGCTCAAGCCCTGGCATATAGGCTTTGAATCTAAAAGTGCTACCAGTGTTTATTAATAAGTAATAACCGCATCTATATTCCAAATCCTGGAGGCTGACAGCAAGGAGTGATTGCCTCGGTTGTCAGATCTTCCAAATAAGTTTTGTGCTACTGACTGTGATATACCCTGCCCAATCTCAGTCATTTTAGCCACCGCAGTCATTTAAAAACACCTATGGTCAAAATGTTGTTCACAGGGAGCACTCTATAGACATGTGTTTGAAGATTAGAGGACAATTGGCATGAATCAATGTTCCCAAATCGATGGAAAACAATACTTTGGACCATTTTTCTGTATTTTCAACATCTTCAGAAAATGAGTTTCTGCTGAGGTAAGCCAAAGTAAAGCCTCTGTTTAACTTAGTGTTTACATTGAAACTGAGACTCGCCATGAAGGAATGTACCGGCACTTCTGTCTGGGATTTAATGAGCCAAGTAATGACATGTTTATTTTGCAGACAGTCCTCTTTTGATGTGAAGACACGGACACCTCTTGGGTTGCTAACTGGACTGTAAACAATGCAGCACACAGGAAAGGGAGTCTTGGCAGAGGGCCGTTCATTGTTAGCTTAAATTACTGTGAAATTCACTGACACTCCCAAAGAGGAGAGCACTGCCAAATGATAGGGGATGGGTTCAGAGATAATGACAAAGACAGAGAAGGTATAAGAACACAAAATATATCTGTGCCAGTATCAAACTGGTCTGAAAATGTGTCCTGAGTTCAGTTTGAGGTTTTATCACTTGAGTATTTGCCGATTATTCTGAGCAACTGATTCGTTGTGGAGATCTCTGCAGAGAGTAGAACAAATTCCTCTCTCACATTCCTGACATTTGACTCCGTGCCGATTAGACCACAAAAATCTATCCTCCTGCAAGGTTCCTGTGAGAATGTATCTGAGCTTTCTCTGATTTATAACATAGGAAACTGGTTCAGTTGGTCTCTGGATGTGACATCTGTGCAGGAGAGTAAAAGAAAGTTTAGAAGCTCACTACAGACCAGAAGTGAAGCTTATTCCCCACTTATACTAACTTCACTTTAATCCAGCAGGATAAAGGTTTCTGAGTTACAGGAGCGCTAAACATGTCTTTGTGTTCACACCTCACACTCACCTGAGAGTACTGCATCTATCAGCCATGTAAACCTAATCACCGTCTTCTCCCTCTCTCTTTCTCTCCCTCTCTTTCTGTCTGCAGGTCAGCTAACTGTTACTTTGACATCGAGTGGCGTGGGAAGAGGCTGACTCTCCGGGCTGCGAACGGGAAATATGTCGCCGCCAAGAAAAACGGCCAGCTCGCAGCCACCATTGATTCAGCCGGTCAGTGAGATTTGTTGATTCAGCCTCTTAGACAATGACGTGTAGATAAGTGATTTATCTCTCAGCAGAGAGGACGAGGGTTCAGCGTGGTTAGCGTACAGGAATGAAACAGGCTGGGGTTTCCAGATGTTTGCAGAGACTTTTCTGTTTCGTAACATTTGAATAAATCTTTTTATGAAGTCTTTTCTGTTTGTTCCTTTGCCATGTCAAGTCTAATGATGGAGATTTTGAGTTGAGTGCCTAGTATTTGGTGTAAAAGCAGTGGTTGAAAGGCAAGAAAGTACACATGTAATTGAAATATACAGTGACCTTGGTGTTGGCGGATTTCAACAGCCAATGCTAATGTCAAGCGAGCACATTGGCTGATGGCTGATCCATATATGCAGGTGATCACTTTCTTGTTTGATAGAGGTCTTAACAATCCCATTATCCTACACACATCACAGTCTAATATTCAAAGCTGACTCAGCCAGGTACATGATTTAAATGGATTTTTTTAACTACCGTAATGACCATAATAGACATTTATTTTCCTTCAAAATAGACCTTAAAAAAGTGTGGTTTATTTTAGTAACTAACAGGGATGATTCTGTTGAAACATGTTGTTCAGTTTATGATATCAGCTCTGAAAATAGAATGGTAATACATAGCAACATACTGTAAAATCCACTCACTTTGTGAGACAGTCAGCTTCAAGGGGTCAGACTTGATGTTCTCTACAGAAAAAAGTGTATTTTCAGAGGCTGCCCAGACCTCACAAAACAAAAATAATCTGTGATGATTCTTGTTGTAGTTTTAGTAAAAAAGTGTCATTTGTATTATTAGCTGATGATGAAGGCTGACATCTTAAATTGTTGTGTCGACCATTTAGTCCAGCGCAGCCTGAGACTAACATTACAGCCTGCTCACAGCACAGAAATACAAAAGATATCACTGTTTTTACTGGATTCATCCTACTCTGCTTATTCTAGTGTCAGTAGATCTGTTCTCTTTCTTTGTACCAAGACCTGGGCGCTTTATTCACATGTGATCATCTTTTATTTCATTTCACTGTGAGGATTTCATATTAAGACTTTGAAAACACAATTTTATTGATGCCAGTTTATCATTATTTTAATTCACATTGTTTTCTATGTAAAAAAAAAAAGAGGGAGTTGATGTAACAGGAAAAAACATTTGCTTATGGATCAAATCTTTAGATCATATGGATACATACTTAATTTAGATCTTCAGCAGCATTTAAGACAGAAGCAATAGAGTACTGCATTGAAACCTTTTTTCCAGGGTGTGAGTGAGTTTGAATAAGAGCACAGGACTGTAATCAAACTTTTTTCACCCTTTTCACAAAATTATCTTTAAGTATATTTCCATACAAATATCATATCATAAATTAGAAGGTGCTTTCATTGAAGTAAGGCTGTCTGATCCCCCTGTTTCCAGTCTGTATGCTGAGCATACCTAACCTCCCCTCTTGTGAGGCCTCATATGTGACGGTGATCAGATTTAAATCAGGTATTTAACTTTATCATGAACCCAAAGCAGGAAAATATTTTTCTGTCCTTTATCATCCTTGCCTCACTCACAAACAGCTCACAGATGTTGCAGGGAAGTATCGCGGAGGCTTTGTTCGTAGTTTGTCTATAAAAGCCGAGTTTTTCTTAGCTGAGAGACAGAGGCATCATGTCAGCAGATCAGAAGAAGCTCGGGTTATAAATCTGCTTCTTTGTGCTGCTTAAAGTGGATCAAAGCTGCAGGTCCTACTTTGTGCTGCAGTTTCTGATGAGTGAGCTGTCGGCTGTCACAGAGCGCTTTTTAAGGATGAAGTGAAGCCGAGTAGCTTTGCATACATATTTAATGAGATAAACTGAAACACTGAGCTGATCATGATGCGACCTGACAGCGGTGGTGTTCTTACATTTCAGAGTTTAGAGCAAAGCTGTGTGAAAATATGTTTTTCTTCGAACTTGTTTTTCTTTTAAGCATACCAGGAAATGAAGGGTTTAAAGTCGACATGATAACACCTGATCATCCTCTGCCTCTTTCCAGGTGAGTCCGAGGAGTTCCTCATGAAGCTGATTAACCGCCCCATCATCGTCCTGCGCGGCGAGCACGGTTTCATCGGCTGCAGGAAGGTGACAGGCACGCTGGACTCCAACCGCTCCTCCTATGACTACTTCACCCTGGAGTTCAGAGACGGAGCGTACAGCCTGCAAGGTCAGAGCATCAGCAGATATACTGGTCAATGTGGGACACAGAGAGACACACACACACGCAGCAGCTGCTTTACACAGAGCATGTGAAAGGACGTCCTGCAGGCACATAAGGGATTAAATCATTTTCTCTTTAAGGGATTCACATCATGGATTTACTCCCTAGGCTTTTGTGCCAAAAAGAAGGATTAAATCCGGATAAATTCTCCGCCCTCTCATTATGTCATTCACACACAAAACAATTAAGCCTTTTGTTTCCCTTCAGTTTTTCTCACCCTTTCCATGTTCCCATGTGCTTTTCTATATAATTTCCTGTACAAAACTGAAGTCTGTTTTCCAAAATAGGTGACACAAAGCCCAAAAATGGCAGTCAAAAATGCTGACTCAACCTAATATTGGGCTAAAAACAGACAAATAGAGAGCCGAATGAACCCGAACTGCAAGCAACAATGCACATACCTGACAGCCACGGCCACAATTATGCATAACTCTGTGCCTCTATGTGATAAAAATGAAGGAGTTTTAGAAAATCTGTGATAAATTACAGTTGCCATAATTTATCTTTGCAATGTTGTTTTTGTACATGGGCTAGCATTAGCATAATGAACTAAACAAAAAGGACTTGAAATATACAGGCGTGTAAGAATGGACATGACCCCATCATCACCGTGAACCTATTTAACTAACAGTCAGTGCATTTACATCATAGACTGTATATAGAATGGACAGAGTCTGCCTCCTCGCTGGGTGAAGCCACTCCGAGAACAGCACCCCCTGTTGACGGGCTGCAGTATAGGTCATAAATCCCGATGTTGACATGTAGTTATTATAAGACTGGTTTGTGCTCAAGTCCTCTTTTTTCTGTACAGCTCCATTTTCAAAAGTTATTTGGGGGTTCATGTTTTCTATGATTGACACCTGATACAGCCTATAGGCGTACAAAGATTGCGTAGCTCACCAGGGGGATACGCTGTTTGAGCCGAGCGTCATCACAGCAACTCTCAGTGACTCTCCCGCCAAATGCGTACAACACTATTGCGCAATGTTGGTTTCAGGAAGTCAAGAAAAATGCGGAAATACCGAGAGGTTTTCGGCTTCAAATCCGTATACTGGCGGTAGGCGGAACCAAGTTGTCTATAGTATATACAGTCTATGATTTACTTGCTTGTTTAAGTCCAGCTATGGTAACCACACTAACCAGACTACGGCCCTTACAGACTCCTTGCTGTACAGACTGCCTCTAGTGGACACTTGGAGAACTGCAGTTTTCAGCATTACCACCCGATTGTTGCACATTCACAACAAAATCTCCCCTCAGCCTTAAACGTGTCTGATCGCTCTTTTGCAGACTCCACTGGGAAATACTGGATGATCGGGAATGAGCAGTCCGTGGTGAGCAGTAGCGACACACCCGTTGACTTCCTGTTTGAGTTCTGCGACTACAACAAGCTTGCTGTGCGCCACGCTGCCGACAACAAGTACCTTCGCGGCGACCATGCCGGCGTGCTCAAGGCCAATGCGGATGACCTGGAGAGCGCCACACTCTGGGAGTACTGAGGGATCTGCTGTGATGCTGATGGATGAAGAGTGACCACGCAGCACCACCCATCCTTACATCTACTTACCCCGCCCCCTTGTTCTTTATATTATATCCGTATGTATGACTTTATATGTTGATGAACTGCACAGAGAGAAAAGGAAGGATAAGAGAAGAAGGAAGGAGACACTCCCTTTCCTTCCCTTCATCCTTCCTTCCTCCTCGTTCCAAGCTCTGCTCTGCATTGCCGACCTTTATCTGTTGCCATAGTTACCACGGGGCTGTGCACTTTTTTTTCCTGCTCCGATCTGGTTTGCTGCTCGACCTGTCACTCACTCCTTCTTCCTCGCCTTACATTTGATCATCCCTCTTCTGAGCGGAGCAGAGCCACATTTAAAGACCCTCCCCCGGCCCCCCCGACCTCTGAGTTTAACCCTTCGATGTCTCTGTTGTCTGTGTGCGCAGCTCATGATGGCGGCATTATTGCCTCTGAGCTGGTCTGGTGAATCTATTTCTACCTGATCTGGTCCACAAAAACAGGATCCACCTCCTCCAGAAATCCTGCTGCAGCTGCTTCCTGGCAGCTGGACGGAGAAGACGGAGGAAGTGCTGATATTTGTGTGTTTGGATCAGGTAGAAACAGATTATCTGCTCGGTGTGTTTGTTTTCTTGAGCGGGCCCTTTCGCCTTGTGTGATATAACTGGAGTTTATCTGATCATGATGATGATGAAGAAGATGATGTACCTGAAGGGTGTGATCCCCTTACCTCTCCCCTCGCCCCTGTTTTTCATCTCGACTGTAAAATATTCTAGTGTTAAACCCTGTGTTGTTCTCTAGCCGTGTTCTCAGTGGTGGAGGAGGAAGTTAAAACACACGTCCCCCTCGTCTCCTCTCCGTCTGTCCTGAGAACACTCTGAAGAAATAAAATAGAAATTGTGCGGACACAGATGTAAACTGCACATGCCTGTCTTACTGGAAGAAAAAAAAAACACACTTGCTAAAACACATTTGGATGAATTTGTTTTTTTTTTTATGTCCAAGGCACAGACATTATCATGAGGGGACGTTCAGTAGGTAGGTTTGATTTCTAGACCTTTGACAGCTGCTTTTAGACTCCCTCGACCAAACGTTTACACCTCAGCCTTTATGTAGACCAAACCTTTGATATACTGGATTAACACTGTCATCTCAAACACGAATACACACACTAACACACAACCCGCCAAACTGGAATCTGGTGCTACTAACCCGCTTTAACAACTAATGGCGTGTGAAACGTGACAGTCCTGTTGAACATCTTTCACACTGTCCAGACCCACTGATACTCTGCTATGATTTATTTCATGCTTTATTTTTTTGCTCAGTTAAAAATGTTCCTCATTTGCCAAATTTAAACTTTTCTCCTTTTTTTTCTCTCCTTGTTCTTTTTCCACTTTTCTAGTTTTTTTTAATGATGTTTTTAACTTGACAGTTTTTTCTCATGCTGTATTTTCCTTCTTGTTTTTTCCTCTTGTCTTTTTCCATGTTTCTTTTTCTTTGTTTGTTTTTCTAGTTTTTTTAACCTTCACCTTTTGCTCTGTTTGTTTTTCCATTTCTTCTCGTTAGTTTCTATCATCTTTTTCCCTTGGCCTTGTTTTTGTTTTCTTTTTCCCTTTTTATTTTTCTTTCCCCTTTTTCTTGTTTCTTTCTTTGTTATTTTTTATGTTTTATGCTTACTTTTACCACCCTTCAATCAGCAAAATCTGCCTCTTCTTCTTTGGTTTTAATTTCTGTTTGAACTCTGATGTGAGCCCCTCACGAAGAATCGTGATGAAATTGTGAGTTTTTGTTATAATTTTTTCTCCTGATTTGTCGGTGAAGTCGTGACACATTTAAAAAGAAGAAAAGAGAATAGATTCAGATGCTGAATTTGTGGTAACTGTAATGTTAATGTGCGTCATGCAGTCATGTAGCATGGTGCACCCATGGCTCCTCACTCTTGGACTCTCTGTAACAAAGAAACCAGCAGCAGCAGTTTCTCTTCGCTGATTCTCACAGCACAAAGATATCTCGACTCTGAGCCTTGAGCTATAAGGCTCCTTCACTCACGTTCAACCTCATCCATCATTCCTCTGATGAGAAAATCAGTATTTGACCAATTCAATCATTGTAGCTCGATAATACGTGATTGTAGCCTGCTCCTCAAAGTCCGTCCAGTTTCCTCACCTGATTCTGACCATTTTTGCATGAAGGGTTGAGAAGCAAATAAAAGAGGTGATTATTCTTGGAGTAGAAAACAGCGTCTCCATGGTAACTGATGCTGAGACAAACGGATGTGGAGGGTAAACATGTGGTAATGACTGTGCCTTACTCACGAGTTTATGGGCAGAAAATTAGATGATAAGATCCACATCTTTGCTTTGTATAACTGGAACTTCTTTTTGTATTATTATTTTGTATAATTTTTTTGATATTGTGGATTAATCTCTCTCGTGCCATTGGTTCACCTGAAAATCCAACGACCAATAAAACTGGGATTTGGAACGCAGCGTGTCTTTTTCATTTCACCGGATAAATGAAACCTTGATTTTTAACCTGGTCAGCTGAAAGGACAAACTTAAATTAAAAAAGTATATCCCAATCCACAAAGTTTGGTTGCTGTGGCGAGTTTTGACCAGAGATGGAGGTAAGATTCAACTTTTTTAAAATCATGAGTTTTTGTTTGATTTCATTTTGTTTAACTCTTGATGCTGGATGCTAGTTTTTAAAGTGTTTTTCTTGTAGTCACCTGGTTGGCCTGTCATGTTATAATTTTTAACTTTGTATATACAGTAGGTCTTCACTGTTAAATGCCTCTGATTTGTGAAGCTTGTCATTTTTTATTCCTTGCTAACAAAGTATAAAATCTTGACACACTTCTTCAATAGATATTTGGTAAGCTCACTTTTACAGGAGTAGAGCATTTTTAATATTTCTATTTGTTGCATATTTATTTTAAAGGAGCAAAAACCTTGAAATGTAATCCTGGCTGTGCAGAGTAGGAGGATATTTGAGGTTAAATTGAGTTCAGCTGAGTTATGAATGAAATTAAAGGTGCGTTTTAACACCTACACATCATCACTGCACTTTAATCTCCATGCTCTCTAAATCACAGCTTTTTCTTGACCTGATCATCTCTCACAGAAACATAAGGCTTCATCCTTGCTCGAGTTCAACCACAGCAGCTCCATGTGCTGTCCCAGTTACACACATATTTAGAGACACACACACACACACACACACACTTTTTCCTGCCTCATGAATAGAGCCTTTGTGTTCGTACATTTATTCCAGTGCAGAAAGAAAGGGTAACCCCTCTGCGCACACACATGGACACCACTCAGAGAGGTAATGTAATGATGGGGCCTCTGGAGCAGGTTCTTAACTCCCACCCCCCCACACACCCCACCTCCTGATCCCAGAGGAACGCCCAGCATGGCAAAACAAACACACACCACCTAATCTCATCCCCTCTGCTGCCTCACCCCCTCCCACCTAATCCGTTTTCTCCAATCTCCCTCTCTGCTTTGACCTTTTTCCTACCGTCCACTCCTCTCCCTCCTCTTCCTTCCCCTTTTCCTCTCCTCCTCCCTCTTTTGAACAACTCTGCTGAAAAGATGAGTCACTCAAAGTATGACCGCTGCCCCAGAAATGGCTGCAGTGGTTTGTGGGTAAAGTGTCAGGGAGGGGTGGGGGAGGGTGAAACAGAGGGAGGGAGGAGAAGCGAAATGGCCGCCATCTCCTCCACCTTGTTGCCATGGAAACACCAGCAGCCAGAAGCCCAGAGGTCTGTATCAAAGCGACTGAGTGGCATTGTTAGAGCAGAAATGTTTAAAACGATTCAAAAAGCAGGCTGACTGAGGATGAGGAGGGCGGGCAGGCGGGGTTCGAGGAGCCGGCTTGGTGCACAGAGCTCAGAGGGGGTTAAGATTAGGAGCAGCAAGAGGAGGATGAGGAGGTGGAGGAAGAGGGTGTCTGCCTTTGATCAGGAAAGACCTCATCAGTTAGGAAACAGCATCAGACCAAACTCAACTCCTTTTTGTATCCCTCCCATTTACTCCACTGCAGAGGACGTTTGTGTGTGTGTGTGTGTGTGTGTGTGTGTGTGTGTGTGTGTGTGTGTGTGTGTGTGTGTGTGTGTGTGTGTGTGTGTGTGTGTGTGTGTGTGTATCAACTGTCTTATTCATCTGTCTCCTGCCCGCCACTCAATCAACTCTCCTCACTCTCACTCATATAAATATGCATCCTCTGGTAGTGTCTTCCTCCTCTCATGGGGGCAGTAGGTCAGCAGTTTGGTCTGTTATCTCTTTAAAAGTCTAAATATCTGATTTTGGTCTCACATTTCCGACTTTAATTTCAGAAATCTGAAAAAAATTATGATTAATGACTTAAATCTTTAGAATTCTGATAAAACGTCAGAGTTGAATATTCATATTTAGACCACAAGATAAAAAATTGAGGTCTAAATTTCATCCTTGACATGCATGTAAATTTCTGTGTCTTCACAAAAATCTCTGAGTGTCTTCCAGTGTAAGCTAAAGCTGGGGCCTGGTGGGTTAAGCTCAGGGTCACAGGCGTCTCCGTGACCATGGCAACCAAAGTTATTCTACACATTCACTCTCATGTGCTGCCTTGTTTACCAGGAAGAGTTTCCAACACTTTGGCACAGCGCAGGCACAAATTGAGGTGTCAGTCAACACAAGGTATCTTTAAATCTTACGTAAGTAAGAACACATGCATGACATTCCCACAGTGTATTTCTATAGTAAGGTAGCCCGCCCCAAACTTTTGTAATAACTTCTGAGATAAATACCATGCAAGAGAGATTACACTGACTTGGCTAATGATTAAATTAAGACATTCTCCAAATCAAATTGATTTGCGATTGGTGAAAATTGGTAGACTTAAATTAAGGTAAATTTTCCAAAGATTGAAAAACAACTGGCTGAAATGAAAACCTGACAAACACATCCCAAGACAGCGGTGACTCTATGAATTTAAAACCAACCCTAAAAAAGGTACAATCAGGGGGTTCTCATGGTCTAGCAGACTATGCATCCTGCTTCGAGGTTAAAGTCCTGGTTGCTGTTGCTGCTGGTTTGATTCCTGCATGTCTTCCCTCACTCAAATATAAAAGCTGGTGATGACAGTTATTTATAGACTATTATTAGATGATAAAACATCCTACAAAGGCCATATGAGCCACCGTCCCGAGGCCACAGCTGTAAAAGGCCTCGCTCATTAATTACATGAACACATACTCATCAATAATATACACAGACTCATTAATAACACACACACACATTACAGAAACTCACAACAACAGACACAGACACAAACAAAGCCAGCAGAGGCTGAGCAGAAATAAACGTCTGGGGAGCAAAATGCCGCCAGACACCAGCGGTCCCTGAGGGGGAGGAGCCAGCAGAGGGTTTTAATATGCATGTACACACACACACACACACACACACACACACACACACACACACACACACACACACACACACACACACACACACACACACACAACAGAATGTGTGACTGCTGGGGTGTGAAGGTTGGCTTGGTTGCAGATTTTATAAAGCGTGTGCGTCTGTTTGGAAACACTAAAAACTCATTTAACTAAAACATGAACAGGATGTTTCAGCAAAGATTTGTGTGTGTGTGTGTATGTGTGTGTGTGTGTGTGTGTGTGTGTGTGTGTGTTTGTTTCAGTAAATGTGCAGGTCACGTCTGGTTCATATTTTTGGTACTGCAGTTCAGATTTATCTCATCAAACCCATTCAAATGTTAAAGTCCACGGTGATCACTGAAAGGTCTGAACGTTTGTCTCCAGAGGTTGTAAAAGGTCACAACACTGATTTTATTTTTGTAACTAATCTACTGATTTACAGAGGCATGAGGGCGGTGAGGCCCGTTTCATACATCATGACAATCAACGGTAGTTTATCTACGACCTGACTGCAACCTAAAAGCTGAACAATCAAGATAAAGACATGTGAGAAAAGGTCAATGTAGTTTTTGTTAAAGCTCTTTCAAGAGACTTTCAGTTTGGGTCAAGTTTGGCTCCCCTGGTGGACAAAGCAGTCTTTACTTATTTGTACTTGTCCTTTGGCGAATTTAACCCAGTAAAAAAGGAAAAAAATAAGCAATGGTAGTAAATATTTTTCTTTTACATCAAAAATATTAAATAAATGATCATAATTCTTTGATTAGATTTCATAGTTACTATTTCTAGCTCAAAAAACTCGGACTTACAACTTATCAAGGCCAAGTTTTTAACCTGTATCCTGTACTGGCAAAAATAGAATGATTGTAAAAGTTTTAATATTAAATATTTCTTAATGAGGGACCAAAAATCCCATAGCTGGATCTATAAAAGATCTGCAGACGTCTCCTTTATTTCGCCTCACCAACCATGTCACTTCAGTTGCTCTTTGTTCTTCTATTTAAAGAAGTTATTACCAGATTATACTCTTTAATGCTGCTCAGCTGTAATCCAGGCCCTACGCACTTGTAGCTTGAGGGGTTTTTAAGGACGAATTGAAAGAATTAAACAGTAAAATGCACGTTTTGTGAAAATGTGATTGTTTGAGGATCGAGACTGTAACTTCTCTTGACCTCTGAGAGGTCAGCAACCTGTTGACCGAGACACTTTGTCTGTTTTAGACATTATTTCTACTTATATTTTAACCGTAGGAGGACAGTGTTGGTTCAGACTAAGGCTGTGTCCGAAATGAATCACTCAATCCCTAACCCCTAACCCCCATACGGGATTTCACTCTATAGTTGACTATGTAGTGAGCTCAATTACCGAAGGTTTCGGACACTACATGGCATGACGCAATGCATGATGGGATGCCCACCACCGGTGAGTGACCATGGCTGTGTCCGAAATGAATCCCTAACCCCTATAACACTCAGTCACCTATATAGGGGTTAGGGATCCATTTAAGTATTTATTAATGCCATGAACATTTGTAAACTGTTTCATTAACGGTGTTTGTCTTATGCTTGGAGAAGTCATACAATTCAAGATTCATAAAAAGAGTCACAGGGGTGTTTTTTTGTTGTTCAACACAGTAACAGTCATTTTTGACCCTTAAATGGGCACAAGGATTGAGGATAATCTGTCTCTCCCTCCTTCGCCCTCGCCTCAGGCTGAAAAAAGGGGCTGACTCATGATAACTGAGCCCCGAGGCTATAGACCAATCACATGACGGAGGGGCTGCCGTCCACCAATCACAGCGCAGCGACACCCCGGCTTTGTGAATGTAACTGAGAGCGGGTCTCCTTTGTTCAGCCGAGTGTGCTGTGAGTGTGACAAATCGCTTCGCTTCACACACACACACGCACGCACACACTCAGCGTCTTGTTTCTGCATGGAGAGGATAAAAGTAGCTCAGAAAACCCCGTTTTAGCCCAGGGGTCCTGATGGTTTTAGTCACGGGTGGTATGAGACAGATTGTGTTTGTATGAGGGCCAAAAATGAGGCGGTAATCACGTTCAGGATCAGCGATCAGCAGCCAAGTTATCATGAATGAAATGATGTTTGTGATGATTCACTGAAGTTTTATGAATATCTACTGCAGCCAGTAATGTTGTCGTCTGGCTGTCAAATATAGGCTCAAATTTAATGTGGATTTAACATTCTATGTTTTACAGTAAACCTTTTTTTGTTCCTATTTTGCTATAAAGAGACGACCTCATGTGAAGTCTGATGGTGGCATGTTAACGTGATTTAATGCAAAACTGTTACAGTCTCGAAAAAAGTACTAAAAAGGAAAAGTCAGTTCACTAAATACATGAGGCCTTGATTTTTTTTTTTTTTTAAAAAGAGAAAACTCATATTTTCAAAGTTCTCAGAAACAAGCTCTTGTTTCATTGAATTATTGGCTCAAAAATCAGTCAGGCTGCTTTAAAGGGATATTTCATAACTTAGGGTCAAATACACGTAACACAGAGTTAGTAACAACTGCAGATAGCTATACAGAGAGCCACGTGCTCAAACAAAAAGCCACTCTATAGCCACAAATAATGCTCAGAACAGTACCTAACTCCATCAACAGCACATACAGGGTCCCAGCCAAAGTACTAGCCACCAAACATCTTTTTAACTTTGCCTGATTTCTTCAGCAAAGAGACTAAATACAACACACCATCTCTCTTCCAGCAGCTGCTTGTTTGTACGGAGACCTCCAGGCAAGTCTATTACCACAGCGGGGTGACTCAGCTCAAGGAAGAACATTTATGATCATTACTTCATGGAAATACGATCAGACTGAGACTCTAAGGCAGAAGAACTACCGTGTCTGCAGTGCAAAATGATTAATATGATAATTATTACTTCAAGGAAATGTTAAAGAATTGATCATAAATGTTCTTCCTTGAGCTGCATCACCCCGCTGTTGTAATAGAGGTCTTTGTACAAACAAGTGGCTGCTGGCAGAGAGATGATAAGTTGTGTTAAGTCTCTTTGCTGAAGAAATTAGGCAAAGTTAAAAACATGTTTGGTGGCTAGTGCTATGACTAGGACCCTATATGTACTGTTGATGAAGGTAGGTGCTGTTCTGAGTATTATTTGTGGCTATAGAGTGGCGTTTTGGTTGAGCGCATGGCTCCGTGTAATGCTATCCTATCCGGTCGTTACTAAAGTTTGTATAACTAGAGAAGCAAGCGGCCAGCAATATTCATCTCTTGAGGGGGTGTCTAACTCGGTGTTAATGTGTGTTTGACCATAACTTAATTTTATGCTGGAATATCCCTTTAAGAGTTTAGCCAAGGAGGCTCTTTTTTAACACAAATGACAACAGACGTTAACATTATGTAATATTTATCTCAATAGGATTGGACCTGGTTGAATAAAGGTTAATAAAAATGTATAAAGAGGCACATTTTACACTCCAGGATGTGCGACTCAAAGCTTTAATAGAAAACTGTGTGGTCTTATACACAAAAAGATACAGAAGGGAATGCTAACTTTTTTCTCCAAATATGTACTCAAAAATATCTGTATAAACTGCAAATAAAGTGTCTGAAGTTTCTAAACCGTTCATTCCCTCAGCCCCGACATCCAACAGAAAATGATGAAAACTCCAACAGATCCACTTCACGACTAAAGTCCCGACTTTAGCGGGAGAAGGCAAAGTCTGAATGTTTGTGTACTTTTCATTTCAGAGCGTTTTAACAACTGAGACATGAAGGAATTCAAAACCTGTACATGAGCTCTGAACGGAGAGAGAAAAAGAAGGAACGGACAACACGAGGAAACACATCAGGTCTCAAAACAGACCTGAAACGAAAAGTACATTAGCGTGTGTGTGTGTGTGTGTGTGTGTTAGAAGTGTCTGTAGTAGCGCTGTGCAGGTCCGTAGTGCATGGGCAGATCCATCACGTCCATGTTGTGTTGATGGGGGTTGACCGGAGGGTTGTTGTGGAGGTGGTGGTGATGGTGGGGATGATGGTTGTTGTTGTTGTTGTTGTTGTTCAGGAGGGGCAGCGGCTGCAGAGGGGCTACGTAGGGGGCCGGGGGAAGCCGGTGCATTATCACCTGGTGGTACATCCGGCCCTGGGGTGGACCAGGCGGGTAGCGGGCACGAGGAGGCACAAACAGGGGGGCTTGTACCGCCTGAGGATGGGGAGGAGCTGGGGGGTTTGGTGGGTTTTCTGGGGGTGGGCCGACACGAGCCCGCTTGGCTTCATTGAACAGCTCCGGCGGAGGGCCGACTCTCTTCCCTGAATTATCTGACAGAAGGAGAGGAGAGGATGTTGTTATGCATTAGCTCTACTCTCTTCACCATCAATCTGTAGTTTAGCTCAATAATTGTTTCATTTTTTTAGATAAATATCAGAAATTTAGATTTTTTTTTACATTCAAAGCCACATCCTGTCTCTAGACCCAAAACTAAATGTCCAAATCGAGCTGTAAACAAAGACACTTACTGATACAAACCAGTGGGAATAGCCAGTAAAAAAATGAAACAAAAGATGCTGTTTATCCAGTTATCATTATAGTAATGCTCCAGACCTGTAGGGGGCGCTAACTTAAGTGAAACATAATTTATTTATAATTTAAAGTATTTTTTATTTAAACAAGAAATTTAAGCTGATATACATTGTCAGATATGGACAGTAAAGCCCTCAACATTAGTTCAAACAGTGGTGAGACAGAAGTGAGTAAATTCTCTTGTAGGGGTGTTAGCGCCCCCTACAGCTCTGGAGGGTTTCTGCTGAGAAGACTGGACTTTTTTCATTTTTAAACTGGAAACCCTTTTGCTCGCTTTTTGCATCTGTTTGGACTCTTGTTGTTGTTACTTTGCTTTGTGTCTGAGGCAGACTTGTCAGGCCAAGGGGTGGAAAGAAACACACTCGGCAATACAGAGCAAAGCCCATGTGACCGATGGAGGTCAGTTTGACGGAGAAAAACACTGAAGTCTGGTAATTCCTGTTTCATCTGATGATGCCCTGAAGCCCCTCAACTGTCATGAGTATCCAGTTTTTTCTGTTGTTTCGATTTTTCCCCATTTTGAGTCTTGTTATGCACCCATGGCCTGTTTGCTCTTTACGCATTCTGCATCATTTTGTTTTAGTTTTAACCATCCTCTTGATGGTGTCACTAAATAACAAGACAGTATAAGTTTCTGAATTTGCAGCACATTTCACCTTACAGGAATCGTCTGCAGTGCTTTTGCCCCCTCTGATAACATGTACTGTAAAGACGACATGTCATAACAGTCCACTGAGGTTTAAATGTTACCCTGCACAACCTCGCCAGCCACCAATCTTTCCTCACACAAACAAAAACACAGGAAACAACAGCTGCTATCTGCTGTAAGCATTCACCATGTCTGAACAAATAAAGCTTCCAGAGACAAAGAGGAGGCAGCAGAGAGGAAGAACAATGCTGCTGCAGTGAGACAGACAGTCCTCTGCCTCAGACTGTAATTCATCACATTTCTACATCAGTGTGAATCAACAACTTTAAGAGAACCATCCAGACCTGTACTCTTCTTATTCAGCTCCGCCTCGCCTTCCTTCTGGATCTCCTGGATGATCCGCTCATCGTCTTGCTGTAAACACACAGAAAATGTTGAAAATCCAAATCAAACATCCTGTTTTACTGTGTAATGAGAAAGAAAGGGAAATCAACACCATTATAAACACATGCCATCCACAGTTTGATGTGTATCTGTTTTTAAACATCCCTCTCATGACAAGAGAAACCCCCTGACCCAACAACAAGGGGGCTGACCCCTTTACACGACAACTGGTTCTCGGTATTTATCTGTTTCTTGGCAAAGCATGTAGAGCTTCATCTTTGCCAGCTCGGCTGTGTCGCTGTGGGTGATGGAGGATCTCCAGCTCATTAGCAGCTCAGGGTCTTATTGTTTGCTTTGGCTTCTGGTGATGCTGTGGCCTGACCACTGTGGGCTCCATGTAGTCAGGGTCAAAATGTAGAGAAGAGCAGATAAAAGTTTGGATACTCTGTAACTCAAAGTGTCAAATTTTTCAACCCCAAATTTCTGAGAGCAGCTGTGGTCAGGCGGCAGAGACAGTAATCAAGTGAGCGAGCACTGCTAATGAGAACAAACAGGGACTTTTCTGGTGCTAAAAGGCTGCTAACAAGAAAAAGAAAATCAGCTTACAGGCAAAATTCATGATATAAAACGTTACCGTTGGATCTGTCCACAGCGAGCACTTGCGGCAGTGACGGCAGGGGGCGCCAGGCGAGCGGGCGTGCTGACAGAAGTGGTTGTATCCGGTGATGGGCTCTCTGCAGAGGTAACACATGAAGCTGCCGCAGCGGCACGACATCCGATTACAGCCCTCCGACTTCACCAGACCTGTCCCACACTTCACACACTTCCTGACCCGAGCCGCCGTCATTCGCTCCTCACTGCAGAGGGATGAAAAAAAGATGAGCAAAAGAAAAGAAATGAACAAAAAGCAAGACTAAAGGAGGGAGACAGAGGAGCGTCAGAGAATCGCGTCTCTTACTCTGTGGGTAAATTTGATCAGATTCATCCTCCAAGATCAGGGACACAATCTTCTTTTTTGTAAATCTTGAGATCACATGAAAACCGGTGTCTCCACCCGAGGGTTCTGTTTGTTTTTGACAGAGGTCCTCAACAAGAGGTTTTTCTCAGCAGTCTATAAAAAGGCCAGTATACTGAGGTTGGCCCGGGTTCGCCCCCAGCCTGTTCCACATGTCTCTCCCTATTTCCAAATCTGTCAACTGAGCTGTCCTCTCCAAACGAAGGTGAAAAGCCAGAAAATAGAACCTTGAAAGTAATGGTGCATTAGCAGCATTTGTAAGAGTGCTTTCCTGCAGTCCACAACCGTTTTCTTCTCGTTTAGTTGTGTCTAAAATTCACCCGATAGCCTTCATATTATTGACAGCTATTGATTATCACTCTTTAATATTTGTATGATTGTGTAATCCTTTGTATCCTCCCTACAGCCACATTCATACTGTTTCCAGCCTGTTTCAGGATAAGCAGCCAACAAGATCCCAAAAATCAGTCAGTAAGTCAACTGATGACCAATTGATAACATTAATATTAATTATTTTTTGTATTTCTTTTAATTTGATAAAATCAAACAGTTATCAATTGATGCAGATTATTCCAAAATGACGTTAATCAGCCCGATTGATTAATTGGTCTTATTGTGGTTAATAAATGATACTTATAATACATATTAAAAAACTTATTTGTTTCTATAATCAATAACAAAGTATTTATGTAAGATAATAATGCTGCATTCCAGTTGCACTTGGAAGTCGGAATTTCCGAGCTCCAAGTCGCAAATTCATCTGGAATGCACCCCTGAAATCGAACTTTCCATCTCGGAAAGTCGGACGATCCTATCCAACCCTGACTTGACGACAACATCATAATTCAAGATGGCAGCGCAGTGCATCAATAGTAAAGAGTAACAGTGAAAGCTCTGGTAATGTATTACTTTTTAGCACTTTGGGTTTTTTTTTGTGTGAAATTAAATAAGTGGTATATGTTGTACTACCAACGTCTAACTGTGAACATGGTGCTATGGTGTTTGTAAGTGTAAAATACTGAGTTATGCGTTGTGTACAACTGGTATAGCTAACAACAACTAACAACAGCTGACAACATCTAACAACAGCTAATGCAGACGTCCATCTTGGTTTTCCGACTTGGTAACTGAAATGCAGGTAACTCAGGTGTGACGTCATTCCCAGCTCTGACATCTGACTTCTGAGGTAACTGAAACGCAGCATAAGGCTATAATAACAAATTACTTACAGAAGTGAGTATAGGGGTAAGTGTGTATTTTAGACCCGCTTCAATAGTCTGTGCAGAGAATAAGGTTACCGTGGTGATTGTTTTACTGACGTCCTATTAAACTCATCAGACAGACCACTTCCTGTCTCTTTCAGCACCAGGAAGTAGGAAGATCTGTGAATGGATCAAAACAGGAAGAACTGCCTGTGGCCCAGCTGGACTTCAGGAAGCAGCCGGTCTCCCTGTTTACCAGACCGTTGTCCTGTAAACTGTTTACCCAGCATCCTCTCTGGTTTCTGTGAGCCCCGGTGGGCCAGTTTCACTAAATCTTAATGTAATGTGTTTGAATGAGATTGAAACAGCCTCTTTGTTCTGTGGGCTGGTTGTTGTGACTTCATGTGTATATCTGAAACAGTCAGGTTGACCTGTGTATTTTTTCTTAATGTTGGATTAAGACCACTTACAAGAGGACTCTCATGCGGATCTCATCTCTCTCCAGAACCTGCTCACACGTCTTCCCCACATGCTGCTTCCACTGGACATGGCACTTTCTGCAGCTCTCCTGAACAAAGACACAAAACAGGAAAAGGAGCTTGAAACAGAGAGGCTGAGGACATGGGACACAGTCCAAATAAAAGGAGGGCAAAGCAAAAATGATCGACTCTCATCACTATCTAGCTCATCAATCTGTTAGCCAGTGCTAAAATGATCCCTCAATTTCATCCCACATCCCTCCATCCATCAATCCTCCCCCTCTGACACGACTCCAGGTTTTTGCTGAATAATCGCAGCCCTGCAGTCTGGATCATCCGTGCTGCTCTGTATGCTGCTGGTGCCGCCACTGCAGGGACGTGGACTTGCAGACACAGAAAGGTGTGGCACTCCCTGCAAAATGTGTGTGTGACTGCAGCAGGAGTGTAATTTTCTCACTGGCTGTCTGCCCGGTTGCCTAGAAACAGCAACTCCATCCTCCAACATCCAGCCCTGGATTTTTTCAGTGAAGGACGAGCGTGGGCAGACGCACACTTCAGCAAGGGTTTGTCACCCCGAGCTAACCCTTAGCTAAGTGGTGTCATTATAAATATTTCAGCCTGCTCATCTAATATTGAAGAGAGTGGAATGTGACAGCTGATGCAGCACAATATGAGCAATAAACCTCCCAGTGTGACCCCCAACCTCCGAGAGGGAAACCCCATCTTAGTCAGGAACACGCCCTCCATGTTTGTTGACCTTGTTTGCACATGCTTCAGTCACTTTTTGTTATTTTGCTTTGTGCCTCGGGCTCTCACAGCGCTCAGAGAGACGGCTGTGTTTGCAAGGTCAGCCGGGGAGAGGGGGGGCAGGGGAACTGGAGCGGTTTCGATGGAAACATCGAAAACTCTCTGAAAGTCACACAAAGACCTTTACCAGTCAAATACAGTTATGCATGCAAAGGAAGATTTGTGTTTTACATTGTTTCATTTTTGTTGAATTGATGATTTCGTTTAGTTTCAAGTTTAAAATGTGCAGATTTTGACTTGTTGGGTAGATCTTCTGTTTTATGCAGTCTGAGAGGAGGCGCCGTTGGCCACGCTCCACTGTGAGGCTGGCTGTGCATCTTCCCTTCTTTCGATTCAGCCTGTTCCCTCGACTCTAACGCCAAAATTACACCCATCCTAAATCTCTGCATTGTTGACCAGAACCTTTAGAGTGTCCTTACTATTCTCAATACAATGCTTGTGTGGCATCTTTCTTCTCTACTTATGACCCAAACTTTGACGTTAGCTTTGTCTTTCTTCTGTTGGGGCCTTTACATGTCCAATCACAGAGTAGTAATTTTAGATAAAGGCAATCAAGGCAAAAGCCCTCAAAGCTGCAGATCTTCAAGTGTCCTCTAGAGGCCGACACCTAAAGTCAAGAAAACCCCATTAATACCCATAACACCTATAATTACAGCAGAAATGAACATCTCTCTCTGCTGGATTAAATAAGCGAAAGCATGGATATTAAAGCCCCAACTCCATCCTTTCAATAGCTCAACTTACACATGCCGATTTATTTTTTTATGTTCTGGAATAAGTTAAATGCAAAAATGCGTAAATGCTTGCACTATGTTGGAATAAAATTTCCACTCATGGTCAGCAGGAACTGGACTAAAAGTCAGGAAAAGCTTCATCACACAAAGACAGAGAGGCAGAGTGGTGGAAGACCACCCCCTAGCGGTGAATACAGAGAGCAAAAGGAGGGACAGCATGCGGACAGGGTGAAAGAAAGTGTCAGAGTGAGAGAGACAGAGGGTGTGTGTGTGTGTCTGTTGGACTGGTCTGACAGGCTGTTGAAAAGCAGGAACACACCTGAGCTTTTATAGAGCGGCTAAAAATACAGCCAGTGACGCTGTGATCAACCCTCAATCGGGGCGTGACTTCCCCGTCAGCGGGGTGTTAAAGTCAAATAGAAGAGTATGTGGTTAATGTGTGACAAAGGCTAAGCACACACACACACACACACACACACACACACACACACACGTGAACATACACACAAAGTTGATTCTGCTTTACGTCTACATCCTTTCTCTGAACTGTTTTAACTTCTGTTTCCTTTGGTTGCACTCCTCCCCCTTGGGTCCTAACCTCCTTCCTCCCGTCCTCTCTTTACTTTCTTGCATCTAGCAGCATCTCCTTCATTCATACCTTGCCTCTCCTCTTCTCCTGCACCTCTCATTAACTTCTTCTTTCCTGTGCTGCAGGCTGCAGCAGCCCTTATAAGGCAGTGCAAACAGCTTGCAGGGCTTCCGATTGGGAGGCTGCATTGAGCATGCATGTGTGTGTGTGTGTGTGTGTGTGTGTGTGTGTTTCTGCACTATGCCTATATGTGTGCATATACATGTTTCATTGTAGGGAGTAGGCTTTCGGCCAATCAAATGCAATAAGGAACTCAGATGTGTGCCTGCCATCAGTCCTGTCAGCTAATGCTCGGATGTTTTGTGTAGTGTATGTAATCATGTCCTGTGATGCCAACTGGTGAAACACAACACACACACATAAATGTACACACACTTCTTAACACACTTCCCGCTCTTGTTTGCACCGTGACAGCCTTTCAGTGACCTACATTTTACATCCCTCAGCTTTCATGAAGTGATCCCATGCAGGCCAGGAACAATCCCATCCAAGTGTCCTCATAACCACATGTGGAATACATTAGTACCCACTTGTGTGCATAGGCGTGCGTGCATGTGTGTGTAGGTCAGACTGAGCCGGGGGAAGGGGAGGGGAGCAGGAGAGAGGAAAGGAGAGGGGGGAGGAGAATCTGGGTCAGACTTGATCTGAACCACATTTGAAACAGAAGAGGAAGTGTGTCAAACCAGTGAGGGACCAGCGCGAGGGGAGTGGACGGGGCAGGCAGCCAATGAGGCAGTGGCGTGGGAAGAGGCGGGTGGGCTTTCAGAAGTGTGTCAGTTACATAATGAAGCCCCTCCTTGCTTGTACGCTGAGCGGGTGGACTGTAAAACCACTGTCTTGAACTGAGCTCCTATTGATGGGAAACAGCATCAAAGACACAGAGACACGAACTCTTTATAAAAATGTATTTTTCTAAACTGGTTTTGGGGTCGTGGAGGGGACTGAAACACTACCACAGGGGCCCCAGTCTCACATCCTGATTTCTGCTAATATGAAAGAGGAAACATGTTTTGGTAACTTTCTGTAACTAAAGATTGCGATATTCCACTCTCTCCATGACTGTTCAGCGTGAGTAATCTAAAAACTTTCAGCACTGCAGTTAGTTGAGTCTGACCTGGAAGTTGAAATCTATTCATAAAAGAATCAAACCACAAAAAATCTGGACCAACTTTTTTTTTTTTTTGCATCTTTGGGCGTGTATGAGGATGTAATGTAATGCAGCTGTGCAGCAGGAAATCAGTGCAGCTACTATGGACCTCTAGCTCCATCGTCAGGTTAATAGATTAAACTGCAGGGGAAATGATCTCCATCTTCACCTCTCTGCCTTCAGTACTAAAACACCAGAGTTTTGTTTCAAATTTCATTCACATCTCTAGTTCTGCTGGATAATTTTATTAACTGTTCATTTTCAATCTAACATCGCTGCACTTGTAGGAATTATTAATGCACTCTTAAAAAAGCACAATAAAAGTAAGAATTTGTCTAGTTTCAAGTAACTGATTGTCAAAAATGTACTCTAAGAGTTTGAATTTTCTAGAGATGAACACAGTCTCCTATGTTTGAAGTTTAAACCACATTTCTACACCAATCAACAGGCAAAATGAAGATACATCATTAATATTTCCATTTATTGATCAGAGGGAATACTTTGAACTCGCATCCCTACGGCTTGCAGCTTCATAAAAGTCACATTTATAGAGGAGCTGTGTATTATGTTGAATTAGATTTCCCAGTTGTTCATAATGTTATGGCAGATTGGTGTCTATATCCCCCACTCCTTCCTCCACTGCAGCGGGTTTTTCTTACACCTGGAACAACCATTACGGGGACTGAAAAACAGTTCAATGTCTCCAGCTCCCAAACAGGCTGTTAAATCTCAGCCCTGGAAATACCCTTAAATGAAACTACTGTGCAATGTAACACTGCATGGATCTTTACAGGTGTGCCTCTATAGGTGCCACTTGAAAGTAGAACAGTTGTGTATCACAGTTTAACCACTGAGGGGAAAAACTGAGGATGTAATTGCTCGTAAAGACACAAATTAAAATAAACACTGATGCCTCTTTATAACCTACAAAGGAAAACAAGACCACGAGTGATAAGACTAATTATTTCTCTATAGTGATCTGTGATGTCGGGGGCAGATGTTTATTGGCATTACGCTAATTCAGATTTCTAATTAGTGCTGAAATAAGAAGGGTATAATCCTTTATTAAAAATCTTTCTTACACATGTGCACGATCAAGGGAGAGAAGAGGTGTCCACAGGGGGCGCCAAAATCAACATAAGTCACTCATGGGAGCTTTAACAATGTTGTTTCTTTTTCTTTAGATTGTTCTGATCCCATCGAATAAATAACTGTGACTTAAATCGTTTTACCACCTGATTAAAGATCAGATAAAAACCAGTCTTCAGTTTACTAGATCATTCTTTGATGTCAAGCTGTGAATAATCACATTATTAATATCAGGCTGCTTACACAACCACGTCTCTCTCGCTCTCTGGCTGTCTGGGAGTTTTCCAACAGCGTGTGTGTGCGCATGTGTTGAGTCACAGAGGCACAAAGGCACACAGAAAATGAAGAAAGGGTTTGTTTGTGTGGTAAGAGAGAGAAGACAATGGTGTTGTAGTATGAAGTAGTAGCAGGTAGTGATAAGAGTAATAGCTGCTACGTGTGTGACTCTTTGTGCAGACTAACAGACTTCACACTGGAATCATGAAACAGCCTTGGCAGACACAAAGCAAAGCCTCCCCCTGCATTCCTCCGTCAGAGGGAGGAGGCTGCAGATAAACAGGGAGGGAGTCAGAGGTGGAGACATCGCCAGATGGAGCCAATTTATCACCTTCATAAAAACTGCTCATCAATCTTTCCCCGGTGCACGGGTTTCATCTTGCGTCTGGGATGCACTGAGGTGATTCATGCTGAGTGGACACTGACTCCAGGTTGTCAGCTTACCAAGATACAACAAACTGCATTTATCTGTGTTGTCTCCACCTTGAGTCAGCTTAGAAATTCCGCTCTCCTCAGCACAGGATTTACTTTGAACATACATCAATATCCAAGTTTTAAACAAAGTAAAAATAAAGCAGCCTAGCCCAAACCCAGGACCCGTAGATGAACACAGAATCGGACTGACCTTGCGGCACCGAGGGTTTGGACAGCTAAACAGGGACATGTCTTTGTCCAACAAGGCTGGGAAGTTACAGAACGGGCACCTGAAAGGAGAGAGGAAGAGGAAAGATGGTTACAAGAACAGTATGATACAGCTGCATGAGACCTTCAAATTCCAGATTGGTTTCAGTGAGAGCAGATTCTATCTCGACCACAAATATGGCAGAATCTGTCTGGCAGTAAAGCCTCTTTGGGGTCCTTAAGTCATGGATGCCTTTTGGTCATACAGTGAATCAAACCAGCCCAGCAGTCATCGCCAGTTACCTTCAAAGGAAACCTGTTGTGTCTTTACTAAACATGGCAACATCATCCTCCGACATGTTTTCCTCCCTGAACTCATTTTGAGACTTGGCCACAGACCTGCTCTTCTTTTTCCTCTTTTGGATTCAGCATGTCTCTTCAGGAAGCTTGTAAGTGTTGTTGTGGTTGTGAAGGACAGTCACAGCTATTTTCTCCAGAGTTAAGTAAAAAGTTTATATGGTTTTTTGGACAAAAACGAAGCTGCTTGTGTTCCCCACTTCACTGACGACCCATCTGTTCACAAAGACCACAGTGGGCTGGGTTTGCGTCTTAACTGTTACTGACATCTGGTGCTGCTCCATCCTTGAAGACCTTCTGGGAAGCCTTGGAACCACAAACTGTAAATGATATTGTAACAGCAGCTTATGTAACAACAGCTAATGTGAGCTAACGTTGCTGAATGGAGAGCCAAATGGGTGCAGCCACTAGCCTCGCCTGTGTCTGACTGTATGTCACTGAAAAAGCGGAAAAGCAAAGCGACTCCAGTGGTGTCCCAGACTGACAAAATGAGTGATGAAGATGAGTTTAATAGGTCTCATTTACAAGAAGCTGCATCTGCACCAAGCAGCAACCTCCAGTGTTCAAAAATAAAGCTAATGCAGAAGTGCTAAAACGGCATTTCCTCAAGTGTCCATTTGAGACTGACCATAAAAGCTAATCTCTGCGAGGTCTGTTACAGCCGCACCCCCACTCCCTCTCTCCCTCTCTTTGCCTGTGTTCTGTGTATGTGCATGTGCAGTTGAGTGGTGTTTGTTTAAGTTGGAGAGGGCCTTCACCTGTTCAGCTGGCTGGAGGAGCCTGATAGGTATAAAGCTGAAGAGGAGGTCAGTCAGGGGAAAACCCGTTCCAACCCTCTCTGCAGGCTCAGCAGTCAGGGTGCAGCCTTGGCAGGAACCTGCTCACCACTGTGCCTCTCCATTGTTCAAATGTTGCTATTCTGAGCAGAACTTCAGTAATACTGCTCGTCTGTGTCTGAGGCTTTTGTTCTGTCATTTGGACCAGACCAAGGCTTAGATTACTTTGACAAATTCAGACGCACTTTATTATTATCCCGTGAGCCAAAACTTGGCACATTCGACATTAGGGGGGGGGGGGGGAAAAAAATGATACAGCATAGTATCATGATATTTTGTCTGGTTGTCGTATCGTCTGATTTACCAAGTATCAATTTTTCAAATTGATTGCTATTATGAAGTCAAATCTATGAAAATGGAAAAATAAAATCAACTGTTTGTCCAGTGAGGTTCGCAGAGGTGACATCAGAGGTGAGCACGAGAAAGTACAACAAACATAGATGTACGGTTTGTAAGATGTGCTACATGAAAATACAATACTGTGTAAATAAAACAAACATAGAGGAAAGCCAAATGCTAAATAAGCCAAACAGTTGAAAAAATTGTATAAATGCAGTATATTGTATCACAATACTCACTGTATTGCAAAATGTTAAAAATTGCAATAATATCGTATCGTGGCCCAAGTATCGTGATAATATCGTGGCCCAAGTATCGTGATAATATCGTGGGGCCACTGGTGATTCCCACCCCTATACAACATGGCACACATTCACATGAAAATCAAGACTGATTGATATTAATCTAGGCTGTGTTGCCTTTTCTATATTAAATGAAGTGCACCCTCCCCCACTTCCTTAACAGTGGTGTGTGTGCAGCCCCTCCCTTCAGACAACTCTCACTTTCACTTCATCATAAGCAGCTCAGATCAATCTGCAACAAAGTTTGAGAGTGTGAGGAAACTACAGCTACTGCTAAGTAGGGATGCTTCGATCAGATATTTGGATTGGATATTGGCTCAGATATTGACAAATTAACTGGATTGGATATCTGATGAATGACGCTGATCCGGCATTCTGATAGTCTTTTTTTTTTTTCTTTTAATTAATATCATACACAGCAACACAGGGATTCTGTTCACTCTGTATTCTATGTCTGTCTATCCTTTTGCACTATATGTTTACATGGAAGTCTTCTTTTTGCTGTGTGCTAATGTGCACTTTGTTATTTGTTAATAAATAATATTAAGTACATTTATATCTTTGTTAATATGTTACCTTTTTTTTTTCCTTAAACAAGGCTAATGTCAAGCCTGATGCCTTCACTCACGGAGCAACATATACAGTTCATTCACTCAACAATAGTATTAAATTGGTATCGGTATATTGGCCGATATATACCGATACGCTCAGCCCAGGTATCGTATCGGATTTGATTAAAAAAAATTTGATCACTGCATCTCTACTGCTAAGATTAACGTTGGACTGCTGTAGTTTCAACATGTTGTGCAACAGCAGTGCATAACATCAGGCAGGTGGAGAAAGTAGAGGAGGATCTCAAATGTCATGAGACGATGCCTGCAAGATAATGCATCAGCTCCACAGCTCAGACACTAGAAAGCAACAACACACAGGACTCCACATACACACACACTCACCGTACGAGTTCATCAGCGCAGGTGGCAGCGACCGCCTCCTCCGCCTGCCTCTCATAGTATCTACACAGTATGTTCTCTGGGAGGACCTTCTCCAGCTCACATACCGGGTAGGAGCAGGGGCAGCCCCCCTCCATGCAGCTGAGCTCCGACTGAGACAATAACACATGGATGTAAATATCTAGTCAACAGATACAGGTTTTCAAAAGCAGCTGCAGACGACAGACACACTGACAATTATCCGATTGTTGAGCCCAGTGGGCCAGTGTGATGTCTGTTAATGAAGGCAGACATAACACAAGAGACACTTTTGTGTGAACACAATGCAGCAGAACAATGTGGTCTCACAAAAATGAGCTGGAGATTTATTACAGAGCTGTTTTACCAGACTGCGCTAAATCATACAGCTCTTTCCTCCAGCTCACAAAAGCATTATTTACAGCTAATCTTGTTTATCTAACAGAACTGCCCGCTGCAGCCTTGATCGAGTGTTACATGTAGAAAGGAAATCTGTGTTTTTGTGTTCGTACCTTCCCAGAGCCAAACACAGCCTCTTGAGCGTATTTGATCAAGCACTCTTTACAGAACAGATGTCCGTCTGAACACTGAGTCATCTTCTCAAACGCAAACTCCCCAAAGCAGCAGCCGCACTCAATCAGCTGACCGTCCTGCAGGAGAGAACCAAATAGAGATGAGTGATAAAAACCGCACAGATCATGACACTGATAGACATTTATCAAGAGTCAGCTTTTGAGGATTTTGCCTCAGGTGACTGCAGGGAAATCAGAAAAAAGAAACTCTATGAGTAAGCACCCAGGAAAAACATGTCGTACAAGTTAGGTACTTTCCTGTGACAGAGGTGAAAACCTGTGGCTAGCCTGAATTTTAGGGAAACACCGGAAGGTCTGCTTCTTTTTTTCTGAGTATTCAGAGTCCTCTCACCTTTTTGTACTCATCTTCATTGACTTGTAGAGCCAGGAGGAAGTCCTCATGCTGCAGAGACAGGAACATTTGGCTCAATGTACATGAAGTAGTAAGAACTCTTCAACAGTAACCATTCCACACAATCATGATTTTATTATATTACACAATAAATATCTGTTTATACTTTTGCATCACTAGACCCTATTCAGTAACTTTGATATTTGACTCATACTGTAATCTCTCTTATAGAGGCTCAATGAAGAGATACATGAAGGTTAAAAGTGACACAATGCATTGCTGTTACCATAGTAAGTATCCTACACCAGCCTGTATGCAAAAACTAATAAAACTGTCCTGGTTAACTAACGTCTCCGTCTCTCTCTCTCTCACTTGGAGATGCTGATTCACACCACCCAGGCTGGAGGACACCAAAGACCAACCCCGTCACCTGCACATTTCTCTTTGTTTGACAAGCTGGAAACTTCCTTTGTAACTTGAATTGATCAAAACACAGCGCCAATCACTGTGTCCTGTTACTTCTACTATTGCAGCTGAGCCATTACCAGTGTGCAAATGCAGTGCACTGATTGGGAGGTTGGGATATGCCCTCTGAAAAATGTCTCTTAGGAGTTGAATATTGAAAATTTAATCCATTAGTATAAATTTCAATAAACAACAGAACTGTTTAATGGATAAACTTGGCTTGGGCTTCAGAGGATGTATGTATTTGTAGCTGATTTATGCTGCGTTCAAGTTACCTTGGAAGTCAGATGTCCGAGCTGGGAATGACTTCACAGCCGAGTTACCAGCGTTTCAGTTACCAAGTCGTAAAAAGCAAAATCGGAGCTGGAAACAAGATGGCTACATCTACGAAAGTTATTTTAGCTCTTGCCTTATATTCAGACGAGGCAAGCACTAAAATAACTTTTGTAGATGTAGCCAACTTGTTTCCACCTACGATTTTGCTTTTGTCCGACTTGGTAATTGAAATACTGCTAAGTCTGGTGTGACGTCATTTTCAGCTCCAACATCTGACTTCCGAGGTAACTCGAGCACAGCATTAATCTTTAGGGTGTAGGAGGAAAGGCAGAACATAGCATTTAAAGACTGAACTGCAAATCTGAATGGACCCTGTAATAAATTATTGGCCCAATGGAAGCGTATTTTGGATGTCTTGTTAACCCATGAGAGTTGGGACTTTGTATAAACGACACGTAAACAAATACAACAGTTTCAGTTCAATGTTAAATGCCTCATTGATATTAAAAATAAGTTTTCTGCTTTTCTTGGTTGCCATAAAATCCCCTGCGTGATAATTTCTGAGTTATTTTGGCGGTTGCAGGGTCTTGGCTAACAGACATGAATTATGTTACTTTGGAATACACTGTTAGCAGGATAACAAACATTTAAAAGGACAACTCAGCAAAATCCTGTTTAAACCAGCAGGTTGAGTTTGAGCTGAAAACCTCCTGTCAGCATCACTCATATTTGAAGTGTCACGTGTCTACGCTCAAGGTTTAAAATCTGGAAGAATCACTCCCCTGATTGAAAGTCATTGTGCAGCGTTGTCTGATTAAATCCTCTATTATGTCAGTCAAGCAGCACTAGACTCTCATTAGTGTCTGCATGCATGAATTTCTACAGTCATTACTCTCATGACTAACTGCAGCTGATGCACAAGTTAATGTTGTCCTCTTACAACAAGAATGATTTGAGTCTTCAGCTAGTCTGGAGCCGTTCTATACACAGCTTCAACCAGCATACGCACAGGTCCCCTCCTTCAGCCTCTGCAACTTCCTCGCTGTGTCTAAAAGTGCGTGTTGTTGTTTCTTTTGTGTGTGGGTGTATGTTTGTGTGCATACCTCTGCCCATTCCTTTGCCTTCTGCTGATAGAAAGAAAGCTCTTTCTGCAGAGAAGGCTCCAAATTGTTGTACGTCCTGCAGTAACGACGATCGTTCTCCAAGAAATACATCCTCTTGTCAAACTTTGCTGAGCCTGCCAGACAGAGGGGACGAATGAGTTTGACCGCTTTCTTATTAAGCTGTTTTTTTATCACATTGAAGGAAGCCAGGGGATAAAAAAGGTACTAAAAAGTCCTCCTATAGCTAGGTGAATTAGGTAATGAAACAGAATTAGATGAAAAGCACAATATTCTCAATGAGCTCTGATCCCTGTTAAGTAGATGCAAAGGGATGCTTAGACTACAGCGTATCGTGTGAGAGCAGATAAAGTGGAAAAGTTTGTTCACCGTGCTCAAAATGGAAGTCGATGTAACAGCGCTCTGAGGAGGCTCTGCTTCGCCGTCTCTTCCCTGAGGGGTCGCCTGAATCTTGCCACTTCTTCAGAGCTTCACATAAGGCCTGGCAGAGCAGGAAGTCAAGGGACATTTTAAAAAAGAAAGTAAGAAAATGACAACATTGTGATGAAGTGGTGTAAAAATGCTGAGGGGGTTTCCAGCCGGGCAAACCTGATAATCCTGTTAGCAAAACAGCCTTTGGAGCAGAATGGTTCTTAAACTCTAACCAACATTCAGAAACAAGGGATCACAACTTCAAAATAATGCACCTTTAGCGGGTGATGCATTATTAAAAAGCAGAAAATTGAATCTGCTCCAACAGGGCTTCAGAGAGTCTCTTAAATGAAACTGTGAAAGGACCCAGACAGGCTCCTTGTGGAACACCTAATCTCAATATTCTTTTGATGGTTTGTTTGTTGCTACAAATTTCCTCTTAAGTGGGTCTTGGGGAATCTGAGAGCAGATGCCAACTTACTACAAAACAACAGGTACCTTGCGTGTGATTGCATAGTGTCCCTTCAGAGCGTTGAGGGCCCATTTGATGTCCTGACAGCTGAGCATCCTGAAATCTGCCATGAGCAGGTCAGCAGCCTGCATCACAGCTTCAGGCCCCACAGTGCCCAGATTGGCATAGTCAAAGAGGTCCTCCGTCACCTTAAAAAAACCCAGACAGGCATGAGATATGAAAGATTTATTTACAACTGAAGAGACCCAGTTCTTGTTTGAGCATTGCCTCCTAATAAATGGAGTTAAGTGTCGGAGAAAGTCGGATTTTACTTCTGTCTGGGTGTCTCCAGACTCCAGGAGGATGCTGGTGGGAGCTGCTGTGGCTGCAATCTCCCTTCTGGGATAGTCTGGGTTTTCCAACAGCAGGTTACAGATCCTGAAAAACACACCGGAGAACAGCTACATGTCAAAAAAAGCTCACAGAGACAGTACACATATTTACTGAGACAGCTGCCAACCTACACAGAACTTATTTAAGGACAGAGGTGTTAGGAAAGTGTTCTACGACATTTAGTTTGACACTGGATCACAAAGGCTTCAGGTAAACAACGTAGAATAGGTTTGCTGCGTGTGGCTAACATTAGCAGAGCTAGCACCACCGGCCTTTAGTTCTCTTCGTAGGCTAATAATCCACATGTCTGTGCTTGGTTTGGTTGAGTGGTTGTGTGCCAGTTTTATTATCCTGTCCAGTATCTTCATACAACTTAATCTCAATCTTCTAGATCAAAATGCTGACAAACCACGTTGTGCTACCAGATGCTGAGTGCCAGATGGCGAGTACCACCACTGAATGACAACTCCACTAATAAGGGCTGAATTTTAACCAGCAGAGTGTATTGAACATATTATCAAGTGTGTGCAAGTGGCATTTTGAGTCCATAAGAACGCTGTTGAACGCACATATTTACACGCATATCTTTCATACAGCTCATAAAAACTGGTGAACAGGTAACAGTACCGTAATACTCTTTGTAGCCTGAACAAAACAGAATTGTGTTTATTTTATTGCCAACGTGTGGTTTTTCTCCTTACACATTCAAGTCTTTCACACCATTCTTTTGGATCAGCTCTGCTACATAGGCTTCTTGGACATCTGGGAGCAGATCCAACTGCAGAGGAAGATACAAAGAGGTGAGCAGACTGGATGCAGCGAGGACAGAGGAGCTACGGAATACGCTTAAATTAGTAATTCTACTGTTAATGTGACACTTACAACTCCATTAATGAGCGCTCTGATGTGGGGCTGCTGCTCCGCCCTCTCTCGAGGAGCAGAGGGACCAGGCCTTGCATCCTCAATCAGGGGAATCTCCTCTGGTGCAGGAGGGACGGCGACCATAGCGGGAGCTGGATTGACCCTCTCTTGATTGGGAGCTGGACCCTGAAGGAGACGAGCATCGCCTTCGTTGTGGGGGGCTGAAGCTGCAGGAGCTGGAGGGACAGGAGGGTTGGAGTCCATGTTAGGCATCCTGATGTTGAGGAAGCAAGCAGGTGGAGCCGCATTGGAGCCGCTTGCTGCCTGGCTCCCCAGGATGATCCGGTGTCCTGCCTCTGGAGGTCCAAGTCTCTCTGGAGCTGTGGCTATGAGCACAGCAGGGGGGATCACCGGTATCACCTGAGGAGGTTGAGCAGCCTGGATCGGAGTCTGGGCCGGGGAATTTGCGAGGGGCTGAGGTTCAATCTGGATGAGGTTGCCCTGCATGCGATTGAAGGAAATTGGGTGCAGCAGGTTTTGAGGGGCGACCTGAACTTGGGGTTGGGTTATTAGAGCAGAGGCTTGGATGCTCGGCTGCTGGGGAAGAACAACGAGTTTCACCTCCTCCACCTTGATGACTTGGTGACGCAGAGTCGTGGTCGCAGTGGGCTGGGTCTGAGTGGACAGACTGGGCTGAGACTTTATCTGTGTGTGGGACTGTGCAGAAGTGCTGGCCTGAGGATTGTCTTGTGAATGCGTACTCGTAGCAGCCTTCTCTGGAGTCTGTGAAGAACTTGACGCGGCCGCTGGGATTGACGATGACTGCGAGGCAGAAGTGGAGGCCCCTGCCTGAGGCTCCACCTTAAAGTGTCCTGAAGAGCTGAATTGTGGGTGTTTGAGTCCGGATGTGCTAGGCTGAGGCTCTGAGAGTTCCCGTATAGGTGCTCTGGATGTGATAGAGCTGGCCTTTTCATGTGTGGAGGTAGACGGGGTTTGAACAGAAGAAGAGGAAGAAACTGCATGGAGCCCAACCTTTGCGTGTGCAGATTTATCATCCTGTTGCTGAGAGTCTGTGTGGAGTTTTGGCTGAGATAGTGCATGCGATGACGAGCCTGGATGTGGCTCTGGGTGTGCAGAGGTGCTTGGCTGCACGGGTGTTCGTATGGCTGGCCTGACTGCAGAGGTGGAGGCCTTGGCATCTCGGGAGGTAGAGGGGGCAGAACCAAGGTCTCCTGTAGAGACCCCAGAGCTTGAGCTACTGTGACTTTTATCGTGGGAGGTTTTGTGTGAGGCTGCGCTCCATTTTGCTGCTGGACGAATCACATGTCTGCGTGCAGGAGGCAGAGGCTACAGAAGAAGGACACAACAGGAAAATAAACAGTTAAAAATAAAGTTAACAAGCTGTTGTCTATCCATGTAAGATTTCCAAGTGTGGTTTTAATTTGTTAGGTCTCATTTGGTTGTTTTTTTTCTCATTCTAGACAGATGATGACACCAATGTGAAAGTTTGAGTTCTGCATTTCATGTTCTCACCACCATCTCCTGACATGTCTCCATGGTCCCTCAGAGAGGTGCGCTACACACTTTAGGATGGGGTGGGAATCACTATTGGCCCACAACACTAGGGTTGGGAATCGAGAATCGAGAATCGATGGGAATCGGGACTAAAACTTCGATTCTTCCGGTATCGTTCGAATATTAAAATTTCAATTCCAAGTTTCGATGCCTGAGTCCGCCGACCGGAAGAAATAGCCGCCGAAAATCAACGAAGAAGAAGCCGCTTAACACCAATGAGGACGGAGCGAATGAGACAAAGCCACACAGAGAGAGGAGAGAGACAGAGAGAGAAAGTACATTGCAACCCACAGCAATGCAGCCGCTGTGGGTTACAATGTAATCTCTCTGTCTCTCTCCTCTCTCTGTGTGGCTTCGTCTCATTTGCTCCGTCCTCGTTGGTGTTCGGCAGCTTCTTCTTCGTTGGTCAAAAGTTTGGCTAATTTTAGCAGGAAGAATGAGCTCTTATCTCAATGCAACATTAGCAATACAGTTATATCATGCAAAGGAGGGTAAACGACCAACGTGATTAAACACCTCAGGATTCATGGAGGAGAAATACCCGAGTGCTCGTCTTTGACGCGCTTCGCCGGTGTTGTGCCAGAGAATGCACCCCTGCTGTTGAATGCACCCCTGACGGGAGCGCGGTTGAAAGTACACAACAAGGCGAAACAATCCAAGTTTTTCTTACCGTTGGACGGAATCTAAAGCGTGTGCCTTTAATGATTTCATTCAGGCTATTCAGATATGCCGAAAACAATAGCCCTCTGATTCGGAATATTTACTGTCCTGAAAATATTATGTTCTCTACATTAACAGCTTACTCTACAGTTTATATACCCAAGTACACCTTTATGTGTGCATTTTTGAGACACATACAAACAAAACGAAAGTTTACTGCTCCATTTGACACGTTTTTTGATCTAATACCCGTGTTTTATTAAATATGAGATCATATTTCTTCCACTAAGAAGCTAATCAGTGTAGGGGAGGCATTCTACGGCAGGGGTGCATTCTACAGCACAACACCTGTCTTCCGCTAACCAGTCAGGATCAGATAAGTGAAACAATAAATGACTTCTGTCCTCTGCTAACTTTGAAACGGTAAAGAAATTGAACTGTGTACGGTGAGTAAACTTAAATATCCATCTAACGTTAGCCCTTGTGCTTTTTCATAGACAAACGACCTGAAAACAAAAATTGATATTTATATACTGGTTGAAAATAGCTCTGTGAGAAATCCATAGTAAAGTTCTTAAAAAGTTAATAGGATTTAAAAATTCATGGAGAAGTTCAGAAATTTCATCCAAAAAGAAGAGCCCCGGTTAGCACCCTCATTCAAACCATGCTTTTTTTTTTCTTTTTTCTTTTTGATATCCTGCCTTTTAAAAGAATCGAATTAGAGAATCGATAGGAATCGGAATCGAAATGAGGAATCGAAATTGGAATCGGAATCGTTCAAAATCAAACGATACCCAACCCTACACAACACAATATTATCATGATACTTGGACCACGATACGATATTGCGATTTTTAACATTTTGCAATACAGTGAGTATTGGGATACAATATATTGCGATTTAAATTAATTTTTTTCCTGTTAAGCTAATTTAGCATTTATCTTTCCTTTATGTTTGTCTCATTTACACGTTTATTTTCATGTAGCACATCTTGCAAACCTTTTATATATTTCTTGTCCTAACTTTCTCCTGCTCTATGACGTCAACTCTGCCAACCTCACTGCACAAACAGTTGATTTTATTTTTCCATTATCATAGATTTGACTTCATATTACCAATTAATCTGAAAAATCTTGACTTGGTAAATGAGACGTTACGATATATCACTAGACAAAATATCGCGATACAATGATGTATTGATTTTTTTCCCACCCCTACTTTAGAAACCACAGGCGTAGCTAGATTTACCTCCAGGATGCTGACGTCGTCATCGTCAGCATCATCTGGGACCAAAACAGGGCTGCCGGGTACCAGAGTCACAGGCTCCTCATCAGAATCATCAGAGATGGTGATGAGCTCTCTCTTTCGACGACGAGAGCCTGAAAGGACACAGCCTCAAGTCAAAATGCATAATGTGCACGTCACAAAAGAAATCCAGGCATGGCTGAGTGAGCACTGATTGACGATATGTGTGTGTTAGAGAGAGAGAGAGAAAGAGAGAGAGAGTGTGGGTCTGTGGAAATCTATTTGAGTTATTCACGAGAGTGAGAACGTGAAGTTTGTCTCACCTTGGCTTCGATGGACGTTGAAGCTTGCAAGGTGAATGACCTCATCGTCACTGCCTCCATCTGCCATGTTGAACACACGCCTACCAGCTCCCTGAATTAGCCCACTCACTGCTCATTCAATACCATCTACTCCCACAAAAACACAGAGACACAAACACAGAGTTAAACGTTGGTATTCCCCTGGAGGTGTTTCACTATAATGCAGTATTTCCTGGCCTCTGGCTCAGCTGTCATGGGTTAGCTTCACGCAGGACTGATATCTCTGTGTTGAACATGTGACTCAAATCAAGTGGAAAAATAGATAAGTAAGGCAATAATAGCAGCATCATCCCTCACAAGGCTGATACCACCATCATCTTTTCTAAACGATAACACATCTTTCCCATCTCCCTTTGATAGCCACAGTCACTAACTAGTGTTATAACTTTGTATTGTATTGCAATATTTAGTACTGACAGCAATATAAGCCATGATCAGCAAACTATAGCATAATCCAATAAACATCATTCTACTGATTCATTAAAAATCCATTTAAAACACATTATTGGCTAAGACAACCACATACATTTGATTTTGGTTCACTCAAGTTCAGCAAATTTGTTTTCGATTGGTACTGTCTTGTTCAAATAACAAAACAAAACAAACAAGAGAAACAACATAATGTGATATCAGCGTTGTATATTGTCAGTCAGCTAACCTCCTCTCTCATGGTCACCATCTGGAAAACTATAACCGGTCGACCACTGCAACATTTGATGCCATCATAAATGTTGAAAGTACTCCTAGTTTAGTGATGAGTCTAATGTTTGTTTATAACACTTCAAAGTACTTCCAGATGGAAAGTACACTGAACTCATCCCTAGTTTAAAAGGATGAAGATTATTATTTTATTTTGACTTGTTATATATTTACAACCACAACAGAAACATCCACCCAGAGTCTGTACCAGGGTGAAATTAACACATTCATCATTTCATTTGACCTGTTTAATTATCTCTCCATATTACTAACCTTCATCAAAATATGTTAACTATAATTTCTTGTACTAAGTTAAATTTTTTCTCCTAATGAATCAAACTACTATGATTAAAACTCTTTACAGCCACCTCCTTTCAACTATTTATTTATTTTATTTGTTTATAATTCTGTTAAGGTTACCCCCTTTTCTCTTTTTTTTCTAAATTATGTCTATATTAGAGACTAAGAACAGACTATATTGGGGGATTATCTTGATACAAGACAACTCCATCAATAAACAAAATAAAATCTAAATAATATCAGGGTCAATGACGTATGAGGCCAATTTTAAAATAGCAAAAATAAGAATATATTTTGCAAAAGTTCAAACACTAAGGATGTTGTGTATACCAAAATTTATGTTACATTTTTAAATTAAGCAATTTTAGTGTTTTTTTTATGCAGATGAATTGCCCGTGGCCTTAAAAAATTGTGATGTGGTGGGACCATCATTTATCTCAAAATTATTACATTTTTTCAACATACTTAATAGTTTTTTACAAATTGTCAGTAATATCAGGCAGATAGAAACAAAGTGTTTGCATTTCATTTGAGTTTTTGTAAATAATGATCTCACATTTTAGCTCTATAATGTCACGGTCACTATATTTAACTATTTTTTTTCTTTAAATTGCATAATATTGATAAAAATATTTAACAACTACCTTTCACTTAAGCATATTGTATCAGGTATTAATGTTTCAGTTACAGAAATTAGATATTTTAGTTTGTATTTAATACAACTAATGTTATTATTGGTTGCACCACATAATATTTTGACACTCTGAAGTTCAGAAAAAATACAAACAAGACCTGATTTTTGAAAAGTTGAAGTGATTACATATATGAGAGAGATACTACAAATAGAAAGCCTATTTTTGTGCATTTAAACCTTTTTTGACTTAAAAAAAATACAGCTTGACAGAATATTTAGGCGTCACCTCATTGACCCATCAGCCATAACCATACATAGAGAGATTTATGAAAGATCCACAAGTGTTCACGCTGTGGTAACGTCATAGGTGGTGTATTAATCCCCTACTGCCCACATTATTTAGTCACCATGAAAACAAACCAGGGGTTTTCCAACAGGTGACTTCTTTATCCAAAATCCCCCTTCACTCTCTATCAGCAGTCAGATGTAAACATAGTCGACTGATACTGGTGCATGTGTTATCATTTGCAGGTCGGCCGATGTCTCTCTTCAGGATAAAACCAGCTCTCATAGTTATTCAGACACATTGGTACATGAGTAGTTGGGAGTGATTCTCACATTCTTTACATGTGAATCACTGTACATGAAAAATATGCTATTTTCAACCCCAACATGAACACAGTTGGTTATTATCCCACATTGCTAACCGCCTTAATTGATCCTCTCTGTGATATGCTTTTGTAGGCAATAGCAACCTAAACAACACAGCTATTCATGTAAACCAGACCTGCTAACAGGCATTAGAAAGCAGTCAAAAGCATAAAGTATGCAGTGCCACACGATCAAGAATGTGATGAATGGATTAGATAAAGACTAAAACAGGTGCTAAAGACTGAGAAACTCGAGTGAAGTTTAGAGATTGAAACTCAAGCTAACTGTAAAGCTCGGGACTCTCCTAAAGTCAGAGATTGACTCTTAATAATCAGAGTCATGAGGTGTTTGGGATTTACAGCGTCAGATAACTAACTCAACATGTTCCCAGGTGAATTTAGTCGTTAAACATTCACTCCACTCCTTTTTACTCAGTAATCCAGCCCTACTTCCTCTTGATGTAATCACAGCTGGCATAAAATCAATGTGAATCCTACATCATGTTGAAAAGCTGACTACGAGCTAATACTACGAGCAGCTGGTAGTGTTGAAATCCATCCTACATTACCCTTTGTTCCACTCGTGATCGTGACATTAAGATGAATACAGTTATATGGGCCTACTGTTTTGAATGCTGTGCGGAGAAACAAATATCAGAGAAGTATTGATCATTTCCGCGCAGACACAGAACAAACCACTGCTCCCTGCTAGGCTAATGATCATTAGCTCGGCTTGCTAGCTAGCCAGTAGGTTATATTTCAGTCATGATTTCTCTCTTTAACTACACTTTACAATACAAATACACAGCCTTTAGACGCTAGACGGTTAAAATGAGCATGCAGAAAAGTTCAATACCACAACGGTGCGTTGATATCCTGTACAAAACGGCTTGTTGGTGGACTGACAATCCGTGAATATCGAAACAAACTGCCAAAACAAGAACAGAAGCGACGTAACGCGTCACACCTCTTGCTACGCAGGAGGGTAGCGACCCCATGGGAAATGTAGTTCTACGCATAGAGCTCGTAGCCTGCTAGTCGACCTAGCCGTTCTTATATTTTAATGCGCAATTTTGGGTTGGTAATTTTAAAAAATATATAATTATTTTTTTATTAATTTTCATTTTTATGAAAGAGTGCAAAGTATAATTACAGAACGTTGTGTGTGAAAATGTTAATACAAACTGGATTATAATCATTTCCATGGATCATTTTTTGATATAGGGGAGAGTGGGGTAAGATGAGCCATTTATCATATTACGGATCTCTACATCAAGATAATCATAGTTTTGTCTCTAACTAGTGTATCTGCATATATTGCACGATGTTGTGCATCTCTGCAAACCAACAGAATGAATGTAAACATAACTGTCTTGATAATATAGCATGCCAAAATAAAAGTGGTCTCCTATGGTCAACTTGCCCCTCGTATGGGTCAACTTACCCCTTGTATGGGGTAAGTTCAACATAGGAGCGGGGTAAGTATCCGTATCCCTACTTTATTTGGGGTTGATCAGAGGCACTTTAATTGGTGACAGGTGTGTGCTGACTCCAATTTAACCTGAGTTTGAATGTTATTCGTTAAATCTGAACGCAGCCACATACCCAGGTATTAAAGGGTGTGCACACTTATGCAACCACATAATCTCAGTTCTTTATTTTTACTTCACCTCCCTGAAAGATTTCTGTTTGTTTTTCAATTGCATTGTACAGGTTATAGGTGGAAAAAGTTGTGAAATTATCTATCTTGATTTAATTTTTTAACATGACAAAAACCTGGCAGTTGAACATGGGTATGTAGACTTTTTATATCCACTGTAGCATGCCAAAAAAAAAGTGGTCTCCTATGTTTGGGGTAAGTTGACCATAGGAGCGGGGTAAGTTGAGCCGTATGCAGTAAGTTCTGCCATTAAGTGAACTTCCTAAAGAAATGAGACAAAGTGACTCTGTAAGATCTGAGTTTCTGGCATCCTGGACATTATTCTCTACACCAGCAATTATCCCGTGGGGTTCCCCAGGGTTCAGTTTTAGGCCCACTACTGTTCAGTCTACACTGGCTCTACACAAATTTACCTCTCCCTAAATTTCCAAAACTTGACCGACATGACACAATTACAGAACTGTCTTCAAGATATCAAGACAAAACAGATACTTCTCCCTGAACCTTAACAATCCCTCCACCTATACAAATGTAATGAGCTGAAATGTAAAAATATTTGCATAAATTCCTGTTTTTCCAAAATGTTGGCTCTGATGAACAACCTGAAAAATGCATTTTCATACTGCTCTCTTAAATTACAGACAGAAAATAACACACATACAAGAAGAGTTGTTTTCAATTTAATTTCTTTTAATATAATCTTATTTACATTGTATTTTTTCATAAATGTTTAGTACATAGTAAGTTACAATACTCTTGCATCCATTACACAGTGAAGTCAGAACCTATAAAATGCAGATTGAAATGATCCTGCGTAACAGTCTTTAATACCCAATCTAAGACAGATCCCACATTATTCGCTCAACATTTAGGTTTGTTTGTATTTCATTCACTTCTATGGAGAATTAATGACTGCAAAGAGAGATTTGTTCATTCGTGGTTGTCTCAAACAAAGATGACATCTTCTGACAATCAGGCCATGGAGGTAAAGAGACAAAACATTCGAGCCACAGAGTTCAAAATAAAAGTAAAAAACACAAAGATGGTGAAACGGATGATGAAACATGTACGAAAGTGAGATTTTTATTATACATGTCACATACAACCCCCAAAATATCCTGAAGCTGACACCTTCTTTCTTCTTAATGGCTCATTTTGTTTAAAAACCAGGTCATGACCTTTGACCTTGAACATCTCCATAACATTAGAAGAGTAAGATTGAAAACTAGAGCGGGGGAGATCGATCCCGTTCACATGAAATAAACGTAACATGGTGTTTAAAACACTGAGACACAGTTTCCACACACTGACATGAGTATTTCTCTGCAAAAATAAGAAGGTTAAAAAAAAGTTTGATGAAATTCATAAAATGCTTGTTTGGATTACTGGAGTTTCGAGTGAATTTGACCCCTTTAATTCTCTCTGGGGGGAAAGAGGGAGGGAGGGAGGGAGAGATTAGTGTGGGCTCTCTGTGGAGCAGGTAGCAGCTTGGTCAGTAATCACTCAGTAATAAATAATAAAACATCAGAGTGGATCAGAGTGGTCGCAGATACAAACAGAGGAGCAGGCTCATTTGATCATTTTTACAGCGTACAAACACACTCACAGTCTCTCTCACACACAGTCTCACTCACACACATGCACACGTTCAGAAACAGGACAGTGGTTAAACATGAAGCATGAACACTCATCGATTGATCAGAACAACAATCGTTCCCGTCTCCTCCTTCACACGTCTCCTTGTTTTCAAAGTTTGCAGGCTTGCGTGTGATTGGCTGATTCTGTCCAGAGCAGACATTCTGCAGAATGACATCATAGCTTGTTAAAACTGAAGGATAAAAATGCTTCTTCAAAACATCTGAAAACATTTTAAAATACTTTTAATTTTTGTGTGATTTTTTTTTCTATTTTCGCCCCTCCTGCTGTGCTTCCTCCTTCACTTCTTCTAAACAGTCCCGTGGTGCAGAGGTGGCGAGGGGCTTTGTGTTTGTCCTTGTGATGCTTGGCTTGTCCGTATACTCAGTTCATGTAAGAGTGTGTTTGCGTGTATACTGTCTTTAAATGTCAGATAGTTGTGTGCAAGTGCAAGCGTAGGTGTGAATGTGTATTTGTAGGTTGGGTTGTTGCATTCATCACTCCACAGCGAAGCCGCAGGTCTCCTCCACGGCCGTCAGCAGTTTCTCGTAAAGTTTCTCGTAGGACTCGTAGGGAGGGATGTCTATCCGGTTAAAACTGAACACAGGAGAGGAGAGTCAGTGAAATAGCTCGATAACATTCACTATAAAGTGAAGCAATCTTTTTTGTGTGTATTCTCACCAGGTGTGGGCCTTGGGGAGGTTGTCTGTGTTGGCGTCTATCAGGTGGATGGTGAAGAGTCTTGGTCCTGCAGAACCTGTAGAGCCTTACACACATTCATTAAGTTATCACTGCGCTACTCAAATCAGTCTGTCCACATTTACAGCTCAATTTCACACCAGCCAGAACATGATTTAAAGCCTGTATTTACTATTTAGTAAGAAATAGTGCAAAGACAAGAGACTAAATGATGAAACTGAAAAATATGCTCATTTTAAATGTTTCAAAAAAAGTGAAGACAGCATCAAGAAAACACTTAAAAACTGTAAAGTTACAAAATAACTTCCCCCAATTGATTAGATTAATTTTCAACAGGTTAGGAACATGGCTGAGTCCCCCATTAATAAAGACAGGACTAGGTTCACTGCCCTGTTAGAGGCTGCACGGGCAAAAAGTTCCAAAATTTCTGAATTTCTTTAGAGTAGAACTGTGGGTTTAAGGATGTCAAAATTTCATTAAAAGATTCAGAGGATCTAAGGAAAACTCCTCTGTACAAAAGGGGACAAGGCACTAAATTAGTGCTGTGAAAAGACTGTGACCCTTAGGCTCGAAAAACAGACATGACTCTGTAGTGGAAATTACTGCATAGGTTCAAAACCACATCTAAGTACCATTGCAGGTGAAAACTGAAGAGGAGACCAGATATAGATAGGATCCACAAAGATTTTTCTGTTATTTTGGAATTTCCCCCCGTGGGACTATTAAAGGAATATCTTATCTTATCTTCTGGTGAATTCTCTGCCCATGGTTTGGTTGTTTACGCATCAGGTAAGAAAACTTCAGTATAGAGACGTCTGGGTGCTAAACTGGTCTACCCCCAGTCCATTGTAAACCTAAAGAAAGGTGACCCTGACCTGCTGACCATCTAAACCCTTAAATCAGTCAAGGATGGAACAACTTTATTCTCATACAGCTTCCAGAAACTGCTCTCTTTGGTTCCCAAAAGTTCAGTGTTTTTCAGAGACAAGCTGACATAACAAAATAGTTTCTATATTCATGTCACAATTTTTGGCATCAAATTTAAAATGAGCAGATAGCTTTTACATATGGAGAACTTTTTCATGTTCAACATTAACTGTTGACTCAAATTAAGGCTATAAACTATTTAAAAACATGTAAAAATATTCTTTTTATAACACTTAACAGAGCATCACTGAGTTGTTCAAAATCCCAACAGGGTACTGTGCTAAATTGAGCTTTTTTTTTTTTTTATCGCTTCCTCACCATTTCATAAATACATCAAATTCCTAAATGAAATGATCTGTCAATGGCAGCTCTTAACACTGGTGTTTGTACAGCTGATGACAAATTTAGTTCATTTTGAGCTGATTCGTTTTCATTTCTCTACTTTGTATAAAAGTCTTCAGAAGTCTGGTTGTTCTTTGGCAAGTAAGTCTGTAGTCTTTAGTTAATATGCTGCTTTAATGTATACGAGCTTTGAAACCCTCCCCTGAAAGACGTGTAAATAGATGTAGTCCAATATAAGTGTAAGGAAAGTGTGTGTGGACTGAGCTGATCCATGACCCACCCTGCAGCGCTTTGAACCCTTGTAGAGGAACTCTGGTGGAGCCGGTAACAAACTGCAGGAGGCGTCCTCTCCTCTCCTCGCTGAAGGCCTCCACTGCCTGCCAGAACCACCGCACCACGTTGCTCTCGCTCGTGCAGTGCTTCAGGCGGGTGTTTGTCTTCCAGTCCGCCAGATCGATCTTACCCAAGCCCCCGATGATGAGCTGCAGCAGAAAGAGATAGAGAAAAGCGGTTATGGAGGAAGATAAAAGGGAGAATAGATCGAGGAAAAAAGCATGCTAAGTGAAGAAGTAGGAAACACGTGGTCAGCATGTGTACCTCCAGTTCTTTATGGTCGAAAGGTTTGAGGAGGTGCTGGGGGATGAGCTCGCTGAAGCCTTTCTGCAGAGCCAGAAACTGGGCTTCGATTCCTCGCATGAACCTCCAGTTCACATATAGTCTGGAAAAACAAACACAGCGATGCGGGCAAGATGACTACACAGAGATAACCGGGCAAAAGCAAAGTGTCCACAATCTTTTTTAACTTCCTTCAAGTGCAACTTGCAGTTTTAAATTTTTACAACTCTGACACTGTTTTAAAAAAAAACAGCTGCTGAAAAGAGTTACTGATTGTTTTGTTTATTTTATAAGACAAAAAGGTGCAACTTTAGAGGAAAAAGCGTCTGTTTTCTGTTGAGCTGCAACAAAAGTGCTTAGTTTTCATTCTTGCCACGTTTTATATCACACTGTGGACTCGGACTCTTGCCTTTTAACAGACAGCAGCAAAAGGCTTAAGCTGTAGGCTGATATTTACAACACAGACACCTTTAAAACAGTATTAGGACACTCTCTTTACGCTCTCTGTCTTTTTATCACTTTACTTTGATCAGACTTTAAAAAAAATCAAAATAAGATGGAGAGTCAGACACCAACAGGGAGAGGCGTGGTGTTCATTGGCATGATGCTCCCTGCACATTTGTAGCATTACCAAGTTAAAAAGTAAAACACAGTAATAGATATGCTCAGCTAATGCTGGTTTGCTTCCTCTGCTCACTGCTGGGTCTCACTGCTCCTCTCTGGTGGCTGTTTTTTCTCCTGATCTTGTCCTGTTCTTGCTCTGTTTGACTTCCTACACGCTTTTAATTCTACGGTTCTGCTCTGTCTTATACAGATCAACAGATGAATGGCATTTCAATAATAATACTACATTGATTTTATTATATTGTGCCTCTCTAAGAACCCATGGTTGCATCACAAAGTATAATGAGACAGAGACAGGTGCTTTATATGAAGCTTATCTCTACTCTCACTCTAAAGACTGATCGTCTGTTCTTACCTGACATATTCTTTCTTGTTTTCCTCTGTGACGGGGATGTTGCGGCCGTTAGGTTTGAGTTCATGCTGTAAAAACTTCCCGAAGGCGTTGTGCTCCACGCAGAACGTGTGGTCAAGGACTGAAGTGATGTCGTTTTCTCTGCACAGGGATAAGAAAATGAGTAATTATGTGGAGATCGGCTGTTTCTGAGGTTAGTAACAGTCGATTCCGTGCACAGGTGGGTGTGTTTGCTCACAGTATCCAGACGAGGCTCTTGTGCAGTTCGGGGTCGGTGGTCTCCAGGTCGTTGAGCTGGATGGGTTTGCCGAGCAGCTGTTTGTAGAAAGGCAGCGTGAAGCTCCCGTTGATGTAGTGACCATGAAACACGGCCAGGCCCATTACTCGACCCACGAAGTGGAAATACGAAAGGTGGTCCTGAAAGAAAGAAAGAAACAGAAAAGTGAAGACAAGTTCTCGCTATGTGCACAATCTGTGTAACAGTGTGAGTGTGTGTGTGTGTGTACTCACAGGGTTTATGGAGGAGTCGGGGTTGATCTGTAGTGTGTAGATATTGTCTGTGGAGTACTGGAACAGGCCGTAGTAAGGGTTCAACATTTCATGGCACAGCAGGTACAGCCACTCCCTGCAGACGAAAACAACACTGAAATGTCATTCCGAACGTGTGCTGACAGAGTTTTTTCCGATGATCAGCAGAAGAAACTGAAAAACCGGATTGTATGATGTGGATTTTAATCATTTAAACTGTCTTAAAAACATTTCATAAAGCTCATTTGAAAGTGGCCACAACAGCAGAGTTCAACAGTCCTCCCCACTGCAGAAGTTATTTATGAATATGCTGAAGCAGTGTGACCACAGTTCCTCTTCTATTACTAAATAGCGCCTGTTTTCGGAAGTGGGTTCCCCTTCTGAGCTCTTGACCTTATGCTGGTTAATTGGTTGGTCATCAGATGATTGAGTACTAAACTGAACTGGACCTCTTTGTGGAAATGCAAACATGACGCACATTTTAATTCCGTACAGATTAAATTAGGATTGTAAAAAGTAAGTCACATTCAAATCTGAAACAGGGTGGAGTTGACCGGGACGCAAAGACTGGTCCATGCTGACCCAAACAAAACCCACAAAGCTGTGGAAGAAGAAGACACACACACACACACGCCTTCACCTGCTGAGAGAGGTCGAGTTAATTACCTGGCCACTCCTCCGTAATCCAGACCCTCCTCTCCTCTGAACTTCACCATCAGACGCTTCTTTAGGTCTTTGGGCCTCATCTTCATTATCTGCCGATACGACTCCTACACAAAAACACGACACGAACACGCAAAATTTATACAAACAATCCATTTGAAAGATAGACACGCACATATTAGCCAAAATAAAAGGAAGTGAGCTGCTACACAAACCTGTAGCTCAGTAAAGTTACACCATCTATTACTGAGAACGATCTGCTGCTCCAGAGAAAGATGAGTAAGATTGTTTGAGTCACCGACAGAGAGGACTTGTTTGTGTGAATGTAAACTTGGACATAAAACCATCTGATCCAGATCTTCCTCCTCCTCCTTTTGCAGCTAAAGCACAAAACCAACTATTTCTATGATGGGAGGGATTGCTCTTTTAGTTTTGTTATAAGCTGTGGTGATAAAGATCTGAAAGCTGTGAGGTACTTTTGATAAGTGTTGAATTCTGCGCCCTCATGTGGACAGAGCAGCATGTCTTCTCTCCCCCCCGATTTGTCCTGCTTCCTTTTAACAGTGTGTCCCTCTCTGTAGACATCTACTGTTACAGGAGACCTATTATGCTTATTCATTCATCATTACTATTACAGTATATGATGTTATAGTATTAGTGTAAATACTCAGACATGTTTCTCTGTGTCTCTGAACAGCTTTCTTTTAGAACTTTGCACATCTTGACTTAAAGCTGATGTCAGGGTCTGCAGCCCTGTTAGAACAGTGTTGGAGAATGAGCCCACCCAGCACCTGGACAGTCTGCTTTTCCTGCTCTTTGTTGTCTTGGAACATCACCTGGAGGAGCTCTTTTGGTTGCGAATGCAAGTCATTACGATTTTCTCTTCCCAAAGATGAATATACCAGAAAAAATCAGGACTTTATGGTTTTTATATTTCTGAGACGACAACATCCTCAATGTAGCTGTTTGTTCCCACTGATGAGTTCTTTGTAAATAAAGGCAGTAAAAGCTGGATTTGTAGCTCAGCTTTATTAAAACCTGGAACTATAGAGCTCCCTTCAAGACAAGCCGTGAGTAGCAACTAAAACAGGTTGAAGTTTTTTCCTCCATGAAGCTCTGTGCTCTTTTGTCTCTGGGTTTGGGTTTTTAGCTTCAATAGATATCCGAGTCATCCTTATAGTAACACTAACTACAGTATAATGGGGGGTAGCATTATACTGGGCATAACTTGCATGTTGTTTCAAAAGTGTAAAGCTGTGTTTGTTGTTACACCCACAAGCTGTGTCCAACTTTTTCATCAGTGGAATAGCAAAGGGGTTTGGTCTGCTCTTATGGGCCATAAAGGAGCGTCTTTAACCCTCTTTTTTCAACAGCCAGTCACAGTAACTTAAGAGTAGATAAGCCGATGGCCGATCTACTCTTGGACTTGTGTTGGGGAAATAAAGAAAACAAATCGGGTTTCCGGCAGAAATCACCTCTTAGAAAATGAATTTGTGGAAGTGGACTGGATTTCCCTCACTGAAGGCTGATTTCCTCTGAGGTGCTCTGCTAGTTTCCCCTGTTCAGTCCTGCCTTATGTAACAGGTTGTAGTTTTTCCCTCCGTGAAGCTCTGTGCTCCTTTGTCTCTGGGTTTGGGTTTTTAGTTTCAATAGATATCTGAGTCATGCTTATAGTTCCACCAATCAGGTGTCTCCGAGTGTCTTTGACAGGCAGAATCATTGCCAACCTTTTAACCAATTGTAGCAGCCCAAAGATGCCTTTACTTCCTGGTTTGACCTCTGAACTCACCTCAAAGATCTCCTCTCGGGACACCTCGATGCGACAGTGTCCCGCCTGAGGCTGCTGCAAGGACAGCTCGTGTCGCAGCAGCTTGAGCTTGTGCACCAGGTCTCTCTCATAGCGCGCCGCCACGTCTCCTTCTCCTCCACCTCCTCCCCCTCCTCCTCCTACTCCACCTATGCCACCTCCCACTCCTCCTCCCACCTCCTCACCCCCAACGTCCATCTGGGGGGCTTGGGAGGACTCTTTTGCCTGGGATTGCTGGCTGTAAGGGGGAAAGATGGAGAAGAAAGACATGATGAGAAAAGGGGAAGGAAGGAGTTAAAAAGAGCAGACTGGATTACACTCGCCGTTCACTAAATCTACTTTAAAGCCACGTTTCTGTAAATCACACGATTCTGCACCACAAACAGAGCCCATGACTGTTAGTGGGTCATGTTAGACCCAGACTGAGTCCGGCATTACAGCTGCAGAGATCAGATTAACAGCAGATTAGTCTTGAAATCACTTGTTTCGTGTTTACTGTGATGTTCATTCAGGTAGAGACTGAGCTTCGAGTTTAAGGACAGAGCTTTAGGAGGGAGAACCTAGGAGCCTGTACCTGATGATGGTGTGTAAGCGTGGGTCTGTGAACTGTGTGGTCCGGTTGTTGTGGTCCACAAAGTAGATCCGTCCAGACACAGTACTTCGGACCTCCCAGCCCACTGGCAGCGGCCCAAGCTCCTCGCAGCTCACGCTGGCCAGATCCCTGCATGGGTCACAGAGAACCAGAGACAGAGACGTGAGGAAAGACAGCATGTACTCAAACCCGTCGAGACCCCTCAGACTGACCTGGGCCCTGACCTCAGATGTAACCTGACCTTATGTGTGGATATGATGGAGGCATGTTAGTTTGACCCAGTAAAGATCGAATTTGACCTCATTTTGTTGATTTATTCTCAGAACCTGCCCAGAGTCTTTGCAGTTTTCTCTTTTGTTGGCTCTGACAGTCATGTGCCGGTTTCACCTGAACCTGAAGTTCTTCTTCTCTGTTCATTAATCTGGGTAAACAAACAAACAGCTCTCAGACCTGTCATACTGTTGTACTATACTCCAACCAAATACCACACGAACTACTCAGTTTCTTCACAGGAACTTTGATTTATCTCCCATGAGATTTACAAGACAACTTTTTTTTTAGCAGAAATGAATTTTTGCCCGTAGATGGCGATAGTGTGTAAATACAACACAACATTTAGAGAAGAGCGTGTGTTTTGAGTGTCTTTGTGAGGAAACAGTAGCTGTGAACTGTTCTTTATACAGGGTACGGGCGTGATTTACTCGTATGAAGCATTGCTCCTCTACTACTTAACTTTCACCCACACCTAAAAATGGAGTATTCACATGTGCACAAAATTCCAGAAAACTTCCTGAGACTTTAAAAAGGCAAATTTCCCCTTCAACTTCATCTAAAGATTTTTCGTTTATTAGTCCCTTAGTAAAATTTCAGCGTGAAGTTGGGTGAGTTGATATGAGAATGCATCAGGAATATCTATACAAATTCCCTATGAGTGACTGTGAAGGGTCATCCTCCTGAGAACACAGATGAGCAGAGACATTCGCTTCTTTAAAGTCAAATTTAAAAACTCACTTTTACAAACTTGCTTTTATGTGATGCCGTCTTTTATCTCTTTTACCTCTCTTATCTCTGCTTTACTGTCTTTTTAGCTTTTGTTGTACTTATAGTCTTTTCTTACTTAACTTTTTGGCCTTTTATCGTTTTAACTCTGCCTCATTTCTGTTGTTCTATTTTACTATTATTATTTTCATTATTACTTTATTATTTTATTATCATTATTAATATTGTATTTCATACTTACAACCGTTTTTCTGCTTTAACCCCCTTTATTGCATTTTCTTTTTCTGAACTATTTCATGTTTTTATTTTGGTCCTCATGGTCTCATTTTATGTTGCATGGTTCTTGTCTCGTCTGGACTCCTTATGACATTCCAATTCTGTTTTAACTGAGCTTTTTGTTTTTATTTCTCTTTATTTCTGTGTGCTATAAAAATAAAGTTATTGTTATAAATATTTCTATATGATAGTTGGGGAGTTCACTAGCTAGAATTCTCTGCTAATGATTAAAGCTGGTCTTTTGTCACCATTGCTTGTAGATTCAGTCAACATGTTTAATTCTTGACCCTTTCAGCCGTGTAGGATGCTTAAAAGTGGTCTTAAAGTCTTCCGGGAGAAACCCTGTGTACTGAAATCTTTTAGACAAATCCTCCTCCTCCTCCTCTGTCTCCTCCTCCTTTGCTGCAGTGACCCAGTTTGCCAGCAGAGTTTATTCAGGGTTCGTCTCCTTTTCCTGCCATGCCTGGATTAGACAGAGGTGAAATCGTACCGTGGTATCCGAGGGTCATGCCAGGTGCTGACGCCCGTCTGTGTGTGGAGGAAGTAGACTTGGCCCTGCACTGTTGTTCTCTGCTCTGTTGTTAAAGATCAGATATGACATGTCTTCAGATATATAACAGCAGACATTAGGTGAATATCAGGAGTAAGAACAGATCTGCCTCCCAGGATAAAGTGGAATATAAAAGTTAATGAGACTGACCGTAACCCTCCGGCAGGTCAGGCGGTTGGTGCCCATGCGGTCTGTTTTGGGGTGTGTGGCCGTGGCCTCGTGAATCCCCCCCTCTGATTCGTTGAGTCTGAAGACGGTTCTCCTGACTGGGTGAGTCAAGCCGACAGTTCCCGCCTCCTGCAGCACCGGTGGGGTCTGAGTAGGGCAGCGGCTCTTCACTGAAGCAGCCCTCGAACACAGGGCTACACATACAAACACACACAGACACACAGACAGACAGACGCATGGTCAACGCTGAAGGCTGTTTTGTTTGGTTATATTGAAATCAAATGATTAGTCAACTGCTTTTTATTTTGAGCTCAGACATTTGGAGGAAATTAAACAGATGACCATTTTAGCAGCAGAGCAGACTGACTAAAATTACCCCTGAACCATGCAGACCCATGACTATAACCACACAATGTGTGTCCAGGGTCAGCCTGAAATTATCATCAGGCAACCAAATGAAAAGCTTCAACACAGATGTGTGACTCAGACGTGACATATCTATAAAGAAAGAGATCCTTGTTTAAAGGTCGATTTAAATCTGGGAACGGCTTCATTAAAGCTCCTGTGAGGAAGTTTTTCACTGTTATAAAACAGACTCCCATTAACAGTCACTCATCACGTTTTTATTATTAGAGGTTTAAAATGCTGTTCATGTGTTGTGTCTCAGCTGTAGTGCAACCACCTATCCAAGTTAAAACAGCAGCTCCAGTCAGTAGCTGCCACCACAATACTTTTTGAAGCTCTACTACCTGAATATAAACAAGCATGAGCTGGTTTAAGAAGTTTGGGTCGTATGCAAAGTGTGATCTATGGTATGTCCCAACCGAATATTGGTATCAGATATCGGTCAAATATCAGCAAAAAAAAAAAAATTAAAAATTGACTATCAGATTATATCGGCCTGCATCTAGAATCTTTGATATCAGCACTCCGATACTAGCAGTCCATTCCAGACTCCACTCCAGCACCTCAATCTAGCAGTGCCCGCATGCAGAGCCCACGTGATCACAACAACAGTGTGTACTAAGGTACTAACAAAGTAGCAAGGAGTAGGAGTGATGTCGGCCCTGTAGCAGAATTTTTCATCTAAGTCCGAAAAAGACGTTGCAGCTGAGTGCAGAACTTGTCATGCACAACTTTGTGCCAATATCGGATCAATATCTGTATCGGCCAATACTGAAGGCTACAATATCTGGTTTTAAGACGTGACAGCAGTATCAGTTTCAGTCCCTCACACAAGATCTCAGCCTGACATAGAAGAGTCTGCACTCTGTCAGACTCAATGTGGGACACAGTCTTTCTGGTCATATTTAAAGACAAATAAGTTTGAAAAATAAGTTACATTAAATTGTTTCTTGATTATTTTAAATTTAATTTTTGGATGGTAAACCTCACTCACCCATCGTTTTCCAACAGTCCTCTACAGTCCACCACTGGGCCTCCGCTGCCGATTCGATCTCGTGTTTGTAAGCTCACTGAAAACAGGCAGAAGAAGGTGGAGTTCAGGGAGGAGAGTGAATATGCACACAGACGAACAAGAGCACTACAGCAGACAGGACCGTCATGCAGGTGACCTCTTAATGTGTCCAGACTTACCTACAATCTGCCCCCTCACTGCATCACTGTCTGAGGGGTTCAGCTTACATAGATCGAGACGCTGGTCTGGAAGAAAACCATCAAAACCAAAACGTCAGCATGTGTGTGATTTAGTGAGTTTGGACTCGGGGGACAAAACGGAAGACAGACTCACATCCTGTGTCTTTTAGCCTGCTGATGGCGTTAGAAAGAAGTCGTATGCAGCCCAGGAAGCCCGCCCCCTGTCGTTTATGGATTTTCTTGTGGTTCCATATACTGATGGTGATGGAGTCTGTCTTTCCAATATAACTGAAGACAAAATAACAGGAAAGACAGTCGATGGGATTGAGGCCATAAAAACCACCAGTATGAGAATAAAGCCTGAAAATTGAGTAGCAGACTCACAGGTCATAGTGCTGGTTCCATTTGGGGTCCAGTGTGCTCTTCACGGTGTCTGTAGAGTGGCATTGACCTGATCCATCTACCACCACCTTGGCAAATGGATCCGGGAGGCCTGCAGGTACACAAGAAGACAATAGAAAAGTATTTCAGTCATATTACACAAGAGTTGGTACACTGTGTGAAATGTTTATAATAAAGTCTTTGGGTGGTTTGCAAACATTTTAAAGCCCAAAATTTCATTGAAAGTGAGACAACAGATCAAATATTGAACTGAAAAGTACACATGCTCATTTTAAATTTGATGCCAGCAACAGGCTTCAAAGCAGTAGAAGCCTGTTTATCAATGTTTCACATCACCTCTTCTTTCAACAGCACTCTGTAAATACATTTGGAGTCCCAGAGACCCCTCACTGCAGTTTGAAGAGTTATATGTTGTCCTGTTCTTGCCCAATACAGGACTGTTCAGGGAATCTATTGTCGTTTTAAGTGAAAAAACAGGTTAAAAAGTCAGGACTTCAGGCAGACTGGACTTTTCTTCTAGAGCCATACTGTTGTAAAATATTTTACTTTGACATCTTCTTACTGTATTAAGCAAAGTCTTCCCTGAGAAAAGTCATTGTCTGATTGGCAGCATGTTGCTCTAAAACCTTTATGGACCACTGAGCCTAGGTGGTGTCTTTCCAGACGTGTCAGCTAGCCATGCCATGAGACCTTCTGCATCCTCAGGTTTTTAGGGATGATGCTTTTGACAAAGGATGTGGCAATCATGGTTTCCAAAGAGAACGTCCGATTTGATTCATCAGACCATCATCCAAGTTTTTCACTTTGAGTCCATATTAAAAAGGTTGCTGGTGGTTGTGGACCATGTTTATATACAGTTTCCACTTTGTAAGTTTAAGCCTTACTCACTTTGTGGATACCAACTTTCACCAACAAAGGCTTTTTGATGGGATTTAAAGCCCATGCAGTGATTCCCACTATAGAGTAATGCCTATGCTTGATGCCTCTAGAGGGCCTGAGATCATGGCCAACCAGTCTCAGTTATGACCTGGTCCTTTATGTACAGAGGGTCCTCCAGTTTCTCTAAATCTTTGAATATTACTGTGAACAACTTGTGATGAAACCCTCAAATCTGTTATATTTTTACACCCTGGTACATTTTACTGGAAAACTGAGTGAATTCCTCATGCGGTCTCTCAAAGTGGTGAAACTCTTCTCATCTCCTGACTCACTCAGCCTCTCTGAAAAGCCCTTTTTATACCCACTCCTGTTACTAACCTGTTGCAAACTCACGTAATTAGTTGAGAAATGTTCTGGTGTTTCTTCAGCATTACAAATCTCTCTGTGTTGTTGTTCCTGTCCAAACTATTTTGAAGTACTGATGGCATCAAATCTAAAGTTAGCATGTGTTGTTTTTTTATAAAGCAATTACATTTTTTATTTTTATCATTGAAATGTTTTTTTTAAACATCGGCTTTAGATGATTTGCAAAACATTTTATAGAGTCCACACTCTTATTGTGTTGGAGTTGTCGACAAATTATCTGGTAATATTATGTGATTTAGAAAACTAAAATACAATCATAAACTGGAGTTAACCACAAAAAGGTGAAACTGGTTGAAATGAAGCGTGACTTAAGCTGTTTAAGACATGCACACAGTCATGACACAGCACACAGCTCCTCTCAGACACACGTCCTCTCAACATGTAAACTAACCATCATCATGTTTAATGCTTTACAGATTCATGCACATATTAAAACAATACTTACGAAAGAAGTCTTTCTTTGCGAGGTTCTTGGCACATAATACTGTAAGAGATCGTGGAGAGAGAGAGAGCCGTTATGAACAAGATGCCACACACAGAAACATGTAAATGATAATACAGTGTGTGTAGGCTGCTGCAGAGAGAAACTGAGTAAGGAGAGAAATATGTGAATGCCACAGGACGGACCTAAGAGGGAGGCGTTTGGTGAGACGTCAGTAAAGTGGAGGTTAGTTTGTGGGTCCTTTCTCATACATAAACATAGGGCTGGGTGATACGGCCTCAAATCAATATCACAATCAGTGTTTCCCCTCGAATTTTTTTCAGCTGGGGGTTTGAGAGGATTTGATGCGCTCATTGATGACTCATAACAAGTCGAAAATGACGTTGTGTATTGTTGTGCTCACACGGTGTGTGTAGAATCATTCATTCAAGCATGTAGGGGAAACCCTGACAATATATCGAGCAGGTCAGCTCGATAACAATAAATGGACAATAACTACTCCACAAGCTGCTCACCCCCTCCCACATTAACTTTGTCTACCACTACAACTTCTGAACTGTCCTCCATCTCCTCACCTGTCTTTCCCTTTTTGTTACAGACTGGATGGGGTGGAGTCACGTCTCTGACATAGGACAGCGTCTTAAAGGGACATGAGACCAGAGCCTACCTACACACATCCAAAACCAACTTTTATTTATTTATTTTCTGACACAGAATATATTGACATGGGCAAAATGACGTGGGGTATTGTTGTGCATTTCGGTATTTGTAAATTTTCGGCTTATCGCCCAGCCCTACATATACACACACACACACACACACACATAGCAGTCTGAGAAAGACAGGCAGGATACTTCAGCTGTCACATCAACTTTGTGAACTCAGGAAGAGAAAGTCAGACCGGCTAACCCTTTGAGTGTATCATTTCTTGTTTTGTGTTTGTCAGTCATTCTTTTCTCGACCCACATAGCTTAGCGACACACAGTGTCTTCTATTTTACACAATATACTACTCAGTGTTGACAAAGCCCTCAGTCAACCACACTCTAACACGCAGAGACGTTTCTATCAGCTTCAGAGATCAGTGATGCTCTACAGACTCTCATCAGGTTCATTTGATCTTCATTTGTTTTTCTCCACCTGAACCAAAATCTTTTTCATCCTGCACTATTTGGTCCGGCCTGGACAGTCACAGAGGAAGTTAGTCAGTCAGGTGGCGTTTCAGGATGTGCTGACTGCGTGCTGGTGTACATGTGTCAGGCATTTATTCACTCTGATTAAGACACTGGGACTGGCTACAGGATATCCGCTCCTCTTCCTCATCAAAAGCCGTGTGTTCCTTCTCCTCCTGACTCACACATTCCTCACTCAGACCTCCACAGACAAAGAAACACAGACAGTTTCTGATTCATCACCCTGGTCTCCATTAGAGGAAGTCTTTCTCCACCACTGTCATTGCTTAACACCCCTTCAGTCTGTTTGGCAGTCAGAGAGACTCCATCCCTCCTCTTTACACCTCCTGACCAGCTCCCTCTGTGGCTCTGAATGAGTGACCGAGCCTTCCTCAGCGTCTCAGGAAACTCCTCATCCTGCCAAGGTCATGGCTGGTGAAGACACACACAGACACGGCTCAGCTGGTCCTCAGCGTCCTCGCTGCACTGTTTCTTTTTTGTCATTTTACTTCCTTTCTTTGAAAAAAAAAAAACCTGCAGGCTTGGAGAGAGCCAGCGGGGGAAATGATCCTATTCATCCAAACTGGAGGGAACGAGCAGAAACAGTTCAGGGGGAGGCAACAACAAACTGAGCTGCTTCTGTGCCACGCCAGCAGCTCCTCCAGGAATTTAAAGTCACATCATGTTTCTGGCACAATCAGCCAGCTCCTAAAAAGACTCAGAGGGGCTGCAATTTAGCTTTACATCTGCACTTCACTTCCAGAGAAAAGCTGATGGTTTTGGCAAACATGAAAATACAGAAGCTTAGCGACACATTTAAACTGCTCCACTCACAGAAATTAGTCTGTGTCTTTGGTAGACACCAGGATGCTTCATGTTAGCACTATCATAAGCTTCAGTGTAGAAGAACAAAGATCCTGAATGGACTGCTGCTGTCTGTCTCACACATCACTGTTAGGGTAAAGTCTGCTCTCTCACAGAGAACGATACTTGATATTGATACGTGATATTTTGGGTGATTTCGCTGACTACAATAAAAAACGTAACCATAAAAAAAGTCAGTTTAAGATGTGAATTGTACATGCTTGTTTTGTTACACTAGATGGTGATAAAACAAAATCAGGTCTTATTTCATTAATGAACTAAAAACTGGATCATTAAAGAAAAACAAAACAAAACACTGAAATCAACAAAGCAAGTTTGAAAAACACGCTACTTAATCTACTGAACCTACTGGATTCATGCATATCAGGGGTGTGCAATAAAAATACAGGACAGATCAGACTCATTGAGCATGAAACAATACTAAGACTTGTTGGCCACGTCTGTTATTTGCTCTCCTGTGGGATCGTCCCTTTTTTTGAATCTTAAATGTTGTCTTCCTAACTCTTCGTCACTGAAGAAATCCAGACTTTTAATCCGTCTTCTTTTTCTCGTACACCCAGCTCTAATGGAAAGACGATGTCTTCACATGTTGAATGCTCACAGGACCCAGGAGAAATGTTCAATTGAATGTTTTTTTAAGAGATCTGTTGTTATGAACATGACCTAAAGAAAATGTACACTTTGATTTATTCGGTTATCGATTCTTTCTTTTTTTTTTTGCTTTAAGCAGTTTTTGTTGAGACTCTTTGTGACCAGGACCACTGCAGGGAGGTTTACCATGCTATCATTGAGCTGTTGTTACTTGCTTCAAAATGGGAAGTTTATTTACATTAACTTGACTGTGATTTGATCCTTTATGCATACAATTGACACAGATTTTACTAAATCACCTACATGGATCATCATACTGGTGTCACTCTGCACCAAAGGATAAAATTTTACATTTACACAATTATTCAGATGAGATTTCAAAATATTGAGATATATATTGTGTATCAGGATATGACATTAAAGTTTGTGATATTTGTGATTTCCCTCATCACACAGCCATGATCCTTGTGAGGGATCAAGGTCAAGGTGTAGCCAATTGTGTCTTAGTGCCATTAAACAGTCTAATTAAATTGGCCAGTTGATAAATTTCCAATTAAAACTTAACATGTTTTTCAATCATTTGCAAATTAACATTTAAGCAGCCTGAAGAGCGGCTGTTTGAGTGGTGTTCTCATTTTCTAGTCTATGTGGGGACCTTGGATTTGCTCTAAACCGAGTGACCGACTTAGAACAATTAAGTTGTTATCTCAGATAATACGTCTACCGCCTAGGGCTGTGCGATATGGCCTCAGATCAATATCACAACTTATTGAGCAGTTCACCTCGATAATGATACATGGATGATAACTACTCCACAAGCTGCTCACCCCCTCCCACATTAATCCACGATGGATGGGGTGGAGTCACGTCTCTGACATAGGACACCATCTTAAAAGGGACATGAGACCATAGCCTACCAACACACATCCATGACCAACTTTTATTTATTGATTTATTTTGATGAAAAAATGACGTCGGTTATTGTCATAAACTTCAGTATCTGTAAATTTTCGGTTTATCGCCCAGCCCCACTTCCACCCTTTAAAGTCATAAATACACTGAAGCAACCAGGTACAAGTTCAAATGTAGTGCTACTCTATCACAGACATGACACCAAAGATTTCCCTTGAACAGAAATTCTCCAAATTATCCTGATTTTAAAGTACTTGATTTTGATCGGCCACAACCCTCTGACAGTAGTCATTTATCCTCTGAATTCAGAGACTAACCTGATCAAACGTCCTATCAAACCAATCCGTAAAAAGATGTCCAAAACTAAGGATAAGCAAACAGTCATTTAAGAACACGCCTCACTAAATGTTGTGAACAAAGCATAATTAAGAGATCCTTTATCACAGCTGTAATGTATTATAATATTCTCAATAAACTGCGTTGTTCAGTGAGAAACAGTTGCAGCTGTACCGTCTGAACCTTGTCAGAGTTCTTGCAGTTTAATCCGTGGTAAGTTTAAAGAGTGTGATTTAGTGTGCAGGGCGATGTCATTTCTCCTCTCAGCTCCTAAAACAAAGCAAACCGGCCGACACGTGAGCAAATATCTCACCTTCCTAATAACCAGCTCTACCCCAGCACCAAAACACAAACTCACATGGTGTTGGCGGACAGGTGTGTGAGCTCACTGACAAACAATAAACAGGTTCAGCAGTCAAACCACCCACAAAGCAATTATTAAACGAGAACAAACACATCTTCACCAATGAGCCTGTTTGGATGTCAGGGCAACATTTTCAGTTCTCTGTGTTTGACATGCTGCCGGATCAGAGTGAGAGGATTTAAAGTGCTTATGCTGCTTTCTTAGTTAACATGACTCCCTCCTCTGCTTTCTTTTTCTCTTCATCTGCTGTTTCTATCCATTCTTTTTTCTCTCTCTTTTTTTTTAACCTGATAGTCCTCTCTCTCTTTCCCTCTCTGGCGATTATTTCAGGTCACCTGCTGTACCTTTCACCGCCCTGTGTAGGCTCTTTCGCAAGTCTGCGTTCAATCCGACTCCCTGGCATCAAAACCTGCGCCGCACGTGTTACTTCATGAACAAATCGACATTATCCCTCTGAATCGCTGGGACTTCCATTCAGCAGACAGGATTTTTTTTCACAATAAAGCTCATTCATTTCAAAACAAAAACAGCCCTTTTCTATTTTCCCTGATTTTTTTCACCGCCAAGACCAAGTCCTTCGCTAAAACCAGGAGCAGGGCCGAGCAGTGTTTCAATTATTAAGAAATCATACTGAGTTGATGCTAAAAAAAAAAAAGAGCTTTAAAAGAAACAGCATGTGTTTTCAAACAATCTACAACTGAAACAAGCAACACTTAACACAGAATAAACTAAGAATCTTATCAGGCATTCGCACACTTTCTAATATGACGTGCTACAGACACACATTTACATATTATCAAGTATGAAAGCAGATGGACGTGAAGTCAGTTTCATGATAAAGTCCGTCTCACTGAATCCTCAATGAACCTCTCGACCTCAGAAAATTATTCTAGGGGTGTCTTTTTTTTTGGGTAATTTGACAGTGTTTTGATACCATGTGCTTAACACAGCATAATATCAGTATATTTTGTGTTTAAGAAAATCAAAAACTCAAAATGTCTATGGAAGAAAAGATGAGGGCTGCAGTAAGTGAATATTTTCATTATCAAGTATTCTACTGAATATTCTGGCACTTACGGGTCTTTACACACCAGGGCCGATGCGAATATAGAACGTGAAATCCCGGGGAAGACTTTTCCCTGAGAAAGTCCCGCCCCCTACACCTCTGATTGGCTAGAAAAGCTGGAAACATCATCACACGCTCAGGTCAAACGGTCAGCGCTTATAGCCAATCAGAGGCGATAAGATAAGCACATGAAACTATGGTAACAACTGTTAGCTGACGTTAGCACAGATGAAAGTTAAAACAAAGGCTTTTAGCAAACTTAAAGCACACAAACTATCGTCATATGAGAGATCCGACACTATGTTGTCCTTCAGGTCGTTATCTTTGTAATGTTTGTGTTTCTTTTATCAAAAAGCACTATGTTTTCTGACACGAACACAATCAGCCAGTTGGATATGTTGGATATACCAGTGAATAAGACGTCGAAACAACACGAAATCTGATTGGTCAGAAGTGGACACACAGTATGCGAAACTTTAGAAAAATCGACCATGATCGAAAAAAATAATTGCCGCAATATCGCAGGAAGGGAAAACGTTGCTGATGCGAACGCTTGTATTGACAGGATATGAGTTCAAAAAAAATATTGAAGTGTGAAAAGACTTTTAATCAAGTAAAATGATAAGACAGCTTTTTGCCATGGTGGTGAAAATAAACAATTATCTTGTTCTCTTAACTATCCTGAAAAAATTTACATTACATTAATTAGATTTGTTAATACACATGTAATACATCATTATATTTGAAAATAATATCTAGCAGATACTTTCGTGACAGTGGCACCCAGGTCAAAATATCTGGACACGCTCCTGCAAAGCAGCACAGAGGAAACAGCGGGATCTGTGTGCTGACAAATGGTTAAGTTTGCACTACAAAGGTTACAAGAAAACATTTTATCTCCTTATTTTTAAAGAATGATAGGATAGTTGGCCTTACTTCAACTCCTGTCCTTGAAAGACACTAAAAATGTGACTCCTGTACCAGCAGGAGGAGCATTAATGATCCCCCAGGGCGTAAGAGTGAATGCTCACGTGAAACCATGCTGTGCATGCACAACAACTATCAAAATTAGTTTCCCACAAGTAAATAAGGACGAGATGTAATAGAAGATTTCTCTGCACTGAGAGATACGAAGGACTCTGCTGCTTGTGCTGATTTTACTTCTGGAAATAAATGTGACAATAGCATTGAAAACTGAGTATTATTTCTATGACTTACAAGATATGTCAAACATTAAAATGTTGAGACAAATTCACAGCCCTCAAAGTCCAAAAAACTGGTAAATGATTGTATAAACAGTTGTCTCTTCTTTCCCTCTCAATCTCAGTAAAATAGGTTGGCACTGCTGCGCTGTCTGAATGAGAACTGAGACAGCCAGTAGCAGTGGTGGATCAACATATAGACAAAGTGAAGAGAGAAAGAGTGGTTAATTCAAAAAAGCCGAAAACCTGAAAAATGAGAGGCTGTTTTCTGTTTGCTGTTACACTCTTGAGTACGAATCCACACAAACATGGAAGAAGGTGCTGCTGGATTGGGTTTGTTTGTTTCCTTTGGCAAATAATCAAAACTCAGGGTGACTCATTTGTGTCACAGCAGAGGAGAGCGAGAGCGATATCACCCGGTCTCAGTGTGTTTTCTATTACTAATGACCTGTGGACCCCTGACAGGAAGCTCCACACTACTGTATAATGATTAATACCCACAACAGGCCTTTATTTGTTAGAACATTTAGGGGGAAAATGACAGAGAGCACACTCTCTGCAGATAAACACACCACCACTCACCTATTCTGGATTATTCTGTACCAGAGCTGGTTGAAATTTAAAGTGCCCAGGTGATCATACTTTGGTAGTCGTGGTATTGAAACAGATTTAAATATTAAACTCTTTTACAAGTATCCTAACTAGATGAAAATTCTAGTGTCTAAACAAGACCTCAGACATACACTCAGGGCATTTACATGATGTTAAAAAAAAAGATTTATTGTGTCAGTCCAAGTAAAACTGGACTTGAATGACTAATTAAAAAATAATAATAAAGAGAAAATGTTTTTCCAAATTACTCCTGTTTGACAAACACTAACCTAACACATCTTTCTTCCTCCGCCAGCTCAGGCAACTCCAAAACAGACTGAGAAACAAAAACCATCCACAAGATGTTTGTATAAACGACATACTATATAAACAACATTTAAAGTCACTCTAGTCTTCATGATCTGCCTGCTGTGAGTCTGTGTCCCTGCCACAGACTGACAGTCCTGGAGGTCTAATGTAGGCCAAACAAAGCCTCACTCTGACAGACTAAACACAGCAGAGGCCAGCCAGGCAGCATTGCACTCCCATTGGCTCATCACACATTCCTCACCCAATTAGAATTCCATTCATACCTGAGGGGGCGGGGCACGGTCAGGGGCAATAACCTCTGTTAGCATCTGAACTGAAATAATCACTGACTGGTTTATTCACAAACACGCACACACACAACAAACACACACTTTGTTTCTTTTCATCCGTGCTCATTAGAAAAGCACTCATCGTCACTCAGCAGGCCACTTGAACTAGAATCACTACGACAGCACAGAACCTGGATAATAACACAGAGTGATAAAAGAGTTTATACGGAGTTTCAACAGCTGCCATGTTTTCATGTTAATGATTTGAGCTTCTGTTTTCATTATAGATCCCATAAAAAGGTCTTTGGGAGGCCTTCATATGAGACACAATATCCATCATGCCTTCAAAATGCCAAAGCTGACATCTTCAAATGTTTTCTTTGATGAAAAATTTGAAAGAGTTTAGTGACACAGGAGACTGAAAAACTCTTCAACTTTCACTTTTGAGAGGCCAAAACAAGAAATAGCTTCATGATAACAAAAGAATAAATAAACTATTTAGTTTATAGTTATACTTCATTTTAATGCACCTCAGTTATCTCATAGTCTTGTTACATCACAGTAAAAAAAAAAAAGAAAAATGTTTTATTGTATAAAAACGTAAACATTTAAGCCGTTTAGAAGCCCTTCAGTGGATGCAGCTCTTCCAGGAGGGCTGAGAGCTGAGCTGCTGCTAACATTAGCTGGGTGATCATGGCTTTAAACAGAACTAGAGGCTTCTGGAAAACTCTCTGGGGTGGTAGTTTAGCGAGATGAAGAGATTTGTTGCGTTTCTCGGCTGGGAACAACACACACTGTCTAACTTTTCTCAGGCTACGTAATTTCTTTAGTTATCTTTTAGCCTCTAAACTTATTTTTCCTCAAACTGCACTCTGACTTGCTGCAGCGTTGCATTTGTCCTGGTGTTTCAGGTTATCAAAAATAAAAACTTGAACTACCATCAAAAGTAGAGGTGCAGTGTTGTGTCGTATTCACTGCACTTTACATATTGAGTATAAGTATGTTCACTCTGTAAAATCACATAGATGTAAAATGATTTTGTTTCGACTTGCTGCACTTTCAAGATGTTTTTGACAAAATTTCACATCGACTTTCTCTGCACTGATCTTGAACAATATCGAAATCCTCTATCTGCAAATAATCACCTGATTAAATTGTTTTATTTCTAATATTCAACCTATAATTTTTGAGCTTAAAAAATGTCAATATTTCAGATCAGCTGGTATCAGTTTTCCAACAGCCAAAGGTGATAATAATTCTAGAGAGTATGTTGACCTATGGCTGAAACATAACACTATCATGTTTCCTAACGAATGGCTCAAAAATGCTGGACTTGAATGGATATTTTTATAATTGACCTTTCCTGGTGTTGTCTCTGCTATTACTGCCACAAGTGACTTGTAATTTCTTTCTAGCAATCTGTAATATACATCATTATTATTATTATTTGTTTATCCTTTAATAGCCTTGTGAGCGTGGGCATTGAGAAATAGAGTAATTATTTCAAAATGTTGTTACACAGCTGACCAATTAATCAGGCTACCTCCAGCAAACACGCAATGATTTCTTTACTGTTTTTTTTTTCTATGAGGATTAACTGGGTTAAGGGTAAAACTGAGATTTACAGGATGTCATTTTGAGCTGTCAAAATACTGGCAGATACTTTACAACATGTTTAACCTTTTTTAAACAAAGAAACTTCTTGACTGAATTGAAATGTCAAAAAACAGATGATACAAAATGAGAAAAAAAAAAAAGCTATTTGCAACCTTTTCAAAATCAACTTCTTTTTTGTGTGTGGTTCCTGGTTTCATTTCTCACTTGAAAATCTTCTTAACATATTATTCTGCTTGCGCTGCGTTCTTGAAATCCACTTTTAGAAGCAGAGGGAAGGAGTACAGAAACAAATAAACAAACAGCATGTGGCGGCCATATGCAAACAGTTTCACCAGTATTCAGAGAACACTTAGTATGAAAAAATTCACAAAAGTCAAACACTGGATGTGATCTTGGTCACTAATCTGTATATCTCAGTTTAGGTATCTTGAGTCTTTGAAACAAGAACACTTTGGTGTGTGTTTGCTTAATTTGGAATGAGGAGGAGGACAAGGCGTCTGCCCAGCGGCACAGAGAGGTCATTTCCATTTGAATAGACGCCCCTGGATGCTGAGTGGGGCAGCATTAGCTACAGTAGGAGCCATTGTTCCAGCTGTGTCCCTGAGCATGAGGAGAAAGACACTCCTGTGTATCCTACAGAGCAGAGTCTGACCTAAAACAGAGCTGAATATTCAAGCAGGGTTCCTGGTAGGCCTTAAGGAGCAGACATGCTAAGTTTCTCTGGATAGGCTTGATAGGTCACACATTACCCTGCTGCAGCTGGGGGCAAGTCCAGGAGGGCTGTCACTTTTTATTTGACGCTACTTCGGTTGTGGGCACTCTCGGTGTAACCTGACCATAATACACTCTCTTGATAGACTTAGACTTTCTTTATTTGTCATTGCACAGAATGTGATTTCTCTCTGCAACAAAAGTGCATTGCCTGGCTTCCAAATCACAGCATGATGGTGTTTCATTCAATACATAGAAAAATTAAAATTAAAATTAAAACTACGGGTGAAATAGCAGCATGGTGAGTGATATTGCACTTCCTGGAGGTAGAGTGGTTGTGGAATGAAAACCAAGTAAATTAAAGTATATATAAAAAGATATACGTTCTTATTTTCACATAATAGTAAAAACTAGGGCCCGACCGATTTATCGGCAAGCTGATTAAATCGGCCAATTTTAGCCCGTTTAAGACTAATCGGCCAAAACTTGCCATTTTTCGCGGATGTTTCAGAAATAAAATGCGGACAATAAGATTTGGTTTCACTTCAAAAATGTTCCGCCATTTGAAAGTTCCCCGACTTAGCCTGTAGATGGCGCAACGACCTCATGGCAATCTTCATCAACTAACTACCTCACAGCACAGCAGAGTGACTGATCTGAAGCTGGCAGCTTAGTGACGCACGGAGGAGAGTGGTCCGCCTCAACGGTAAATAAACCAGTTAGTGAAATACACAATAAGTCAACAAGTTTCGGTTTAACCCACTTCACAATGTTCCCCGCTGTGCTGGTCTTGGTGACGCTGAGTTAACGGTGAAGCACCATGTAATATGCAAACTAAAGTCAGAGTTAACCATCTGCTATTAGCCTTGCTACACTGTAGCCGTGCTAGTAACGGTAGAATAAACAACATTCTTTTCTGGTCTGAGTTTCAGTCATGATAAATAGGTGGAATATTTCTTAGATTAATACCTCTGAGAAGTGTTTGAAAGGCTCAAAAGCAGCCACTTGTTAAGAAAATAAGTAAATATGTAAATATATTACTTAAATTAACAAAATTTGAAAACTAATCGGTATCAGCACCGGCCCCAAAACATCCACATCGGTTGTAGTGTTGTTTTCGTTGACAAAACCCCTTTTTTTCCACGCTGAAGACGTGACGTTGACGAGCTAAACATTAGTCTTAGATGATAAAATGTGACGAGACGAATGTGCGATTACGTTGACGAGACGAAACTAGACGAAAACGTTAGTAGTGGACGACGAACAGAGTTGCAAAATTCATAAGCATTTCATCAGTCAAATGCTAAACATATATTCTGCAGTGTTGTTTTCATTGACGATGACGTCAATGAAAACAACACTTATTGGTTGGGCCCTAGTAAAAACATCTCAATGCACTGATAGTCGTGTTTCCGACAAAAACGGAAGAAGTCTTCAAGAAAATCCATCCTGAGCAGACAATCAAAACACATCTGAGCTGACTGAAGGTATCTTAAGGATCTACACCATAGACAGAAAAACCAAAGACAAAGACGGGGCTGCATGTTGACTTCATCCCAACAGCTTTTCTTACTCATCAAAAGCCACAAATCGGCAGGTTCTCTAGCAAAGCTACAGGCTGTCTGTATTTTCTTTGCATTGAAATGTAGGGCATTTCCTTTATTCAGTACTTCCTATTGGAGGAAAGTTTTTCACAAAGTTGTTTGGGGGGAAAAAAAGAGTTGCAGGAGAGGAATCAGTCCATTACAAATTTTAAGCAAATTCCTGAACACTCTTTAACAGTCAGATATGAATTTATCCAAAACGTTTGTTAGGATTAGACAGTGTGCAGGAGTTTGTTTGTAATTTTGTGAGTAGATTGCATAAAGACTTTAGCCATGCATGTTCTTCTTGAGTCCTCAGAAAATTAAAATATTGTCACTAAGACATATAGTGTTGGGTGAAAACATACATAATGACATATCTGTATTATGCTTCAGAAGTGGTGGCTAAGTGGAGCATGATACATAATCATTGTTCACTCATGCCAGTCCAAACATACTTCATACCAACCCTGCCTTGCTCAAGACACCAGCCCAGTCAAAAAGAGTTTGAACACGACCCTGGTACCAAACAGCAGATCCGACCCCTAACAAGAACTTAATCTCTAAGTTAAGTTCTTGGTTGCAAACAATGAGTAAAGTTGCTCAGCTTTCTGGATCAGCTGGACAGGTCACACATAAATACAGCAGAACACCAGTCAATACTCCGGGCTAATCTAGGCTAGCATGTCAAATCTACCGACACATTGATTTTTACAGGGACTGTGGGTTCACATTAGCTTTCTTCACTGGTACACAGCTCGGCGCATTCAGGTCAGGGTTAGAGTGAGTGTGTGCTGCTGGTGGTCAGTCCCAAAAACAGGGTGTAGCTAAGCTAGCAGGAGTTAGCGGTCACCACAGGCAACAGTGTTTCTCTTAGCCAACGTTAGCAAAGAGTTAGCGACTGGTAAAGTTACCGACTTTTAAGAGTCGATGTTAGAAATAAGCCAGAACCAGCAGGCAGGCCAGGTGTCAGGCTGTAAAAGGACAGGGCAGCGGAGGGGTTCTTGACTGTCCTTTCGGTAAATTGGTTAGCATCCAAGCTAACAAGCTAGCAAAGCTGCTGCTGCTGTGTCTGCCACAAAAACCGGATGTTTGGGCAAACACGGAGCCAGCCGAGAGCCTCACACACTCTCTGGGGGTTAACATCAACACTTTATACATGTGCTTAAAGAAACCATCTCTGAACTTCAGCTTAAACACACACAATCTCTTAAGGTCTGGGTTTTTTTTACCTGTCAGGCGGATTTTGATGCTGGACCCGGTCCTCCGAGTCCCAGGATTCGACATCACTCCGGGAAAAACGATCCCACAAACTTCCCGTCCGAGTCCTAAAAACACAGTTTCACCACCAAATGGGAGCGTGAGGAGCTTTAGAGTGAAATCATGCGGTCGGTGTTTGTTCCCCTCACGGTTTAAAGTGTATTATTTCATCGCAAAGCCCTGCGCTCCTTCCAGACCCGACTACACCACACAACATTTTCAGGCAGGCTCAGGCACGTACTGACGTCATGTCCTTAACGGGTATAACCTTACGTGCTCGCAGCCGGGGAGCGTAAGCGTGCCCGATTAAAACCGCCTATTCAGCTAAAGCAGGTAACTGTAATTAGGCAAGGTGGCTTGACTAATAAACAATGTTCTTCATTACAAAAATATCATTTGAAACAATAAAATGCCTTTTATAAAATGCAGTTATCACTGGAAATTGTGAGAAAACATACAATTCCATCTCTATTAATTTAATATATATAGATAATCTAAATATTATATGGGGAGAGTGGGGTAAAATGAGCCATTTTTCATATTTCATATCACTACATCAAGGCAATCATCGTTTTGTCTCTAATGAGTGTGAGTGTAAACATAACTATCTAGATAATATAGCATGCCAAAAAGTGGTCTCCTATGGTCAACTTACCCCGTGTATGGGGTAAATTGACCATAGGAGAAGGGTAAATTTAGCTGTATCCCTACTACCCCCCCAACTCTCCACCCCAGCCCTCCCTCACCTTCTCTCTCCCTAAATAACAGTCACTTCTTCACATTCATGTGTATTTTCATCTATTATATGCGATTCAACTGGTACAATAATTCTTTTTATTATTATTGCAAATAACTGCTAAAAAGCTGTTTTGTGAAAAAAAGCCATTTTAACATGAGAATGTCTGAAAAAGTAACACATTTCAACAATCTGAACTGAAACTCCTGTTTTTGACCTCATGTTGTAGCTCGTAGATAGCACAACTGATGTATAAAACAAATTTAAAATGATCTTTTTTGGTCTGAACACAATTATAATAAAACTTATGACAGACTAAATTCATTTTCAAGAGTGAAAAATATTTTTTGGGAAATAAATGTCTAACCCATTTATCCATGTGCTTCTAACCTTTAAAGACTCCATGAATTGATGCCCATCTCCTAAATATTTGGTTACATGATAAATTTGTCCTGGGTGGCTCAACTTACCCTTTGGCTCAACTTACCCCACTCTCTCCTACATGTATCTTTGTCACATTTTTAAGGGGCAGTTAATCAATAACTAATTGTTCCTACTGTTTACTTTGGTTTGATATTTTCTATGAGACTCTTTCCATAACCATTTTCTTCTTTTACGTACTATGAGTTACTGTTTTTGAATCTTTGACAGGGGTTATTCCCCCACAATGGGATCAATCAAAATCTACATCATATCTCTTATCTCTTATTAATCAAAAATTAAGATTGTTACCAGCCTCTATTGTTGTTCCTCAAAGTCAACATAAAGACACGAGTCATTTCCTCAAAAAGACGTAAGTTAGGAAACTGACAGTGTTCATGCCTGTAACAGATGTATGCGTTTTAATCTTGCTTCTGCTTTCAGTCCGTGTGCTTCAAAAATATACACCTATACATCAACCTTTCCTTTACCCAAATGTATTTTTTTGTGTTTTGATAAGAAGAAAATAGTGTTAAGTTAAGGTTAGGGGAACGATATGTCATACAGTGATTCAAAACAGTTTTGTTCAGTTAAAGGTTGAGGCACAGCTAGTTGGGCAGCAGGGGTAATAGTTGGAGGATTTGGCTCTGTAGCAGCTCTGGGGTTAGCTGTACGCCACTGTATTAGCTGGAAAAACAATGGAGCCTGTTTACAGGACCAAGTAAATCCTCATAAGCAGAGAAACAGCTTTCTGAAGTCCACACAGGGACCAGAGTCATAAAAACACACATACACTCACACAAAGCAGCCATGGTCATGTGTTGTGTGATTCAAAGTGCAGGTGGAACTGTGGGACACATTTAAAAAGCTGTTTCCCCTCTACTCCAGCAGTTTCAACATACAAAAATAGCTGCACTGAAATACTTACTCTTTACACTAATAGGTTTGATGCTTTTTAAAGTCATTAAAAGACATCAATATAAATTTCATTGTGTTTTATGACACAAAAAGTTTCTTACATGAGCTTTAAAGGTGCAGTGTGTTGCATTTAGCAGCATTTGCTGATCAGATAACAGAGATAGACCGGCAGTCCATAGCTTCCCGACATTGCAGCAACCTAAAAGACAAAACGTCTGGAGATCTCGAGAAGAATTGAAAATTACTTAATGCTAAAAAATATTCAGTCTTAGCGCTGCCTTTGAGTGAAATAAATCTAATTCTGGAGGAGTCTTCCCGTGTAAAATGGAAGCGTAATGCTTTCTTCACAGTGCAGACTAAGATGTGCTGAACCACATTAAAATACTGAAAAGAAAGACCCCAAAAGGTGATGTGTAGCTGTAGGTGTAGTGTAGCTTTAGGGTTCAGATCCTGATTGAGAACCTTCCACGAATGCCAGGCAAGAGAGAAATGCTTTTCAAATAATGCAAAAGCCAAAGCCGTGCTTTGCAGGAACCACATAAAAATGCTTCAATGAAAGACCTTAAATGTCAAACCAGGTAAACCTTGTGGACTGGGGTTTAGGAAAGCTGCTTTTCAATTAAACTCATTAAAGTTAAAATAATGGGGAGTCTATTTAACTTATTACAAGCTAAAATAACTGTTTAGAAACATCTTTCTCTTCACAACTGGAAAGTATCTTCACATTTTCAGGATTAGACTTTTAAATAGATTAGAACAAACTCTCTCTAGCAGTCATTATTCTGTATACAAGAAGCTTTTATTCTACGGTTTTGAGATAAGTAAAAAACAGAAACACTGACACGCTTCTTTGACCGCCTCTGTAAGAAATCATGTACATTTATTGGCCAGCTGATGGCGCTGTTGCTTCGTTTTTTAGATTATTTCTTTTCTTTGAGCTCATGCTGTGTGCTTACTGGAGGCCTAAGATGTTCTGGCTTTGAGAGGAGACAGACTGACTGCAGGGGAAATGAACCGAGACAACAAGAAGTTCAAGCACAGAGGAAGAGATGAACAGGCTGTTTCAGTTTTAACAGAGGGTGTAACACTTTAGGCCACTTCGTCTCATTTTTCAAGCTTTACATTCTGTTCTGCTATAAAACAGTATATTCTATGTTTCACTTCATGTAGTTTGTGAAGTAGTTTTTTTTTTCAGGATCCTTTGAAAAAACAAATCTGTCACTCTATTCACTTGAAAATTCCTGAATACTTCCGGAAAATGTCAGGTCAGTCCTCCCAGTATGAACTCCTAAGTGGAGAAAAAAAAAAACATGCTGGGAGCTAAATTTGTGCATGAATATCCTACCAGATGAATCATAATCATCCCTGTTGGCTGATTGGCTGTTAATATTATTGAGTTCTTTCTGAAAGGAAAGAGTCTGGGTAATGTTGGGATGTATATGTCTGTGTGTTCACATATACAGAACACCTTAAACAGTTCAAGCTTTCAGGATTACACCCTGCAAGAAAGAAAACACAATGGTTAGGAAGTGCTTTGGAATAAATGTTAATAAAACATGTAGTTAAATTTAACACAAGAAAAATTCAAAGGACAATTTTTTTGCACGGCTGGAAAGGTCAAAATTAGCAGTGTGCATCCTACAATGTAATAATGATTGAGCATACAGTGCTCTGCAAAGATGGTGAACACACAGTCTGGTGCTATTCTTGGCCTTCTTCAGCTGCCTCCTCCTACACATGGTCCTCCAACTCTCTCACACATAAATCCCAAATATTTCCCTGGTAGTTTCTCTTTTTCTTAAAAATTGGAGATATTCAGACAGAAATCAAAAAGTCTCAATTTGTACTGTGCCAAATACTTTGTAATCTGTATGTATAGAATAAAATATTTACTCAATTTAGCCATTTTGCTTCTCATATGTTAGTATTTGTAATATCAGCATTATACATTGGCCAGCCTGCTCTCATATGATCAGTATCAGCATCACTGATAGAAAACTGATAACAGTTGATGTCTCGTTTTGTACTCTGAGTATCTTTACTCACCAAACACAAACTCCTCACAGGAACTGAAATGACCACAAGTACATTTTTAGGTTGTAACAAGAACAAAAGGCACCTATCTCATACATCAACATGGAATTTATTTTCATTATAGTTTCAGATGAACGTTTCACATTTTGTACAAAATCATTAGAAAATGCCTGACACTCCAAAATCCCACAGCTAATCCTTCAGACAGCTGAGGATTAATGAGGAACCACGCAGCATCCTGGACCAGTTGATGATGCTCAGATTGAGCACCACATCAATCAAATGATAATCCACAGTTCGCTCCATGGCCACACACACACACATCATCGCAGTTGTATGCGTCGCGGTCATAACCTGACAGTATGATACAGAGATTTCTTTCCACAGCTGGTAATGTACAGAGATGATCATCACCACCTGAACGTCTTCAATGTATGGACAAAGTACCATCAACACCACCATGCATGTTTTTGTACGCATGACACATCATTGGTTATGATTGGTTATAAGGTTTTAAAAGATCATTAATATCAGTGTTTAAAATCAACCAATGACTGCAGGCCTGGGGGGAAGGGGGGCGGTCCACTGAGCCTCGGTTTGAATGAGGTAAAACAGAGGGACAAGTGAGGGCTAATTATGCAGTGTTTGCTAATGTACATGCCCAGCACACTCACCCACACTCGCACACTAGCAAATGAGGTCCCAGCCAGAGAGCACAAACACACACTTTAATCCGCGAACACGTCTGCTTCATGCTCAAAGCTTCAAATGAGCCTCGAGAGGGGTACAGTTGAGCCAGAGTGTGTGAGTGTGTGTGTGAGAGAGGAAAAGGTCAGAGAACATACTGAACACACCCTCAGTTAAGATCCGACAAATGAAGAAGGTTTTATTGAGCCAACGCGAAAAGATCCCCCCTCAAACAGAAGAAACCCTGACACTGGGGCAGCGAGGCACTTACACAATCACTTTCATTTACACAGTGCTAGCGTCAGTGTGTGTGTGTGTCTGAAGTGAAGACACAGCTACATTTACTTTTTGATCAAATGTCCAATACACACTCACGCACACACTCACAGATACTTGTTTTCACATTGGAGCATGTTTTTAGCGGTTGGCACATGTACATGCAAAGCGTCAGCTCGGCCTGCGAGGCGAAACTGAGGGAATAGAGGGAGGAAAAAATGACGCACAGACAGACTCACAGACAGGCTCGTGAACACACAGAGCATTTTAAAAACACCCCCCAGTCTCTGATCATGTCCCCGCCCCCCTCGTGTCACATGTTCTTAGCAGCACCAGAGGAGCTCTCTGATTGGTGGGTACAGCCGTCTGTTAAATCAGTCAGTTTCAAGGATGAGTGGCGGTTGCTCATTCTCCTCGTCCAAGCGCAAGTCGTTGAGGTCGTCTTCTAGTCCTGCCCCTCCTACGGCGCCCTGCTCTTCACAGTAACCTCAGAGACAAAACAGTGGAACAACTTCAAACAGAAGTAAAGCTTCATACAGTAGGAATGATTTCCTTCCAATTTCCGTCTGACATTACTGCAACTTTATCCTTTTTTATGACCTAAACATCAAACTGAAGGTGAGCCTGATCTCAGAACATAAGCTAAACATAAGCTCGGAAAAAAGACTAAAACAAAAGCACAACCCTAGTTACATGTGTACTTAAATAAAAGTTGCTTCTTCAGGAGTTTACAAAGAAACAGACGTTAAGCATGCATATCTGTGTGGCTTACCTTTAGTAACCGCAGCACTGTAGGTTTGGGCCACAAGTGGGCGATCAAGTGACGCCTGCTCAAGGATCTCATTGGGCGGCTCAGTGCTGCCGTCTAACCTAAGGTCAACAAAAGTAGATTCAGCCAAAAAACATCCTGAGCCTTATTCTAATAACTAAGACGCATAAAAAGTCCTGCACACATCGGTGACACTCATGTATTTAGGCTGTACAGGTGTGTGTTACCTGTGCTGCTTCATGAGTGTGCACTCCCCTCCCTCCTGTGGATCAAGGTTGTACAGGTACAGGTAACCATCAGCTGCTGCAACAAGCAACCTGGGGATCTTCTGGATCCTGAAACAACAAAGATTGACTTGAATCTGGAAATGAAGGTAAACGATCAAGTTCCTCTGATTCACTGAACACTGATTTCAGCAGCTTTGGCCTAAATACATGTTGTGCAACTGATATATAAAAATACTGTTGTATAAAAACACTTAATTCAAGATATACCAATATAAACAGTATGTGAAAAATGTTTAGGACAAAAGGTAAAAGAAAAAACAGGTAAAACATGAAGCTTTTCAGTATTTAGAGGTAACGACAAATCACTTCAAGCAAAAAACATAAAAAAGATCTTTCAGACTCACACGGCTAAGGCGCAGATGTTCTTATGTCCACAGAAGGGCAGGCGGACAGTAGCAAAGGCTCGCCCTTGGGTGAACATCTCTGTAACTTGGGAGGGTAAGTAAGTGGTGGACGCCATCAGGACCTTCCCCAGGTAACCTCCCCATGTGGTGGGCTCCTCCGCTGGCCTACACACAAAACAGACAGACAACATCAGAGGCCAGTGTTTTCAGGTAACAGCACAAACGTGTGAACAGACAGACACAGAGAGGTACGCACACATATTTCTCCTTCTGCGTCTCTAATTTGAAGATGTGGACCGTCTCTGTGTTGCTGGAGGCCGACAGGTACAGACCTTCCATACTGAACGCCAAAGAGCAGATGCTCACACACCTGAAGTCAGAAACAAAGAGGCACACAGTTTACCCTGCATTAAGACTGTTCAACAGACACTCATTTTTAGAGTAGAACCTTTTCACAAAATGCTTTCGCGGATTTCTCCCCTTCATTATAGCTTTTAGTTTAAATAAAGTGTAACTAAGAAATCGTCTATTTTCTTTTAGGCTTCAGTCAATGTGAAGATATCCTTCAAAAATACATTTGTGCACATCATCCTTAAATAAGCAAAACTGTAGTGCAAAAATCATCAAAATCTACCTCTTGACTCCTCTCCGAAACTCAAAGAGCTTCTGTCCCTCTGGGATGGAGAAGACACGAATGACTGTGCCCTGGGAGGAAATGAGAGCCACTGAATCAGGCGGAAACACATCAACGAAAAGACACACACACACAGACAAAGACTGCACGGAGACTAAAGAACAATGTATAGCACAGAGCGTCTCTACCTTCTCCGAGGCTGTGGCCAGTTTGGTTCCACTGGCGTCAAAAGCCAGAGCCGCTAACGGGCTGTCGTGGGCTGGAATCATGTTCGCTGCTCGCTGGGAAACAAAAACAGACACGCGTTAGAGATACAGACCGCTTCACGAAGCTGTGACTGATAGAAGGAGACACTGACTGTTGGACTAGAGGAAGCCATTCATAACCAGTTACAATTTGTTCTAGCTGTCATATGAAACTTCCACTTCAAGTAAATCGCTGCACACTTGAGAATTACTGGTGAGTAAATGCAAAGGAGAAAAGGAAAAAGGTGCCAAAGATTACTGTACAGGCTTTGTCAAAGAAAGAGCAGAAGGCTTTCATTACCAGGTTCACTGTGTCAAACACTTGAACCTCTCCTATCGTTGTGCTGCCAGGGTAGGCCAGATAACAGTTGTCGTTGCTGATAGAAAGGGCGCACAATCCTGCAAAATATGACCACAAACACAATAAAGGAGAGAAGTTTAATCAGATCCCTACATTTGTCTGAGAATAACAGTAACTGACAGAAAGACTGGTACAGAGTGAGACTGTGATATTATAGCGTACTAGCTCTGACTGCATGAGTGGGTGTTTGCTCTGTGGATGTATCTACTCCACAAATATCACTGCAGCAGCTCAGATTGCTGAGACAGCTCTCAGCCTTGAGGGAAACCCCACTGTTGCTTTCACTGTGAGCATGTAGTACGGGAAAAAAACAAGCCCCCCCTGTTCTTGATCATTTTTACCCACTGTATCTACCTGGTTTTCTATCCTAAACACACGCTGAACTGTGCTGAGATCAGGCTCACCTGAAGGGTTGGGTGGAGTTTCTCTGATAGTGTGCAGCACTTTCATGTCTCGGATGTTGTGAATGTAAAGTGACTCCTCCAAACACACAATCAGCCTCTAAAAAATATCAAAAACAACAAAGTCAAAGGCAAGCACTTAGTAATACCCATGATGCTTCACTTCTTTCTGAGCTGCCTCACCTGAAGTTGATAATTTACACCATCTTTAAGTCTTAAAAACATTTGGCCTTATTTGGGACTCCTCAGGGAAGTATTCTAGGTCCTTTTCTATTCTCTGTAAACATTCTAAGATTGATTGTCGAGATCTTTGCTTGCTTGTGTTGCTATGTTCTCATATGTATGTCCCTTTGGATTAAAGCATCTGCGAATTTGTAACATACTCAATCTTGGTAAAAAAACAACAACCTCACAACGATGAATACTAACCCTATTACACAGTAAAACACAACTATAATTAACATTTTTGGAGGTGAAAACAGAGTTTGAATACGAGGTGTCTAAAAACTGGGGGTTTTCTCCTTTCATTCATGTGTTTTTGATCATCATGTCTATGTCATATCAGTAATCATCACATGTGACTTGTCATCACAAGTCAGATATGTCTTTTATGCTGATAATACACTATTTTATTTCTCTGTTTTGATCCTGTTTGGAACTATTTTTCTCAGGGAACCAGTCTAAGGTTGTGTTTACACCTAAAGGTCCGTTTCCTGATTCGAATCCAAGGCAAGATGATACATTTGTTTTGATTGTTTAACTGGTCCGGTTTGCGTTCACATAGGACAAACTCAATTGCTCAAGAAAACGGAACCGGAAGACACGTGACCGCGAATATCGTTCGGTTATTGGTCATTAGTTTATGTGGGAATACAAACCCCGCTCTGCTGTCTTCGCCTGTCATGGAGCATCACAGGCTGATATTGCTTTTGCTACTCATCTGGAGCGCGTATCAAAAGACGCTAGTTGATCGTGCGTATGAACGGCTCGTTAGCCAGCGAGCACAAACTGCAGCTTTATTTAATACATTCTGGAGTAGACATGCCGCAAACAACAGACAGATAAAGACGAGACGGCGACAGGCATTAACTACAATGCGTTTTCTCTCTGGTGTCAATCGGGACAAGTGAGGTGAGCGGACAACATTTATTTCACAACCAGCATTGTAAAATGACGTGTGTGGTGCATTTCCAGAAATGAACCGCTCCAGAGTTCACTTGATAGCGGTCCGAGACCACCTCTTCAGGTGGACCAGAGTTCGTTCATTTGGTCCGCACCAGAGTTCGAGGTCAGCGTTCACACCGACCCAAACGAACCGCAACAAGGGGGTAAACGCTCCAGGGTTCGGTTCAACTGGACTAAACGAGGGTGGTGTGAATGCGCCCTAAGTCCTTTACTTCGATTATATATTCTAACTTTTGGTTAGTTCTATCTCTGGGAAATATCATTGTAATGCTGATGATACCTATATATTTTCCTGTCTCATCTCTTTTGGTATTTTTTCAAGGTGTGGATTCAAAGTGTTTAACAAGAGCTGAATTGCTGCATGGGTCTCCTGGTCAAACAGGCGAAAGATTTAAACACAATAAAAACAATGACACGGTTTAAAGAAACGGTGTCACTTTCATAGGAGAGGATTCAAATGCTGGATGGCAAACTAGACCCTCTACTACAGTTAAATGACACATTTATGGGTACCCTATTTAAAACAAGTGGTTAAAAGGAAATAATCTTCAGCCCAGACTAAAAATAGCTTTACACTGAAAAGAAAAAATGTCCATCTGACAAATTTCACTTTCTGTTGTTTGATGCTTGGTGTATGCCACATGGAAGAGTGACACCGACATGCATAAAGACAGACAGAGTGTGTGGCTTTCAGCTACCTGTCTGTTGAGTTTGACAGCTAGTATGGTGTTGGAGTAGGAGTAGTTGCAGATCTCGGTTCCCTTCTTGAAGTGACAGACTTTAAGCTTCCTGGGGGCCTTGAGGCTGACGATGGCAACCAGGCTGCTGGAGAACAGACGCTCCACGATACAAACATCCTCTGTGTCTGCTGCAGAAACACACAAACACAGACAGAAACCATCATCTCACAGTGTTCCCACAGTGGGATCCTTTCTTCTTTTATTAGTTTCCTCACTGACAACCCTGCGGTAGCAGTTTCAATTTTCTTACAGGGCGAGGCAATAAATTAAAATGTCAAAAAGTGAACGCTTTGACAGTAAGCTCCGAAGAGACAGTTTCACTGTGACGCCAGGAGTGGTGCTGTATTTGTCAGCTTCTGTGAGATTTGTTGCTTCTAAAATGAAGAATACTTCTACAAAACAGTTAAAAGATTAAGTTACTATCGATATCATCATATTTGATCACATATGTCAAATCTATTCATGGAGAGGAGTTTTGTCACATTATAAAGTTAATGATTTCACCTCTCCCGGTTGACACTGCGGCAAAAAAGTTAAGTTCTGGTAGTATCTGTTTGTAACATATTTTTTAGCATTACGCTATTTCTATTTGGAGAGAGCAAAACTTAAGATGAGTTGTTAAAGGCTGACCAGCAGAGAAAAAAAAAGAGGATGGGAGAAAAAATGATCAGGAACTGGGTGGGGTGGGGCGGAGTTCGGTGAGATGACAGCATAAGTTAAGTGGCAATAACCAAATTGAAGAAAACAGACATCAAGTGAACAAAAACCACAACATGGTTGGGGTTTGCAAAACACTTTGGGCTTGTACAATGCTTCTTTTACTTTCAGTATTTGTTACAAAAACCAGCAGGACATTGTCAATGTTTTAACTGGACTGAATGAAGATGTTCAGTTTGATGTTGAGATACACCAATTGTTAAATCAGAGCCAATACCAATACTTACAATATGAATAAAGTCAAAATTGATGTGTTTTTTCTATTACTCTCTTTTATTTTTATTATTGTTATTATTATTTATTTATTTTCTTTCTTTCTTTCTTTTTTTTTTTTGGGGGGGGGGGGGCGCAGTTTTTTTAATAGGCTATGAAATTTGCTTTATGTGTATATAGTCCCCTTTAACATAAGATAAGATAAGAAAAAGTATTTCTTAATTTATTGGTCTATTTCTAAAATGTCTTAATAACATATTAAAGATGCATGTTGAATATTTTTCTCAGAGGCCTTGTGCACATATATTCTTTTATGTTTGTTTATCAAAATGAGTCAATGGTGTATTGGCTTTATATAAATGTGATGAGGATAGAGACAGGATACTACAGGATACAAACACTGATACACTGCTGTATTCCTAGTTTAAAGTTTTAAATAACAGTAAAGCAGACCAGAGTTTTACCTTTTCTTTGGGTGAAAATAACCAGTCTAAATAAAAAATTTTTAGCAGTAAAGTACACTGATGTTTGGACTTCACCATGAATATAAATGTACAGTTATTGTTGATTCCACCCATGAGTGAGCTGATAAAATAATTGGATCAGCATTGAGTTTGTAGCTGGGCAGTAAGTCATGTGTTGTTATGTATGTGTCTATATTGTGTTGTTACACCACTTTTCTAATGCTTTCAGGATTCTATTTACCGTAACGACAGCTCATCGCACATTGTCAATTCGATAATTGTACTTGTACTACCTACTTTGCATTTGCTATTTAAATTCAACAGGCTTATCATAAGGCACAAGTTAGCTTGCTCAGCATACTTGGGTTAGACATTAACATAACTGAATACAATAATGTGGAGGAAACTTGATGTTACAGCGTATGCATGTTAGAAAAGTGCTGACACATCTACTAAATATTTGAAGAACCAGCAGTGATGTGCAGTGCGGTGAATGTTTATGTTCAGACAGCGCCTGCTAAGAATATGACTAAGCAAAATCATGACTTAGTTAAAACACGGTACCTGCAGAACAACTACGTGTAAACCTGCTGTATAGGCGAAAGGCTTCTGTTTTCAATTACAAGTATGAACACAGCTTTGTGAGTACTTACTACATTCATATATCTGCTCCAGTTTGTCCACAGAGGACAGCGAGAAAAACTTGTATCCTGATTTGGTGCCAACAGCTAAAGACCTGTGAATAGTAAAAATAGATTGAAAGCAGCACAACACAACTGTTACACCTACACATTTTCACACAAGAACAAACTTAGGTAACTTATTATTTTATCTCAAAGGGGCTTTTAATTGGACTTCAGGGGATCAGGTCTAAGTAGACTGGTTTAGACTGGGACAGATATTTTACAAAAAGAGAAGGCTCCTTCAGTGTGAGTAAACTTAGCCAAGAAAAACAGTCCTTCAGCAGCTTGTTGTCCACAAGACACAGAGTGACCCAGTTACAGTCAAAGAGTTTTGAAGTCTCACTGAAAGCTAACTACACAACAACCCCAAGGCTAAATAACTTATCAGCTAAAAGTTTATTAACAATGATAAAAGTCACCACCGGCCCCCAAAAGTCAAACTGACACTCCGTCTGTGTGATTATTGTTGTTGAAGTTAGCCCCGGAAAGCACAGCATCATGTTAGCCTCAAAGCTATGCTAGTAACGACTATGATCACGCGCATGCTAGCGGGACTTTGTCGGTTACTTCACGCACTACGACGTGCCTGTGAGGTGATCTCCGTTTCTGTGCTATAATCCCAGACCCAGACAGTATTACACCATGACATTTTACACCTGTCACCCAATTAAACCCGAGCTAACCAAGCTAATCCCAGCTAGCTTGACAACGCAGGGCCCCAGCTCCCCGGACTATCTTCCGAGCCCAGTGCGTCGCAGGCCCCCCCTGCTCCCCGGACTCTTCCCGGCCCAGGCTTACGTGTTGTCCTGGTTAAAGTTGGCGAAGAGGAGCTGGCTCCCGCCGGCATCCCCGCTAAGACTGGCCAGGTTCATGGGCTCCGCACCATGGACTGATAATGCTCCGGTGGAAATAGCAGCAACAGGGAAGGGGTTGTGTCGTGTTCAGGGGGGCAGACGTGCGGGGTTTCACGGAGCCATCTCTCTCGGCCTGTAGTGATTGTTGTTGTTTTTCGTAGGGTCTGCTGGTCCCCTTTACTGCGCAAGCTCCGAGGACGCAACGTGTGATGCGTTTAAGGTTCCCGTACAGTGTTGGAAAATGTATGTAAAGCTATGAATTGATTTTGAGTGGAAATAAATGTCTGAGATTTAGTTTTTTCCTCTGTCTTTTGGCTCATTTTTCGAAATTACAGTGTCGTGTAAATGTCACCTAAATGTCACCACACTTTCATGGTAATTCGAAACTGCTGCATGTTTGCAGGAGGCGATAAAACACTCGAAACATTTCATTTACGTCTCAAAATTGCAAAATCAGTGACATAGATAAACATCAGCACAGACAACAGCTTAATAATAATAATAATAATAATAATAATAATAATAATAATAATAATAACAACAACAACAACAACAACAACAATAATAATAATAATAATAATAATAATAATAATAATAAAGTTATTTATACCTATAGCATCTTTAAAAGCAGAAGTTTAGAAAGTGCTTTGACAGACAAACATGGTAAATAACAATTGTGACGGTTTAGGAAAAAAATCAGAAGAGGAAAAAGAAAAAAGGAAAATAACAAGGAGAGAAAAAAGGGAAAAGGTAAAAAGGTTAACTACATTACTCTATATAAGAATAGAGCCAAATTGAATTACAAACAATATACAGGCCTATAGTATATAAATATGTATGTATGTATGTATGTATGTATGTATATATACACAGATTTTCCAGAAAAATTATATTTACAAGCTATAAATAACAAGAGCAAAATATATAACAAACTGTGTGACACTTTGCCGAGTTATCCTGGAAGAACTGTAAACTTATAAACTCCTCTCTCTGCTAATCAGTGATTGAATATCATCCTCTCAGAAAACCGTACTTGACACTTTCTGAATATATTTTATTTCTAACTAAATGTTCTTGCCAAACAAAATAAAAACTTCTATAAATTCATGTAATATTCACGACCTTTCATGTTGGTCTCACCAATTACAGCGCTGTTTGAAAATTTGTGCAGATGATTTTAATTCTTTTAATATTTATATTTTGTGTGACAGAGGAACCACCCTCAAACGCATCTTTCTTCCTTCCGACATTTAACTGTACTAAAAGCCATAATGGTTGAGTGTAACAGCGCCCCCCACCGCCAGTGGGCGTAAGTGGCGTTGCAAATGAATCGGTGCTCTCCCCCAACTTTTGTTTATGGTAAAATAAAATAAAATAAAATAAAATAAAATATTGTTTTAACGATGCTCTGTTAACCTTTGAGCGTCCTCTGTTATTATAGTATTAGCACTGGTATTCCTGCTGAAGTGAAAAAAAGTCTGATTTTTGATTAAATGTGACTGCCCTGTTTCAGTTCTTTCTCATTCACTTTAGTTTCTGGCTGAGAAAAGCATTTTTCAAAACTGTAAACTCAAATCTCTAAACAATTAGTTTGCTGTTCACAACAGATTAGATTTTCTCATTCTTTCAAGCAAATTTCTTTATGTAGGTACTTTGTGAAAAAAAGTAAATACAATCCCAGTGGAATTGTCAAACACTTCACAGCTTCACAGATAATAGGTCACTGTTTGAGCACCATACGAAAAATTATCCCTTCAATAATCAAGGTCTGTTGGAACTTCATGGATATGTTGTAAAAGTCTTACCTGCCAGGTAAGAGTGTGTAAGGACTAGAGGTCACTATCAACCACAATCAAGTTCAAAAGCACAATGATGTGGAGCTAGTCCTTTTTAGCCAAAAGAGGGAAAATTAAAAACCACCATGTTTTTAGTATGTTTATGATTTTACTTTGAGTAGTTATTTTTGAGGGAATTGTAATCACACATATTTTTCACTCTCATTGTGAAAAGCATCTTGTGGACACAGTTTTGATGGACCATGAGGCTGCTGTAATAATTGCACTTACACTTTATAGTGAGTATCCAGAAATAAGCCAAAATGAAAGAGAAAAACTGTACAGGTGTGGAAACAAGGAGTACAGTAATGCATCAGGTGGGTGCAGAAGTGATGTCGGTTAGTGGTTTGTTGTGTTCACTGCGTAATTAATGGTGTGAGTCATAGTTTCTGAATGTAAATCACTTTCATTGTCATTCAGGTGTAAGTCTGAACATGTCAGATGCAAACTATCCTCTGAATGATATTTATTCACTGAACAACGGAAAGTAAAACTGCTCTGGGAAATAACTGAGAGTGACTTTAATGGTACAGTAGCTGGTAATCCTGTGAGAGGATTTACAATGAAAGGAAGAGTGAGGACTGGTATACTATTGATTTGTTGGCATGAATATTAATAAATCAATCTTAAGTGCCAATCCACAACCCAAGATGCTTTACAAAACTACACTGTTTCTTTATATGTAAATAACAAAAGTAGGAAACAAGAGAGAGGCAAAAAAATGAACAGTTGTTAAGAACTACAAAAAATGTCCTCATTATCAACAAGAACATGGCTAAACATGCAGCCTTTGAATGCAAGAAGGTATCAGTGTTTATAACTCATTTACTCCTCTAAGGGTTTTTTCTGACATCTATGAAATAGACTGAAATTCATAAAGATGCGTTTTAAGATAAACAAAAGCAAACAAGAATCCCAGCAACAACATGTAAGATTTTTAAAGTGTAATTTTTAATGCCTGAAAAAGATATGAGGGGGTAGATGTCATTGAAGAAAGGGCATATTTTTATATATATCTTTTAAGGTTTAAATATTTACAATAACCTATAACTATTGTCAAAATAACAAAGTAACTGACTACTTCTCCAAAGTTTTTCTAAGGAACTACTGGAGCATGCCGAAGACAGGATCTGCAAGGACTGCTTTGCCCACAGGGGGTCCTTAAGCTGACACAAATGGTAAGTACTTTGAAATAAAAAAGAATTTTCCAAATAAAATGTGGCACATCGGATTACACATTTACTTCAAGCAGTAAAGGTGTGTTATTTCTACATGAGCTTAGAGTGACTGCACACATTTGTGATTGCAAAACAAGAATAAACATAATGAAAACAAATGTGTAAATACTGTGTATAAAGACAACTACAAAGATACAGAGATGATTTCAAAGACATGTAAATCCCTACAAACAGACATGTAATGACCTATGAAATGTGAGTGACACGCAACACACAAACCCTTCTAATGCTCAACTGTGTTTGAAGTAAGAAGGTTGGAGGGTGACCTAACCTTCATCATGTCCATCAATCTGAGTCTGGTATCTAGTTATTTTTAATAAAACTGATAATTATTATGGTCAAGCATAGAACATTAAATCTAAAGAAAAAAAAAAGACGATTTCAAAGTCAAATGTTTTCTTTTTGTGTCAGCTGTGTCCTTTCCTCCAGTCCCCCCTGCCTTGTGTGTGTGTGTGTGTGTGTGTGTGTGTGTGTGTGTGTGTGTGTGTGTGTGTGTGTGTGTGTGTGTGTGTGTGTGTGTCTCATGTAGAGGTCTGTCAGTACAGGCAGAAGTCCAACACTCTGTGTGCTGCTGGCCTTTAGGTTTACACAGACACTGCTTTCAAATAAACATGACCAACAGACACAGAGGGGCTGATCTGTGAAAAAGCAAGCGATTCATTCCCAGCTCTGGTTGTTCTAAAAACAATGATAAAATAATGTGTTGACTGTTAGGGACAAAAAAGTATACAAAATGTTATGACTCAGTTGTTTTTATTTTCAGGCGTTTTGTGTCACATTGTACTTTTTTGTAAGTCTCTTGGTTGTTTGTGTCACTGTAGTATTTTTGTCTTCTCTTTGTTTAAATTTTTTTGTGTCTGGGTGTTTTTTTTTTGGACACATTTCTTGTTTTTTTGTTTTGCATGTTTGTGGTTTTTTTAGTTCACTTTGTTTTTATGGCTGTTTTGTGTCCATTTGTAGTTTTTTGTTTTTGTTGCTTTTTTACTCTGTTTGTATCTTTGCTGTTGTTTTGGTTTACTTCATACTTCTTTTTTCTTTGTAGTTGGTTTTTGTCATTGTGTTTTTTTTTTTGTTGACCCATCATAAGGTGAGTATGCGTCTTTGTTGTGAGAGGTCTCTGGTTAATTATCTCTGTTTTTTGTGCATTAATATGTACTTTATTCTCTCGCTGAGTAATCTTTGTTTCTTTGTTCTTTGAGTATGCTTTTCACAACAGCTGAGCAGCAGTCTAAAGCTTTTTTCACACATTTTGGATCATAAGGTCAGAAAGATCAAAATATCTTTGAGTGTTTTGAAAAGTGTTTAATAAAATTGATTTCTCATGAATAGTGAGACTTATATAGTATCATATAGATGCTGTCATCCGTTCAAAGGTGACACTCAGTTTACTGTTGCAGATATTTTCAATGTCATCTTCAAATAAACTCTGTGTGAATGTGTAACATGTTTTATTTGAAGCGTGCAGACAAGTTTGGATGTCTGCATGTTTGCATAATGTCTCTGTTGTGTGTCTAACAGCTGCTGCTCCGAGCTGCAGAGGGAATCTGCTGCTGATGTTTCTGTTGGATAATGTTTAATTTTCCATTCCCTTTGAGTAGAGAGAGAGAGAGAGAGAGAGAGAGAGAGAGAGAGTCTGTGTGTGTTATTTAAAAGGAAGCATGTGGAGGTCTGTAAAATGTGAAAGTGAAGGTCACAGATGGAATGATATGTCTGTTTTTATTCAGAGAGGACTGGTATATTTCAGACTTATGCTGGATTTAGAGCCAAAGTCTGCTTTATTGATGGACTGTGGAGGTGGACGGCTGGCCATTAGTGTGTCTGGTTCTGCACAAGGTTTGACTCTTGTCTTTAAAGGTTCCTTTTACCAGGAACTTTCACCAGGAACTATGGACCTTTTAAGGAACTCTGTGCATCTTAGTAACAGAAACACTAGTCTGAAAATTAGTTTTGAAGAAGTAACTACATTCAAGGTGCTTGTCTACTGAACAAACTGTTCCCTGTAGCTAGAGACCATTGCAGGAACTCTTTGCATTTGGTCTACAGGAACCAGAGTCTAAATTTTGTCATCGACAGGTCATCTACTCTTTAGGTGCTTTTCAACTGCGTCACCTACCCAGGAAATAAGGACCTTTGGCTCTGTGTATCGCAAATGCAGAAACCAGGGTCTAAAATGAGTTCTGGGCAAGTTTATTTACACTTTGGTTGCTTTCCTCTGGATATAGTAACCTTTTAAGGAACCATGTGCGTTTCGGCTGCAGGATCCAGGGTTGAAGTACAGTTCCAGGGAAGTTCATTAAAGGTTATTTTCAACAAGGAGCTCGGCATCTTGACTGCATAAACCGGGGTCTGAAGGTTCAATCTGACTTCAAGATCTTCCCCTGGAACTGAGAACCTTTAGGAGAATCATCCTGTGGTGTCCTGGCTGCAGTGAGTCTAAATTTAGTTCTGGGTGGTTCATTTCAAATTTCAACTGCAAGAAGTTTCCCCAGGAACTAGGGGTCTTTGGAGAAAGTCAGTGTATCTCCACTGCAAGAACCAGGGTCTTAGGGTGCTTTTTAGGAGCTTTTTCTGGATTTATGGACATTTTTATAAACATATTTTTAACATTTTACTTTGGAGTTTCATAGAAGTTACTCTCATCAAGAAACAGTCATATTAACATTATACACCGCTGATTGATTTACACTCAGACACCTGCTGAGCAGAGAGGGAGCAAGCATAAAAGTAGAGCTACCAAACATAGACTGTATATACTATGGACAACTTGGTTCCGCCTTCTGACAGTATACGGATTTGAAGCCAAAAAGCTCTCTGTATTTCCGCGTTTTTTCTCCATTTCCTGAAACCAACATTGCGCAGTTATGTTGTACGCACTCCACCACTCGCGCAGTCGCATTGTATACATTCGGCGGGAGAGTCACTGTGATGACGCTCGGCTCAAACATCATATCCCCGAGTGAGCTACGCAATCTTTGTACGCCCATAATCTGTGTCAAGTGTCAATCATAGAAAACATGAACCCCCCTAATAACTTTTAAAATCGGAGCTTTACAGAAAAAAGACGACTTGAGCACAAACCAGTCTTACAGTAACTACATGTCAACATCGCAAGCAGGGCGGAGAAAAAATTATATTCTGAGTAATACATTTCTAAAGTTTGTCCACAGCTCCATAGGGATTGCTGGAGGAGGCGGGACTTATGACCTATACTGCAGCCCATCACCAGAGGGTGCTGTTCTTAGGGCGGCTTCACCCAGCAAGGAGGCAGACGCTGTCCATTCTATATACAGTCTATGGTGCCACAGGACAATAACACAAGAGCAAATGTTTCCTGTGACCTGGTTTTATTAACTTACCTGCTGCAGCTGCTGACACTGTGATTTATGGGACTTTTTGTACAAAAGTTCAGCTGTGAAAGGAACTTAATTACCAAATTACAGTCTTGGTTGTCATTGGCCTGAATGGCTTGATCTACACAAAACTTGAGGCTCAGGTAGAAATAGTTCTCACAAAGTTAATGTATCAAGTTGTCCAGACAAGTCAGAAAACATGTAGAGAAATCGCATCAACATCCATGTATCTCAGATTTTGAAACTATGCTGAGGTTTAGTCTGTACATCCCACATTGTAACATTATATGCATGTATCACTATGCATATCAGCATAGCAGATCTTCTTTGAAATACCTTTAGTGTGTGTTATATGTTTGTATTTTCCTCCATTTCAACTGTGTTTAAACAGCTTCATTAATAAAGGTTGAACACTTTCTCAAACGCTTTCACGTCCTCGGGGCCTTTGTCTCATTTTAATGTAAAACAGAGCAGACAGTGAAAGAGTAAACTGAATCAGGACAAAGTGTAGCTGCTGAGAGGCAGGCTGACTGTTTGCTGTGGCGTTATCATCAGGAAGGAGGGGGGAGGAGAGAGGGGGAGGAGGGGAGGAGTTACAAACTCAGTCCCGCGGAACATCCTGCGAACACATCTGAAGCTGGGACCTGAACTCTGTGCTGTTTCTGCTCCCACAGCTCTGAGCTCGAGTGGCTCCTCCGGGACAATGTGTCGGTTTTTGACGTCTGAAAAACTCCCCTCACTTTAACTAGACTCGTCCTGTGTGGTGTGTAGTTCACTTTACGGGTCGCTCCCCCCTCCAGGCAGGACGTATGTGTTCATGTTTTGGACACGCGGCGGTGGGACATCCGGAATGGAGGCTCCGTAGGAGAAGACGCTGCTGTTGGTAAATAGAGCGCGAGCGCACGCACGCACGCACGCGCTCGCTAACTTGAACGGAGTCGACGCGCACGAGATGGACTTCAAGAAGACAAAATTTGGAAGGTAGTCTTTGAAAACAAATCTGTTTTCCCTGAAAAGTTGGACAGTTACTGTTTGTTTTACATTTTTAACACATCCTGTTCATCCATGCGAACTGACGAGCTGCATGAGGACATTCAGAGGGATATTATAGATTAGTTTGTGTGTGTGTGTGTGTGTGTGTGTGTGTGTGTGTGTGTGTGTGTGTGTGTGTGTGTGTGTGTGTGTGTGTGATGAACAGAGAAAGTGAGAGTGAGACAGGGATGTAACCAACTCAGAGGCTGTTAATCTTATTGGGGGTATACAGATGTTAAAAATAGGGGAGACCAGGGTAAGGTGTCTCAGGGTTTCATCTCTAACTTCAAAAAGAGCCGTTTTAAAGCACCACACCACTGATGTAGATTTGCTTTCGAAAAACTGTCAACGGCACTATGATCTAAAAGAAAACTCACTTTTTTTTTCATAAAAACAACAATATTGTTCAAATCTTCTTTATTGCACATAATAAGGAGTAGAAAAGTGTGTCATGATCTGCAAACCATATGTTTTCTGTTAAAGCTATAGCTATATATAGCGTCAAACTCACTCTGGTATGGAAGCCCTTGGCAGATGTAATCTATGCAGTTTTTTCACTCAGCTTCTCCCAGATAATAATTAAGTATCCATCGTTTTGGGAACATCTCAATTTATCTGTCAAGTTATCTGTTGAAAGCTAAGTTGGTATCCTTAATAATGCATCAGATTTGATACAGCACTTTATCAGTAACCCTCAAAGAGCTTTACATTGGATACATCATTCATTTGCTAACACAGTCACACCCCGGTGGTGGTAAACTACCTTAGTAGGTACAGCTGCCCTGGGGCAGATTGACAGAAATGTGGTTGCCAATTCACGCCTATGGCCCCTCCGACCACCACCAAACATCACTCACAATCATTCTGATATCAGGATGATTTTCTGTAATAGATCAGACCACATCGTGCCATGCTGTCATTGCCCACAATAGTAAGATGAGTCAGGAAAACTCCTGACAGCTCTGAAGATATTTGTTCCGATCATTTGATGTAATGTTGGAAAGCAAAGTGAAAAAAAAATGCATAGGCAAAGACGTGTCCACTTATTACCGCCTCAATCTTGTCTTTGTGCTTTTGGAGCAGATGCCATATGTTACAATTTTTATAGCTTTGCAACTTGCTGAAGTTTCTTGTTAAAGTATCCCACACCTACTGCACTCGGGTGAGGGAAGCTGTTAAAGCAGTCATAATGCTAGTGTTATCCTCAAAATCTCAGTTCACTGTTGACATGAAGTTAATGCAAAGGTGCAAAAAAACAAAACGAAAAACAAAAAACAAAACGGTTAACATCTGCAGAAGCTGAGGAAACTGTATCAGAGCCCTTGTTCATATGCCTGTTTTCATGGTTTAACACATTTATGTTGTGTTACAAAAGAAGGTTTCATCTCCAAAGCTCGATTCTTTAGTTTGAAAATTTGTACAGGGGGTAAAATATTTTTTTTATTTTTTGCATAATTCTGTAATTCTTAGAAAACAGAGTTTTCAAAAAAACCCACATTGGAGTGGGTTTTTGCAATTGTAGTTTTCAGGTAACTAAACTGTTGCGTTTGGACAGGAGGTCAGAAAGACCCCCCAAAAAACCCCTATATTTTCATTAATATTAGTCACTTTATTAGTTTTAGGGTTTTGCAGCATAATTAGAGGTGTGGCTGATGGAGTCTGGAGTCAACCTTTCCCATGTGGCAACCACCATTGTCAGGTTTTGTAATGCCTCTTCAGAAACTAATGAAGATATCACTGAGACTACAGACAGGTTAAAATAGGGTTCATATTTTGATTTTTTTTAAATCAAGAGTACCCATGGCACAGGAGCTCACCTTATATTAAAGTAAATTCTACTGGGATGCATTTGCCAGTCAGTTATGTGTGTATCTGTGTGTTTGTGTGTGTGGGCGAGTAAATGAGAACTGGCAACGATCGTGAGAACCAAAGTTTGAGTCCCAGAGGAGATGAACTTGATCTTTGCTTCACAAGGAACAGCCCTGGAGCTACAGAGAGGGTACACACACATACACAAACAAACACACACATGCACACACACACATTGCTTTACATCATCAACAATCCATCTACAGGTTCTGATCCTCTTAGATGCCACCGATCCTATTAATGTAAGGAATGTGCTGTAATGGGCTATTATGACTTAACACTGGCTCTGTGGGGCGACAACATGTAGCAGACACACTCATACTCTCTCACAAACACTCTCAAACACACATGAAAGTCGATAACCAACCACATGACACACGTGAAGGCTGAAAAAGTGTGTAAAAGACAGAACCTGAATAGAAGGAGGTGAGAAACGCTGTGATGAGGACAAAATGCTGGATCAGATCAAGGCCCATGAATCTGTGTGCCTGCCTTTCAGCTCATTGCACACACACACTCACACACACATGCATACGAACACACACACACACATGCACGCACAATTCTGTCATAACCCATTAGAGGACATCAGAGTGTTACAGTCAGGTCCATTGATAGTTCAACAATACCGTGACAGTGCTCAGGAAAACACTGTCCTCTTGTTGAGCTCTTGGCACGGCCATGATGGATCTGCAGAAGAGAACAACACTTATCTCAGCTCGTGACCATTTCCACATAGTAGTCATTTTTCTTTGACCTCATGCTAAAGGTGAGGACAGCTAGCGTTGTTATGGGATTATCATGGTCGTACGATATTGGAAAAATAAACGCAATCAGTCAGATTGAGAAAATGTAAGACAAGACTGGAATAGCACATAGCTTTATAAACTTTACTTATAAATATTACCAACTTACATTTCATCATCCATTTCTAAAGCTGTTCAAATTTATGAATTGTCCACATCAACAACTCTATGACATGAACTTCTTTTGAGCAGATGTTGCTTCATAAAATGATTGTTAGTCATGTTTTAAGCAACTCAAATTTTCTGTCTTGCATTTCAGTTGCGTAATTTCCTACGTAGTCAAACAATGGTTGAATATCAAAATAGAGCTGTTGCAATATACCTGTTTTGACAATAACTGCCTTTAAAAAGTTGATATAGAGCCAAAATAAGCGTACAGTCATACAGTGAGTTCATAGCAGTGGTCCATTTCTGCTGATTGCCACACATCATAAATCAGAAGACCAGGAAAGAAGAAGTAGCCGACTGCTAGTGAGCTATCTAAAGCAGCCTAGTAGTTCTAAAGGGAAACTGCCTCGTTAAAACAGATGATTAATCATATTACTATCATTTCACTGCAGACCAGCTGAAAAGACAGCAAACAGCAGCTACCTGAATAGAAATCAGACATTAAATTTAGAATTTGAAAATTAACATACGATTTTAGATGTCTTCTTGTTACAAAGCAGGGAATCAATCTTTTAAAACTGTCAGTTTTATAAGATGAAAATAATCTCTCATGTAAGACTGTGGTTAAGTAGATTGAAAAACACACAATAAAAAGGTCAAATCAACAAGAGAGTGTGTTTGTGCACTTGTAACCAGGACCCTTATAATGGGAATGTCTGTGTTTCCTGTTGTAGGTCTGGTTCCTGGTATACTAAACATCTGGGCTGGCCAGTACACAAAACAAATCCCTCCTACACACACACACACACACACACACACACACACACACACACACACACACACACACACACACACACACACACACACACACACACACACACACACACACACACACACATTTTTTCTTGCTTACTTTAACAGCATGATTTCAGTCATCACCTCAGTTCTACTGTTTTTTTTTCTTCTTTTAGACTCGTTGGCAGTTTTTAAATGGTAGTAAGGACCAGGACTCAGTTTTATTCAAGCTCAGATATAAACACTCTGATTCTTCCTGAATGTATAATACACAGATAGACAACAAGTGACTGTAGATTGTGGCAGTGTCGTATTAATGCTTTAATGCGACACTGCAAGGATACAGCTTATTGATCAGGATTTTGAATGAAGGCCATAGGCTCTATTTTCGTGTCTGCCGGTGGCGCGGTGAAGGGTGGCGGATCGCATGCAGTGGTATTTTCGTCTGGTGGAGCCTGGCGTACAGCCAGTTTGGTATTTTCATGGACTGAGGCGCACCGAGGTCCGCCAAGCTGGGCGTGGTGGCGTGGCAGGGGGAGGTGTAGACAGACCGGCGTCTTGGCTATGTTAAACCCATTCCACACCCTCTCTCCTCCCTCCCTACAACTTACGCCGCTGGAAAGAGCTGAGTTAGGGAGGGGAGATACTTACGCTGGGCTGTGCTGCTCACCAAAATACCAAAATGTGCTTGGGAATGCCTTGTCGGCGCGGCAGACCTGCCTGCGCCATGTGTCTGTGCTGGAAAATAGAGGATTTTTCTTTCTGTAGGGAGTGACACTTTGTCTCAAGTAAAGGACTTCTGATTTCTTGCGATCTTGTTTGCAAGCATGTGTAGAACAAATCAGAAGATCTAAAGATCAACCGGTGCTTCATCAGTGGTAATGTAGACGCTCTGCTAAACTGTTGCGATGAAAAGGGAGCTGAGTCCTTAAGCCAGGCTGCTGATTTGCCAGTCGACCGCCGTTACTACCCTCGCCAATGATCATGTTCTGTGGGTGGTGAACAAAAGACTGAGATTGTGAATACAAGAGATGGCAATGAGCTTCTGTTGAAGGGTGTCTGCGCTCAGTCTTAGAGAAACGGTCAGGACATGAACAAGCTCAGAGTAGAGCCATTGCTGTCCTCTGGGATGTGTCCCCAGAGGTATATCAAAGATTGTGTATCTCATCTGGCCTGGGAACGCCAGGAGGAGCTGGACAATGTTTCTGGGATGAGGGATGTCTGGGTTGACTTGCTTAGACTGGATCCCAGATTGCAGGTTTTCAGAAACAGTATTTATTGTTGAGATAGACCGATTAATTTGTTACCTGATTGAGTTGATTAATTTTGAACTGACCGGCTTCATATTCTCAAACATGTTTTTTGCATATTCGGTGAATGAAACAGCCACTGGCTAGTGTTTTAAATGAATCTCATTATGATGTCTAGAATAATACAATTTGGATTTGACAGAAATTTCAGTTGCATTTTTTGGACCTGCAGACAGATTTTCAGGACGTTTTACTTGTAATACAGCCACTGTTTTTAAAGTAGTGTTGTTGTTTCTGATCTGACTGTGAGACTCGTGGAAATCTGACACAATGCATTCAATTGGACTTACTTCAAGTACAGATGATCTTACTGAAGACATACATTGTTAGATGCTGATTTCAAAAGTCTTTTTTTGTCTTTTCAGATTGTGAAGTTGCTAAAATTTAAAGACTGTTGAGGTGGCTTTTTGTCTGCTTCATCTTCTCATTTACTTTCTCTTGAATGCTTTCATCACGGTGCAGAGTTAATAGACCGTCACTATAAACAGCTATGGATGTGTGTATTTGTGAGTCTGTATGTGTGTGTATTTGTGGTCTGATGCCAGTGTGTTATGATGAGCTGTTGACCTGTATGTGCAATCAAATAACACAGCTGACTGAAACAGACACACCTGTGGCCCCAGCATGAGGAGCACACATGCAAATTAATGTCTGTGTGTAAGTGTGTTTGTGTAGGTCTGTGTGTGCTTGTTTGTGTAACCATGTGTGTATGTGTGTGTGTATGTGTGTGTTTGTGTGCATCTTGACGTATAAAATGTGGTTTCGTAACATTTCCAGATGTGTTTTTCCCTGTAAGCCGGGATTGTGAGATTTACTGCTGATTACATAGCCTGCACAAAACACACGCGCACGCACGCACACGCACACACACACACACACACACACACACACACACACACACACACACACACACACACACACACAGAGGAAGTTACTTTGCCTGTAGCACAACACAACAAGACAATTAATGCAAATGTATTTACTGGTTTATGGTACGGCATTCTACTGGAACAGGAAGTAAGATTACTGGTAGCCATAGCAACGCAGACAGTTGAGCCAGTAATGAGGAGAAACGCAAAAATTCAGACAACGTGATGTGGATTAAAGACCTGTAAATCCTCCAAGAATGACCATCTTACACACACGCACACACAGATACACAGTAGCTGACCACCACATACACACACACAGGAAAACTTTGTGACTTATTAAGCCATATAAAGCAAAACCCTATCATAGACATACATCTACATTAATCATAAAAGAGACTTATCTTTAATCTCCTCTTTTCTTCTTTGCCTTCCATTTCTTTCTCCCCCCTCTCTCTTCCTTTCCTTATCTTCTTGACTTCCCTTTTTGCATTTCTTTTTCTTCCTTCCTTTTGTCTTTTATTACTTTTATTTACCTTTCTTTTTTCCTTTCTCCTTTGCTGTCCTTCCTTCTTTCTTTTTGCTTTTTATTACCTAAATACATTTTTTCTCTCCTCCTCTCTGTCTTTTTCTTTTGTTTTCCTTTTTCTTCTTTCTTTTCTTACCCCTCTTTTCCGCTTGCTTGTCTATTTTCCCTTCCTTTTCTTTCATTTTTTTTCCTTGTTTTACCTCTTTTTCTCTCTTCTTTTTTCCTTTTTTCTTGTTCTTGTCTTATTTTCACCTGTTCCCTGCACCTTTTCTTTCTTTCTTTCTTTACATGTCTCTCCAATGTCAATTTTCCTTCCTTTCTTTTTTTATGACTTTGTCTCTTCTTTTTTCTACCCCTGTCTCCTCTTCCTCTCTCTGTCAGGTTCATGAACTCGAGGGTCCCATCCAGTAAGAGGTATCAGCCCACTGAATATGAACACGCCGCAAACTGCGCCACACATGGGGTAAGTAATTTTAACAAAAACCAGATAGAAACACATGCTGTTGGAGTAAAAGCTCCTCTTTTTTTAACTCTCTCTATTCTGGAGGGTTTATTTATTAAAGATGACTCTAAAAGAGGGGATGGTTTAAAGAGAGGGGGGTTGATTTGAATGGATGTGAGTTTGGCTTGGTTTGGGTGGAGGAGATGAAAAGGGGATGATTTTTGGCCACGGCATGGAGGCAGTAGGATATAATCTGTGCCTGTAGCTTTCTCTAATCTGCTGTAATCCCTGTGTGCTGCTGCCCCTGACAGAGCGAAGCAGATAGTGAATGAAACAGAAAGAAATAAAGGAAAACATGACAGTAATAACTGTCAGAACCCCTTATTATGTTTGTTACTATTATTCATCCACCCTACCTGAGTAAAGAATCATATTTATTTTTTGCTTTGTAGTTGGGAGTTAGAGGACGAGATTGACAGCATTTACGCCTGCACTATAAACTCAAATATACAACTGTTAGATGCTATCTTAGCAGAAACACTGGGCCATTCAACGTTAAGCAATATATAGGCTACTTGCTAGAAGACTAACGTAGTTCTTGTGTGATAAAAATATATCTTCAGTAGGCGAATGCAAGCAGTTGGTATGAGGTAAAAGTAACCTGGCGTAGAAAGAGCCTACTAAAAAAATCAGGTTCATGGTGTGTTTTAATCTTATATAGTGAGTAAACTATACAGTGAGTAAAACTTAAACTGTGTCTTTTTGATTTGTTGTAGTTATGGATCCTTCCCAGTATGGTGGGCGGGTCTGTGCTCTACTTCCTTTCTGTGGACCAATGGCAGTGTGTGGCTGCCTGGCTCTATGGGAGTGGTCTTACTGGCCTGTTTGTCACCTCGACTCTCTTTCACACTGCTGCCTGGAAAATCAGCCACCTCCGGTTTGTTTGTTTGTGCGTGCGTGCGTGCGTGCGTGCGTGTGCCTACTTGCTGCTGGTAGACCTCTACATCACACTCAGACATACAGCTTGTTCTTTACTTAAGAGACAAAAACCTAACAGGGACCTGGCAATAAAAGCACATATCATTTTCAACACATATCTTCTTAATCTAAACAGTTAAACATTAATATTTTGAAAAAAAAAAAAGTTACATTTGAACTCTTTGGATTTCAATTTGGGGAATAAATCACTCAACCCATGTCCTTCAAAGAAACAAAAGAAATCTTGGATTGTAGAAAATATGTCTGAGGAAAGTCCATGGCCTGTTGTACCAGTTGTGTCTTAAGTTGGGTTGAAACAGCTAGGTATGTACTTAAGTTCTGTTATTGTTTGGTTGTACCGTGAAGACATGAGGTTCATTATAACCTGCTAAGAGTATCCTAACATAACTAGTGAACAGAACTAGTGTAACAGAACAGAACACAGCGCAGTTTCAAACTGTATTGTTAGGGAGGAATGCTTGATGGCTAGCATGAGCAGTCGACTTATGGGAAAGGACTTATGTCGTTTTATAACACTGACATTGTAACAACATTCAGCTTCCTATCCTGAGTGTGACAATAACAAAAAATAGCAGCTGTTTAAATGGGTAATCTGTTGCTTGCCTGAGTTTGGTGGTTATAAATCCAAATGATTAGTAATTATCTCTTTTCTTGTTTTTGTTTCTTGTAGGACGGTAGAGCAGCGTTTCCACATGTGTGACAGAATGGCCATCTACTTCTTCATAGCTGCCTCCTACTCTCCTTGGTGGGTCACGTTACAGTGAGCTATGTGTCTGGTCAATAACACATGGCTAACACGTTGTGAAGTGAATGTGCTGATGTGTTTTCTCAGGTTAATGCTGAGGGAGCTCGGGCCCTGGGCGTGCCACATGCGCTGGCTGATCTGGGTCATGGCTTGTGTAGGATCCATGTATGTCTTCTGTTTCCATGAGAGGTAAAATTGTGTCTCCTTTTGTCTCTCTGCTCTGTGTCCTAGTTCGCCACAACTAATCTGGAACCAAACTCTCACCCATCCGCAGGTGTTTACAGACAACACTGTACTGCTATTTGGGGCAGAAACAATTACATAAAGTATTTTTTGTTATCTGCAGGTACAAGCTGGTGGAGCTGTTGGGATATGTGGCAATGGGGGCCGTTCCAGCTTTGGTCATCCTGTCCATGGTGAGTGAAAACTGCATCTGATGAACTGTTGTGTGTATCAAAAACAAAAAGCTGTCGTCCTTTAAAACAGGCTTCCTGCCATTGTGTGAGACCCAGTCAATGTCATGATTTCAATAACAGACTGGTGGTTGTGTTTGTTTGAACCCATTACCTACTTATCTGATGTTTTTTCACTGACTGTTGCGTAACTGACTGTTTTCCGAAGAAAGTATTTTTAGATTGACTTCCTTTTTCTTCAGGATGTCAGTAGTTTCTATCTGAAATTACTTTAAGATGAAACTTGCTGAGACAGAATGTCCTTTTAGACAAACTAAAAGCTGATTCTGTTGTTGTTGCAGGAGTGTGAGTTTCAGTTTGCATAAATACAGAGAACAGTATGATGCCACCGTAACCTAAGCCGGTTGGTAGTAGGCTTATCATTTTAAGGTCAAAGGTTTGATTTTTCTTTTTTACCATACAGTATTGGACTTTTTTTCAGCAAGAGGTCCAAGAGGTTGAATTCAGTGACCCGGATAAACTAAGGACACAGTCAGCAAGCAACTGTCATTCAGTGTGGTCATGAATTGTACACAATTTGATCCTGCAAACAATTCTGATAATTGGATAATGTACAAATCTGACCACAGTACTGTTGACATGAATGGATAAGTAGCTAAGGAAACTGAATTTTTTAACCAGCCTGTAAATGTACATAGCTGCTGCACAATTTTTGAATATGGGACAACATAGACACGATTATCTGTTAGTTGAAGGCTGGTACTAGGACTTATGAACTTGATCAATTTCTGCTAAAGTTGTCGAAAATGTTCCAGGTGGAGCGATCAGGTGTTTGTGAACTGGCTGTGGGCGGAGTCTTCTATGTGGTGGGCGTGGTTTTCTTCAAGAGCGATGGCCTCGTCCCTTTTGCCCATGCCATCTGGCATCTTTTCGTCGCAGCAGGAGCATCCATTCATTACTACGCTATCTGGAGGTACCTGTACTTACCTGGACCACTACTGCAGACATCAAGGTGACTAGCACCTTTCACCAGAGACCACATCACTGACTGGATGTGAGCAATAAAACCTCTTTGGTTTGACTACAGCTAACCTAACTCATGAAACTACACCTGGAGAGATGCTGCTACAGTGATCTGACTGTCAGAATTGACTGCAGGTCTGATAAAACTCTCCATACATGGGGACCAAACCCTGGGACCAAACACTAACTGATTAACTTAGAAATATTTCAAAATGCTTCATGTGTAAACCGAATGGGAGGTGGACCTGGACATGAATCTTTCACTGCCTCATGGGTAACTTTTACACTATGACATGACTGATTTTGGATTAAGGAATAGCTCAAGATTAAGGAGACTAAATTAATACACATTAATGCCAAGACCTGAAAATTAATATGATCCTCATGTGACCCTAAACTGATAAGCTGTTAACCAACACCCAGTTAGCTCAACTTAGCACCGACTGGCTTGACTGCATGCAAAGATTGACAACCTATCTCTATCTACACACACTGTAAAACCTAATAACAAAAAAGTTACGACAGTCTGTAATCAAATGGTTGTAGGTACCAGGTATGCTTGGTTGGTCAGTTTAGCTTTACAACATAGTTTTCGCAGGAGTTGCTGCGATCATTTTAAAGGCCATCTCTTGGAAACAAGTGGGCTTGGGGTCCTCTGCCTGCTAGTGTGGCAACTCCACCATGAGTGAATCCATTGTCAAGCCAACCACAATGTGAAAGCATTATTCATATAATGTACAGACAATCATTGTGTGACATCACCACAAGCTGATCTGACCAGCCAAGCACATGCAGTACCTACACTGGCTCTTGAAACCAAAACTGGTACTTGAGGGAACCATTGGGGACCTGAAAGAGTCGGCCAAATGATCTGGAAAAAGCTTAAATTACCATCACCGGCAGCATCTATGCTGAGAAAGAGGAAGGATCCAAACATTACTTTTCATGGTAAGACGGATCACAGACACCTTGAGCAAGATCATAGAGCCTTCATAGATTTGGAGTCATCCATGGGTATTTACAGATTTGGATCTGTGGGACCCTCTCTGTTGCAGCAGGAGGAAGCTGGTCAGTCGCATTTTTATCAGATTTTAACAGTGGGCTTATGTTGATGTTTACAGTTTGACCATGTGAACTAAATGACTGTTATCAAAGTTGATGTCTTGGTTTTCTGATCATAGGTCAACAGTTATTTTCATTTATTTAATTGTGCAAAGTTTCCACCTATGATTTTAGAGAACTCCAGAGAAGTTTCCTTTTCTGTCTTTAATGAATGTAACTATAATGAACTCAAGTCAACTTTCTTTCTTTCATATGACACTGATATTTGTAGAACCAACCAACCATGTGCCAGTAGTCAAAGCTTCTATGTAAAGCTATCCATGTTAACTAAGTAGCTTTACACTGAGCTCTGAAAGTATTCTTTCTCATCAAACTTTTGGCATGAAATCAGATTACTCAGAAAAATACAACACAATTTTTACAACATGATCATCTGAAAATGAACTGCAAATGAATAATTGGTGACTCAAACACTTACTCTTCCTTGTAAACTTAGCCTTTCCATATATTCCGTGTGTAAATGTGCCAAGAACTACAAAGCAGACATTCCTACGAAAGTTTTAATGTTTTTTTGGGGGGATTTGTCAGAATTAGTTTATGCCTACATAAAGTTAGTTCTTTGAGAGGACTGATATGATATGTAAATACCCTCGCTGCTAATAGGTGTCAGCCTAATAGCTGCAGAAACAGCCCGGTTTTTATGATACCCACATAACATATTCACAATGCTAATTAATTTTTGCTACAAGACAGTGTTTAAGAATTTAGAGGAAAAGACAAGCAAAGACTGTTTTGTCCACCGGGGGCGCCAGAATTGACTCAAACCACAAGTTCCTCACAGGGGCTTTAATACAAATACGCTCGTCTTTAGACCTGACAGTGTTTTTTGGTAGGGATCTGTAATTAAATTCAATCAAGTTAACTGTCTGTTACTGGAGATCAAAAGTTCACCTGTAATTTAATTTAAGATTGAAATCATTGTGAATCTGAATTAAAATCAACTCTTGTGATTGATTTTAGGGCAACCTTAATCTGAAAGTCAAATAACTTCGATATATAGCTAACATATGAGATTCAAATGTTCATCTGCATCTTGTATAAAGGACTATGACGGACAGTTTTGATATAAAATCAATGCACTCCTCTAATACAGAGGACATTTCTATCAGCAGTGGTTAGAAATTTAATAACACTTTTAGAAATGTATGAATTCACCCATACATGTTTTGTGCAAATTATAAATGCAAATTTGTACTTTTATAGTTTGAGTTTTTGTACTTTGTCCAGCACTGTAAGGTTTTACTATCAGGTTTTTCCTGATACTTAGCAGTTCAGTTGTTTCTGTTTTTATCTGCAGATCACTCAGGAAGTGTCTTATCTTTCTTTTTGAATCAGAAGATCTATTTTGTAAGATTTTATTTTTGTTGCATTAAAAAGAGTCTATATTACACTGAGGAGTGTGTGTGTTTTGTGGATTAAAAAAAGGCTCCAAAGCATCAAGTTTCAAAAATGTTTATTTACAAAATTCATGTGCAAAAATCAACCAGAGATGAGGAGTTTCGTAATCTTACAAGGGGAAACTCCAGTATTTATCAGGTTGATCAACTAAGTGCAAAATGATGGTCAGAGCTTGTGTCACTGTGACTGTGTGAGGCTGGTGAGGGCTCGCAGCCGCAGCGGTGTGGCCACATTTGTGTCTCTGTGCCACTGTGGCATGGTGACGTGTGGAGGTGGAGTCAGCACGCTCTGAGCCACACCTGGGGCCTTCAGCAGTGACCATAGTTCTTCCCCTCGTGTTACTATGGCAACAAGGTCCTCTTCGTCTGTGCACCAGGGCACTGACCCTCCTCTGGTTACTGTTTTCAGTTTGGAGAGGAACAAAGACACCCTGAAAGAGATATAAACACGTGATTACAACAAATTGTTCCCTTTAAGTGAAAAGAAAAGTTCAAATGTGCTGCAGACAGATACCGTGGTATGAGGTCATGTGACCTGGACGCCAGCTTCGCCAGAGCGCTCATTAGAGTGGTGACAACTCTAGGGGCAGGGCAAAGAGCTCCAGGTGGCGGGGCAGAGGAGGTAATCTCAAACAGCACTGCCTCTAATGTCTCAAAACAGGAAGTGATGAGCCTCACAGAACAGCGGGAGTCACATGACACAGAGAGGTATTCACCCAACACCCAGACCTGCGGAGTCGAGATTGTTTTGATGTCAGATTGGTGGATAATTTAAAGTCGAGCTTCAAGAGGAGAAAAAGACAACTTTATAGATGATAGCTTATTGACTGAGGTTCAAATTTACAATTTCTGTTAAATTCTAGGAGGTCAGAAAATCGAAATGCTTTTTTAGCTGGACTGAGTTATTAGCTGTTCTAACGTAAGATACGTTTGCTAAGATGAATACAGAAAAAATGTCTATATTATGCATTTCTAATACTTTTTTAAATATGAAACATTATCTGCCTCCTGTCAAGAATATCTATAAATAAGCACTTTAGTGGAGGGACCAGCTTAAAAGCAGGGGCATGTTCAGACCTTTCAGACTGGCCAAACCCGGGCACTGACACTGCTGGGGTGGCAGGTGAGCCCACACACAAATGAATAGCATTTATTACCCCATTTATGATGCAATACCGGGTGTAGAGCTCAATTTAATATGAGTCGGGTTTCTGATAAGACAAATTACCAAATGAGATGATGTTTTGAGTTTGTGTGTTCAATGTTTGGAGGGTCAAAAAAAATCTCATGTAACAAAAAAATTTAAACTGACACTAAAATAAATAAAAACTCAGCTAAAACAGCTTTTTAAGAAAATAAAAACTAAGTGACTCAAAAAACCTAACATCAAAAAAAAAGGATAAAAATCACAGCAAATAAAATTTCAAAGCTCATATAACCATGGTTCAGACTCGGAGCAAACTGCTAACAGAAACCCAAACACTACCCATGCTTAACCCTGGACCTCAGTTATAATGTAGAACCTTTAGACAAAGATTACCACATGTGTGTACACATCCTCTTTGCTGTAGACATTGGCCGTTGCTCCTGAAAACTCCAGCAGCTCATGGGATTGGTCGACTACCAGAGAGGGGTGGAGCTTGCAGAGCCTCAGCAGGTGGCAGCTAAAAACCCTGGACAGAGAGGAAGAAATGAAACAAGTGAGGATGTTAAAGAGAAAACACACAGAGTTACACCTAAGCTCCTCTGCCGTTTTATACCTGTGTATCTCTTGGATGTATTTGGGGATGTTAAGAAGGAGGCTGCTTCTCTCCAGCATCACCAGAATCAAGTGCGCTAAAAGCTTATCATCAGCTACCTGAAAAAAAAAAGCAAAAACATCAAACCTGTCTTACACAAAAACTCAAGAAGCATTTCTATATACAGTTTAGAGGATATATAATATCTTTACTGTGAGGACTGTGTTGAAGAAAATGTGGAGGAGCACAGGGACGGTCTGGGCACACTGAACGACCCTCGGCCAATCAGCAGCCTCGGCTAACAGCTCGTGCAGCGTGCTCAGTCTGTCGATAGTGTCACCTGGAGAAGAGAGAGGGGTAAGAAGAAAGCACATTTCACAAGACAGTAGTGATGTGATTTATTCCAAAATTTCCTTCCCAAAGAGGTGACTCTTGAATCAAACGACATAACTTGATGAATGAGGTGAGTTTTACACTCCACAGTGGAAGAAGGAGAATTTCAGGAGAGCAACAGGCCAACATGAGATGATATTTTGCTTCTCTGAGTAATCATGCTGATGTTTGTGTTGAGCCCAGCCTGATTTAACTTGGCAGTGGTGAGTCCTGTTGGCCATTTGAAAGGCTGTGCATACACTCAAAAGCCTGATACTCCATCAGCCGCTTGGTGATGATAAATTTAGCAGTGTCAGGCTGTTTAAGAATAATTCAGTTAAGATTTCCTTAATTGTCTCCTTAACAACCAACCACATAACCAACTTCATAAGGATGGGGTTCAGAGCTTAATACACACATCTATTTTAGAAGATCAGTGCTGATGAAAGGACATAGTCCCTTTCTCTTGTTCTAAGCTGCAGCTCAACAACTTGGCTTCTTAAGTTACGGGACACTGAAACTTTTCTGAGACTGGTTTGACAGGATCCTTGGAGCCTCCCATCTCATGCCCTCCTATCTGTCGCACCCCTGTTAAATGCCCTCCTGCGTCCTATCCTCTTGTTTAAGCCCTCCTATCTCATGCACATAATCTCATGCCCTTACATCATGCCCATGCGTCAAATGACCACCAATCTAAATCGTGCCTGTCTTATCACCACCTCTCATGTGCACCTTTCTCATACTCTCCTGTTTCATTCCCTCCACTCTCATGTCTTCCTTTCTCATCCTATTCTGTCTCATGCTCACCCAACTCATGCCATTCTATCTCATGTTCTCACATCTTGCTCCTGTGTCATGCCCATGCAAGTCAAGCTCTCTTAATTTAATCCTGCCTGTCTCACGGCCTCCTTTCCCATACCCACCCCATCATGCCCCACTGTCTCATGACTTGTGCCATAATTTGTCTGTTTTCTTTAAGCACCTGAGCCTGCCTCCCCTCGAAGCAGGAAGAGAAAAAGCCCTCTGTAAGATGGGCTTCGAAAGGCATCCAGTGAGAGGAGAGGGCGTCCGCCTGTATCAGAGATTGGTAAGCAAGCTGACCTGCAGCACACACACAGAAACAGACGCAGAAACCAGGTGAAATAGTGGTAAAAAGGACAGATAAGAGACCTTTCAGGTGTTTTTGCTGTAATGTGTGTGTGCACCTCAGCTGTAAAACCAGAGTAGCGGACAGACAGGGAAGGTCCAGCAGAGTGTGGAGCAGCTCTACTGCAGTTCCAGAAGTCACCAGAGAGGGCAGCAGATCGACAAAGTCGTCCACCACTGCTGGGCTGTCCCACGCCAACAGCTACGGAGACAAATACAAGAAATAGTGGGCTACTTGAGTTTAGAGTTGCATTGCCATCCTCCTCCTCCTCCTCTTCCTCTTCATCATCAGCACTAAAGGATCTCGGTGTGCGTGCTGGTTTCACCTTCAGCAGGTTTGGGAAGGAGCGTGTGTAATGTGGGACTCGAAGCTGTAAGCTCTCCAGGTTTTGTCGGAGGAACCGCAGCAGCTCATGTGCCAGGAAGTGATCGTTGAAGAGCTCAGCGGGGAATCGACCAAACACAAGGTTCCAAACGCTCTCACAGTCGACTGCAGCCGTCTCACCTGAGCAGGGTCAAGATTATTTCAGTTTAAAGCCTGAGCATTAATGAGTGATTTTACTGTCCTCAGGAAATTCCAAGAGAGACCCATCTGTACAGTAACAAGAAGTTTTTTTTTCTTTCCGTCATTGGACCTTTAAACTCTAGTGATGAACTTTCAGTTTGCGCCAATTTTGGGGACCCCCCCCCCGAACAAAGCAATCTCTGGTATTCTTGACCACTACATGTACATGCTTTAATTTGACTAATATGTCATTCAGCGGGCTTTTGATGGTTAAATAAATCATTTATCATGAAAATATAAAAGGAAAGCTGTGTCTTTAGTTGCACTGCAGGCCCCCTGCCTCTTTGTGCCAGATTCAGCCATTGGGAATTACGACATAAATATCATCCATTTTATTCCTGATGGTCTGTTGGTTTTTGTATGTTATATAAAAAGGCTCAAACATGAATTTTCAGGAGTTTCTTACACATCCTTCCGACGGGAGCTTTACTTTCTGGGGAAAAAAACATGTGGCTAGATTGTATCCAAAGCTAGTAAGAAGTATTCAAATATAACTATTAATAAAAGGCCAATCCAGGCCCCATTCTTAGTGATTCTCTTTAAGTTTAACTTGTACAAAGAGGATGGTGTGTGTACATTAATGTGTTGCTGTGAATACACACCGTGGTGGAGGTAGAACTGCGCTATGGGCAGGAGAACTCTGGCAAACGACAGGTCCGAGCTGAGCCGGCCAAAGAGCGCCTTAATACATGGAAATGTTCTGAAGACCAGCGAGGTGTCCTCTTCACACACACAGTCCAGAATACACACCGCCTCCACCAGACACTGAGAGGGGATTCAAACACAAATGCTCATAGATTACAACAAAGAAAATGAGTCTATTGATTCTCCTCTTAAGCTTCCCGGAACTGCTCTCTAAGGAAATTTACAACTGTATTGATATTTGTGAGAAAAGTTGTGATGAACCTGACTTAACCATTTCTTTGTGTACTAGAACTAAAAAGGATTGTATTTCTAAGCATCGGTGCAAGATGCTTAAGATGGTTGAGCTGGTAGCAAATGACAAAATGACTTACAGCTTTCTGCAAGTCTGTATCAATCCTTTTGTGAGCCTCTGAGACAAAGAGAAGGGCACAGAAAACACAGAGCAATGTGATGAAAAATAAAGCATATAAAATCAAACACATGAGTGTGCGGAGTCTAAAGCTACATTTCCACACTCACTGCGGTCACTC